CTGAACAGTAGCGAGTGTCCAGTGCGACTCCCTTGGACATTGAAATGCCGGTTGCCAAGGGAACAACTGAGAGTGGGCTGGAACACAGCCAAAGCTCTCAGGAAGTTCAAACAGATGCAAGCAGACACAGAGATAGTCTGTCAGAATGGGAAGAGGCTGGAGCTAATCCAATAAGTCTGAAGAGTTGGCGAATGGGAGGGCTGCTAGACAGGAAGCAAAACAAGAGTCTTAAGGTGCGAAAGTTCAATATCTTCTGTAGGAACCGGAAGGAGTCTTCAGAAGTGTCATCTTGAGTAATAATGTCAGCTGCTTCGTTAGAGCTGTCCAGAGTTATCTGTTAGTTTTTACAATAAATCCTCCTTATTAATTACCTACGCTTACTCCTTTTTAATTACCTACGCTTACGCCGGAACCTGGACTCCTGGCACCCACCCTGCAGCTGCCACCCATTTCATCTTCTTCTCAATGCATTCACAAACTGCGACCAGGACCATAATATCAACAACAGAGGAACTATCAGATCTACACAAAGAAAATAACTTCACTGATACAGAAACAGGTGGGAACTCAGAGCAATAGTTTGACCTCCAAGTACTGAGGGAGGGAACTCTTACATTTCCAGTTCTGAGCAGCAAGCAGAGGTGTTAACCTTGCTCCTTTCAGATCAAGGGATGGATTTCACCTAGCAACTGAAGTTCCTAAAAATATTCTCCGCAGGCCCAGTCAACCCTTCAAAAAGTGTGGTGGCCACCATCGTCATCATTGTGGTTCTGCTGGTACTCGTCGGAGCTGGGTTTCTGCTTTACTTCTTTCTCTGTGAGTAACACACTGGAACCTGGGAGCACAAGACTCCCAACCGTGAGAAAGAAATGATGGTTCGTGTCCAGAGCAGGAAGGAGATGGGAAACCTGGAGTCTCCCCCTTAAGGAAGGAGATATGTTTGTAGGCTTAAAATCCATCCCTTTCCTTAGACCCTTTGGAGACCCTGTAAAAAGTGCTCCTAGGAACCTAGGAGATCATGCTAGTGGTCCATCTAGCTCAGGACGGTCAACACTGACAGGCAGCAGATTGCAAGCAGGGGTCATGAATCATAGAATCATAGATCAGTAGAGTTTAAAGGGACCCTGAGGATCATCCAGTCCAACCCCCTGCAATGCAGGATTATTATTATTACTACTACTACTACTACTACTACTACTACTACTACCCCACCCATCTGGCTGAGTTTCCCCAGCCACTCTGGGTGCCTCCCAACAGAATATTATTATTAGTAATAATAAAGCAATAAAGCATCAAACATTAAAAACTTCCCTAAACAGGGCTGCCTTCAGATGTCTTCTAAAAGTCAGATAGTTGTTTATTTCCTTGACATCTGAAGGGTGACATTCCACAGGGTGAACGCCATTTCCGAAAAGGCCCTCCATCTGGTTCCCTGTAGCTTCGCTTCCTGCAATGAGGGAACCGCCAGAAGGCCCTTGGAGCTGGACCTCAGTGTCCGGGCTGAATGATGGGAGTATATGCAGGTATATATCCTTCAGGTATATGCAGCTGTCCCATGTGGGGATCAAACTTGCAACCTTGTCATTATCAGCACCATGCTGTAACCAACTGAGCTATCCAGTCTCTCCCAGCCCAACCTGGAGATGCTGCTGGGGATGGCACATGGGACCTTCTGCATACAGGGCAGGTGTTCTACCACCAAGCTGCCTTATAAGAAGTCTTCCTTTTGTTCCATCTTGATCAGTATTGTCTACACTGAATGGTCCAGAGATTTGAAGAGGGGATGCTCCCAGCCTCACCTAGAGGTGCCCCCAGGGACGGAACTAGGGGTGTTGTGCTTGCAAAGCAGATCCTCTCCCACTGAGGAATTATGACCCTTCCCCCTTGCCCTTCATTTGACTCCGAGCCTCCTCCCTTTCTCAGGTGTCCGTCGTAAGAGCCACGGGACACCCACCCAGGTCATCTCCGTGACACCCTTATATGAGAACATCTCCCCTGCTCAAAAGGTGAGGCCTCAAGTGGGCGACACAAAGGCTTTGGGGAATCAGCTTCCTCCCCTGTGGCAGTAAATAAGATCAAACGAAAGGAACGCCTTACCAGTTAGATTCTTTAATAATCACAGCGAGAGAGAAAAGAATACGTCTACCTAGAAATGGCGGTGCTCCCAATTAAGGGCCACTCCCCCCCCCCATTAATCCGCATCACTCCTATGTCTTGTAATCTGAGGTTGTACCCTCTGTACTTTCTGTTCTGCCACTTTCTGAGCTCTCCATGTCTTTGGGAAAGGCGGGTGAATGTTATCCAGAGATTGTGAATCTGTTAACCCTCTCTCTTTCAGTGTTTCTTCTGCTAGCTGTTCACCACCCAGTACTTCCCAGCTTCTGCCTTCTGAACTATGTCCCTCCACAAACCGCTGTTCCAAATCTATACTGTCCTCCTGCTCCTGGGAAGATTCAGGATCAGTAGGAGGGGGAGACTTCCTCAGTGCAGCCCTCCTCAGCAAGGTCCCTGACAACTATTCAACATTGGCTTTGAGATTTTGAGGTGCTGTCGAGAGCATAACAGTCCTCGTCCAGGGGTATTTACCAACTTTAAACAGGAAGATATGTATTTATTAAAATGCATAATAACAAATGTATCACATGATAATCCCCAGCCCACAGTGATTTATCAGGTGCTACATTAACACAAAGCTTAGGCTGAGAGACAGTAGCTCAGGAGAGCCCAAACTTTTTTTAGGATTGAAGTTGTAGAACTTTTTTTTTTTTACAATTTTACCCCAAAGTTGTTGAGCTTTTTTTTTTAAGATTTAACCCCAGGACGTATACTACCATGGGGGCCAAATTAAAAGAGTCCCCAAAAACAGGGACTCTGATCATGGCTGCAGTAGCTGGTCGCCCAGTAACCTTGCAGGGATTTGAACCCTGGGTATAACAACCTTCAACCATTTTTCATTCATTCCAGGTCGTGCCCAACAGTTCCTCTGCTGCTGACCAGGTATACGAGGTAAGCACTGGCAGGAGCTCTTCATGATTTACCCTTCAGAAAAGACCCGGAAGAAGCCCATATTAGGCAATAATTTTGGAGGTGGTGCTGGGTGCACTCCAGGGATGCTAGATGCAAAGGAGAGATGGGCTCTTGTGTCTCTGACAGCTGGTCAGAGGATGGGATTTCTTACCTTTCCCTCCTCCCAGGCACAAACATCAATCATGTCACCTGATGCACTGCCTCCATTTCTTCTTTAGAGTCTGCAGCATGGAGATCAGAACGTCTACAACGAGTTGATGTTCAGACAAAACCCATCAGAAGTCCCTTCTGTTGGGTCGTCTCCTTGACCCTCGTTGCTCATCCCTTTTCAGAGGAGATGTGCTCATTTCAGCGCATCTGAAGTGGGGATATCATATCTCCATCAAAATGGACCCTCCTTCCTTCAAGGCCTGTCCTTCTGCAAATCCTAGCCCTTGCTTCAAATAAGGAGCCACAACAAATCAGCATCGGAAGAAGAGTCTGCTTCCTCGTGACCCCGCTCCCGTCTTAAGATGGAGAGGCTTTCACAAACCCCCCTGCTTGCAGAGGGATCGTGGGTGGTGAATGTTGAGTTTCTTGGGTGGGAATTTTTGTAATTTGGCGGAGATGGATAAATACTAGTCGTACAGGGTGAGTCTTTTAAAAGAGGCCCATGGAACATGTGTGCTCTGTATCCACAGGACTCACCCTGTATAATAAAAAGGAGAATTCACTGGATGCCTAGATCCAGGTTTGGGGCAAGTCGTCTTTGGTGCGAGAGCTCCAGCAGAGATTTAAAATCACTAAACATGCAGCGAAGTAAAGCATGGAAATATAGGCAGCTGGACCCTTAAAATATCCCCTTCTTGGTTGCTTCCAAAGCTCCCCACTGCCCTCAGCATAGAAAGAGACCACAAATTTGATAAGTTAAAAACGGTTTACTTGCAAACTCTTTGTGACCCACCATCTCCTCCCCTCCTGCTTTTTCAGTGGCAGGAGCGGGCACATGTGGGATTATTCAGGGATGCAGGAGAGGATATATTGTTTAATTATAGCCTTTCCAACTTGTGTTAACAAGTTCACAATTTAGCAGAGTAACATTCCCCTTTTTACACTTGCAGCGGATGCGTTTGCTCAGGCTCGCTAAAGCCTCTATAATAACTGTTCTGGTATTTCCCCCTTATTCCCTCATAAAAGATAAGACACGACACAGTCTTCTATGAAAGTATAAAAAGAGTTTACTCACATTCTGTTCACAATAGGATCCCAGAAGGAAGTCTTAGCTTAGAAAAGTAACATACACCTGGAAACTATCTCATAAGCAGACAGTCGCTTTGTCCTCTCAAGAGAGCATCTTTGGCTAAGCAGATGTTGCTTCTTTGATGCATGTGTTCAAAGAGAGAGAGAGATGGCTGCCCTGCCCTGTGCTTTTGTCATTACCTGCACAGGTGAAGCCACGCCCACCTCTAGTCACATGCAGAGGAAGTCTGTCCCAGCCCAGAAGGAAACAGGAAGTTTACCTGCTGGCTGGACAAACATTCCTCCCCATGTGTAAACATGTTCACTCTAGGAATGTTGTACTTGACTGCTCTTGTGTTTCACATCCCACAGCACAAAGATGATCTTGGGTCCCCTGGTCCCCCAAATCACCTTGGGCGTTTTCAGGGGATTTTACAATCTCACATAACCCCACTTCCCTCCGCCCGAGTCTCTCCCACGAATGGGAGAGCTGCCATCATGGCCCCAGACACGAACTGGAAACTGCAGCCATGTAGTTTAAAGACTAACAAGCATTAAACAACCAAAAGCCTTCCTGTGAGGTATTTTAGGTCAAGATCTGCCGAAAGAGAAGAGGACATTATTTATGTATGCTACTACGGCGGCGAGAATTCTGATAGCACAAAACTGGAAGACTGGAGAAATTCCAACAAAAGAACAATGGCAAGAGAAATTGATGAATTATGCAGGACTGGCAAAACCAATGGACAGACTACGAGAAAAGGAGTTTTGAAAAAGAGTGGGAACCTTTTATAATATGTTTGCAGAATCAAAGAAAGAACATTGACTTGATGGCAGGATTTAAATAAACACTCACATCTTTATTAACAGAGAACATTTAAAATAATGAAGAAATGACATAGTGGATTTTAAGAAACAGCAGTATGTAATAAGGGAGTAACAAACCAGAAATGGAAGCTGAGGGAAGCCCAGGAGGGAAGGGGTGAAGAGGTGTAATATGTATGTTATTGATATGAGATGTATGCAATGACAGAAAAGAAAGCGAATAAAAAAAATTATTTTAAAATAAAATAAAGACTAACAAGCAAACCCTATTCCCAGCTCAATCAAGATTTGAACTGGGTGCTTATAGCTATAAGTCTCTGCTTCTGAAGGAATATTGATTGACTTGAACCATTTGTTCTCCATTTGATGTGTTCTATGCTGGGTTTAAATTGTGTTAGCTGCTGTGTTTTGTGCAGATTTCCGCTGGGGTTCTTGTTTTGACCGAGCTCCTTTGTTTCGGTTTCCGGATTTTTATTATAAATTGCGTTTTGTGTTTTATTGTAATAAGTAAAGCACCTGGAGAACATGGCTGGGTGGCTGGTATACAAATGTAAATAATAATAGTAAATGATTAGTAATAATAATAATAGATGATGGTGAATATTTGCTCAATAAACAGGTTGTCTGAAAGAAACCGCAGTCTGCTGAGTTGACTGTGAGTAGCACCCACCCGTCTGTATGGTTATGTAATGTTTGACTCAACGCTGCAAGACTGATAGTTCTGATAATGGAGGAACGTTCTCTGAGGGAAGCCCCGTTGAAGTGAATTGTGCAAGCATATTGTTCATTTAGAGAAGATTCCCACAGGATTCTGCCCCGTATTACTTAATTGTGTGTGTGTGAGAGAGAGAAATTGATGTGCAGTTTCCTCAGGCGCCTGAAAGATTTGAGTCATGACACCATCTGTTGCTTCCTTCTTCAGTTGTCAAAACAATCTTTCTGTGTTTCTACAATCGCCTCTCCACACTTTGAGCCATCTATCTGGGATCTTTCGGGCTGTCACTATTTTGGGGGGACAATTTGCAGGCCGCACTGCTCTGCACATAACTGGATGCATTTCCACAAAGACAGGGATCTGACTTTATTTGGATGCTATGCTTTTATACGTGCTGTGAGCCACCCAGAGTGGCTGGGGAAACCTAGCCAGATGGGCAGGGTATAAATCCAATTATTATTATTATTATTATTATTATTATTATTATTATCACCTATCAAACACCATATACTGGTCTGCAACTGCCCACCCCAGCTTGCCAGTTGACCACTCCAGCTGCATGAGACTGAGAGGGCAATAAAAACAACATGCGAGTCTCTTTACAGCTCCTCTGCAGTCCCATTGGACACTGGACTTTGGGAGCCATCTATGTTCTCACATGATTCCTTTTTGCACCAGGATGGGGTGGAGAATGGAGGGTCCTTCAAAGAATTATAGAGTTGGAAAGGGTCCCCAGGGTCATCTAGTCCAACCCCCTGCAATGCAGGAATCTCAGCTAAAGCATCCTTGGCAGATGGCCAGCTGACCTCCGCTGAAAAATATCCAAGGAAGGAGAGTCCCCAACCTCCCAAGGGAGTCCATTCTGCTGTCGAACAGCTCTTATCGCCAGAAAGTTTTTTCCTAATGTTTAGTCGCAATCTCCTTTCTTGTAACTTGAAGCCACTGGTTCGAGTCCTACCCTCTGGAGCAGGAGGAAACAAGCTTGTTCCCTCTTCCATGTGACAGCCCTGGAGATATGTGTCTAATCTTCTTTTAAAGCCATGCTAGTTGGTGGCCGTCACTTGCGGGAGCGAATTTCACAGGTTAACTATGGGCCGTGTGGGAAAAGTCCTTTCTCTGGTCTGTCCTGAACCTTCCAACATTCAACTTCACTGAACACCTCCGAGTCCTAGCGTAGGGTTGCCATATTTCTAAAAGTGAAAAACCGAACACAAAAAATGTTGAGCTTTTTTAGCCCAAAATTATTGGGCAAAACAAAAAAGAGGGAGTTTTTGAGCTATTTTTAAGTGTCCAGATTTTCACAGACCCTTCGGCGATTCCCGTCCGGACATTGCTTCCGCCTGCAGTATTCCGGCTATGTCCGGGAAATTCCAGACATATGGCAACCCTAACTTACCTTCCCTACCCACCCACCCCCAAACCATGTCTGCCACCCGCTGGAAGGAGGAATTCAAATACTTTGAAATACTTTATTGTCACTTGTACACCTTGTATACAGTGAGATTACACGAGCACCCCCCACTCAGCTCTCTTAGTAAAAATTTCTTAATTCGCACTCCCACCAAACCCGAAAGTCAGTTGCCCTGTTGTTATCTTTTCATTCAGCAGCCTAACAGCCCACGGCTAGAAGCTGCTCTTTACCCTGTTGGTGCGACTAATCATGGTTCTATATCTTCTGCCCGAGGGCAGGAGATCAAGAAAGTGCCGGCCAGGGTGTGAATCATCCCTGAGAATTTTCCTCACTCTCCTGAGGCAACCTTCTTCCGTGATTATCCAGCGGATTCACGGGACAGCCCATAATATCTTGTGCTGTATTCACCACCCTCTGTAGGCACTTCCTATCAGTTGATGTCAAACCAGTGTACCACACCGTGATAAAGTATGAAAGGACACTTTCTATTCTGGACCATAGAAGGAGATCATCAAATGTTGATTGACATCGTTCTTTGGCAATATTCTGAAATGTGGTAACCTTTCCTCCATCCCCTTGATAAATTGGGCAGTCCTTTTCTGAGCCCTTTTTGCAACTGTGCAATACTGTTTTATGTACAACGAAACATCTGGAGGCAGTTAAGACCTGGCAGCCTCTCATTGGCTCAGGCTTTGGGCTGGGCATCTGTGTCTGTCTTGTGGCCTCATCATTAAAAGGTAAAGGGACCCCTGACCATTAGGTCCAGTCGTGGCCGACTCTGGGGTTGCGGCGCTCATCTTGCTTTACTGGCCGAGGGAGCCGGCATACAGCCGGTCATATGGCCAGCATGACTAAGCCGCTTCTGGCGAACCAGAGCAGTGCACGGAAACGCCATTTACCTTCTCGCCGGAGCGGTACCTATTTATCTACTTGCACTTTGACGTGCTTTCAAACTGCTAGATTGGCAGGAGCAGGGACTGAGGGAGCTCACCTCATCACGGGATTTGAACCGCTGACCTACTGATAAGCAAGTCCTAGGCTCTGTGGTTTAACCCACAGCGCCACCCGCGTCTCTGGCCTCGTCATTAGCTGATGCTGAAGAAGCCACGGGCTCCTTCCTTCCCCTTTTTCTTCTGCCAGATGCCAACCGAAAGCTTTTGCTCCCTTCTCAACTCCACCAGCACATGACCTGGCACCCAACAAGAGGGCTGGGAGTCACGGGAGGAGGAAGCCCAGCTCTGCCTGAGTCACACTGAGGACGGGATGCCCCTTCCCTCCCAAGCCCCTATTCCACTCCTGGACTTGCAAACCACTCCCTGGAGCACTCGCGGGGGGTAACAGGAAGAGCAAAGGAACCCAGGCATAGCTTTCCCTTTTTTAAAGGGGAATTTCTTTATTTCGAATAGGATTTCTCGCAAGAAAAGGGAAAAGTTGACAGCTATGAATCCAGGCATCCGGCAGACAGCACTGTTGTCCTGTCAAGCAAAGCCCCCAAAATGGAAAGGCAAGCAGGGCACCTGTGGCTCACCTGGACCCTGCGAAGGTGTGTTGCAGGGGGTTGGACTAGATGACCCTTGGGTCCCTTCCAACACTATGATTCTATGAAGAGCCCCTGGCAGGCAGCCCTCCTCCTGGCTGTCTTCGCCTTCATCGACTCGTCCGCATCCGTGCCGTCCCTTTCGTCGACATAGTCTCCATCGCTCTCTTACCGTCGGGGCCGCCCAGGCGTTCTGTTTATTGCGCATTTATGACGCTCCTGGACTCCTCGGTTCCAGGCCAAACGCGGCTGAGCTTCGAAAGCGCGGCGTTGACCATCGCGGCTTCGCGCTCCTCCGTCTGTTTCTGGGCAGAGCCCCTTAGCCCTTGCCCCCGACGTCCGCGCATTGGCGACAGCGCAGCGGTCCCCCGACCTTGCCAAGGACGCAGGGAAGGAGCCAGCCGGCTGAATCGGCTCGCGGTGGATGGAAGCCCGGCCCCCGAGGAAGGCAGGGCCGGGCAGGATCAGCTCTGGGCTGCCCGCAAGCGGGCAAACGAAGAGGCCCCCACCACGAAGCGAAGCCCCGCCATAGGCAGGTTGGACGTGCGTCCGGCCCAGCCTTGGAGACCCCCGGGATGGAGGAACTGCTGGCGCGCAGCGCTCCTCGCAGGTGAGCAGGATCGGGACCAAACTGATGGATATGGTTATGATTTCGTGCTGCGAAGCTCCCAGCACTTTTTAAAACGAAGAGCGGGGGGCAGAGGGATCAGGGGGGCTGCAGAAGCATAGAGACTTATTTCACTTTATGCGTGCTCGCGTTGTTCATCTGATCAAAATCGCCCCTTCCAGCAGCTTGCAGACATGGTTTGGTGGAGGTGGGTAGGAGAAGTAAGGACTTGACTCTCCCCCACCCCGCCACTCCATGGCTATTGGCAGAAGTGCCACCTCGGTGCTCATGGGTGCCCGGGACCGCAGATGCCATGAAGAGTACATGGCCCTGGCACCGAAATTTGTGGGTGCCCTGCCCCTTCATGGGGAATTTTGAGGGTGCTCGGGTACCCAAGACCCCAGGGAGTTGGCACCCATGGCTATTGGCAACTTTTGGATCAGGGTTTCCCTTGAGCACGCTGCTATCTCCCTTTGGACTTCATTTCTGCTGTCACTCAGTTTTGTATCAGAAGAATCCTTATGCAGGGTGACCATAGCATAGAGAATTGAATACTCCCGACAGTTGAAATTCTCCACTCAGAGAGGCTGAATTCTGCGCAGGCTGAGAGCCTTTGCCTGGGGCTCCTTATTTTGCCTAATTGTTTCGGGTGTGGGGGTTTGCATCTGCCAGTCATGGCAAAGAACATTGCAGCGTGCAGCAAAGGCACCATCTTCCTTCCTTCAGCAGAGATGGCATCGCTACTCACACAGCCCTGTGTTTTCGCAGTGGGTGGTGAGGTGGGGTACCAATTCCTTGGCTACCCAACTTCAGAATGTGGGAGGAGCGGGCAAAGGGGTGAAGACCCTGCATACGAAAGCTTAGGACTTTTTTTGTTTCTTCTACTCTTACTTGTACATTCAAGAATGTGTGTACTGCAGTTGTGTGGTGTGTTGTTTTTTTTAAATTAATTTTTATTGCATTTTCAGTTTTATCATAATCACAATTTCCATACATATTTCAAAAAAACTCAAACCTCGCTCTATTCGAGCATCGACTTCCTCCCGCCCCTTTTTCTGACTTCCATACATGTTTACTTTATTCTTAGCATTTCCATAACAACTTTTTTACCTTCTCTCTTGTTTTTTAATTCACCTCTTTAAATGTAAATCAGTTCCTTATATTCTCTTTACAAGACATTTCAACTCAAAGCTACAAACGTTTTCAAATGTTTACATTATTCTTTCAGATATACTATAAATTTGCTCCAGTCCTTCTGAAACAGTTCGTCACACTGATTCCGGATCTTCCCCATCAGCTTTGCTAATTCCGCTTATATCCACCATCTTACTCCTCCATTCTTCCACTGTTGGGATCTCCTGTGATTTCCATTTCTGAGCCAAAAGTATCCTTACGGCCATTGTGGCATACTTAAACAGGTTTACATCTTTTGGGGGGATTTCATCTCCAATTAAACCTAACAAGAACATCTCTTTATTTTTTATTAAAGTTATATTTCAAAATCTTTTTTAATTCATTATAAATTATATCCCAATAGGCTTTCACCATGGTACACGTCCACCACATATGATAGAAATTCCCCTCCTTCTCCTTGCATTTCCAACAATTTTTATCCTGATTTCTATACATTTTAGCGAGTTTGGCTGGTGTTATATACCAACGGTACATCACCTTGTTACATTTTCTTTGAGTGACATGCATGCTGTGAATTTAATTGTTTTTGTCCACATTTTTTCCCATTTTTCAAAAACAATGTTATGTCCCAAATCTTGGGCCAACTTAATCATAACACTTTTTACCTCCTCATCCATTCTGTGCCACTCTAGTAATAATTTATACGTTTTCGACAATGTTTTTCTTTGACTGCTCAACAATTCCGTCTCTGTGTATTGCAGTTGTTGAGGTCTCTTTGATGCAGTGAAAGAGACTTTGGGGCCATCCGTGGATCACTGAAAGAGAACAGAACTGTGCTGAAACTAGGACTTTTGTTTGAAGTGACGTCTCCTCTTTGCTCTCTCCCCTTTACAGCCTCCATCCTGAGTTCCTGCTTCCTCTTGACTCAAACCAAGGGCGAGAAGGAGACAGTTATCAAGATGGACACAGAACACCCAGAAAAAGGAGGCAGTGTCACCTTCACACCTGTAGACCTTGATGTGGGGAACCTTAGCACCTTCATCTGGTACCGAGGGGAAATTGAGGAGAGTGCTCGAATCTTTACTTATATACTAGTACCATCTAGAATACAGAATAATGGACCTTCATTCACTGAGCGGGAGACTGGGGGCCTAGACACCACCCTTAACATCAGGGATTTATGGCTAAATGACTCTGGACTCTATACATTGACTGCTAAAGTATCTTCAGGAACGGTGATAGGATTTATAGTCTTAAATGTCTTAGGTATGGTGTCTACTTTTAGGATCCGCCTTACTTCTATTACTGTAAGTTATTTTAAACTGTTTCTAATATTGTGTGTTTTAATGTTATAGCCTGCCCTTGGAACTAAGGGCCCAGGGTGGGTAAATAGTGGTAACCGAAATAGTAATCACAGAATTGACTTTATAATCTGAAACACACACAGAAAGAGAGACATCACACGTTCTTTTGTAATTCATGGAAATCTGTAATAAAAATCTTTTTTTTTTTAAACAAATCATAGAATTGCAGAGTTGGAAGGGACCCCAAGGGACATCTAGCACAACTCGTGGCAATGCAGGAATATGCATGGAGAAGAGTGATGAGGGAGCCCAACAAATCCATCTGCATGTCACTACCTGGCAGCTCTGCTGACCTTGAGGCTCATATTCCATAAACTGGGAATGTTAATTAATGCCGTTGCGATCTTGCTTGTTAACCTTCGGGTAGAGTTGCTTAGTCGGTTACTGGTCCTGTTAATACGATTTTGTAATTTCTGCTATATTGTTGTTTTGCCCATTTTATTTTTATCGCTTTGCTCCCTGCTCTGGGGTTGAAAAAATCCGATGAAGAACGGGATAGAAATACTGCAGCTTAATCAGAATGGAATGGAAGGCTCTCATGTGCAGGGAAGCCTGAATGTGCAAGGCACACGGGTGCATTTGTCCATGCAAGTCACCCTCCAGCTGCATTCGTGGAGGGATGTGAAGAGAAAGTTTGAGATGCTTCACTGCAGCAAGGCCACAGACAAGCTTGGGGCAAAGTTGCCACCTTTTTTCCTTTTTCCTACTGCCTTTAACAGTAGTCAGAGCAGGCAAGAAAGATTCTGGTGATACTCTTTTTACCACATACAGTCATACCTCATGTTACGTTTGCTTCATGTTACATTTTTTCAGGTTGCGTCCCGCAGCGACCTGCAAGTACTAGAAAGGGTTACTTCTGGGTTTCATCCCTCGTGCATGCACAGTAGTGCTAAATCGCGCTTCGCACATACGCACAAGTGCCAAATCGCGCCGCGCAGATACGGCGCTTCAGGTTGCAGGCTTTTCACGTTGTGAACGGGCCTCCAGAACGGATCCCATTCACAATCAGAGGTACCACTGTATCTCCATGCCAGGGAGGGGGGAAAAAAACCTTTAGCTATTCATCAAGGCTGTTCTGAATCAAATAACTGGCAACATTAGGTTGATGTCCAGAAGAGCAGGTTTCACTGAAAATTGCCCTATACTCAATGTTACACATGTGGAGGACATGCAAGAAAATAAAGGAATTTTGGAATGTAATCTATAATGAGCTTAAAAAAATGATTAAGGTATTCTATCCTTTATTTTAAAAACCAGAGGTGTTTCTCTTAGGGATACTTGGCCCAGATATACCTAAAAATGCGAGAGAATTATTCTTGTATGCTATTGTAGCTGCAAGAATATTAATTGCATCAAACTAGAAAGGAGAGAAAATTCCAACAAAACTGGAGTGGCAAAGTAAGTTGTTGGAGTACGCCAAATTGGCAAAAATGATAGTAAAACTGAGAGGTTCTACAGGGCAAACTTTTATTAAGAGATGGGATATGTACAAAAAAAAACCCTTATAAATTACTGTAATAACATAATGCCAGTGGGAGGACTCGAATGAATTCTGTGGTATGTTGACTAACAAGAGAATACAATATTGATAATTGACAAAAGCAAATAAAATAAAATGAATGTTAATAGTGCGCTAGAGAGATTAAGTGGTAAATACACGATGGGGTGGCAAGAAGTCATTGGATACTTACGTAAGTGGAATGTGGAGTGATGATATAACAAATAGCACAATTATTATTATTATTATTATTATTATTATTATTATTAAACTTGTATGTTTGTTACATCTTTTTAATCTCAATAAAGCAATTTAAAAAAAGGAAAAAAGAAAATTGCCCCATACTCATGTGATCAACTGGGGAAGGAAAATCATGGACACATACTTTCCAAAGCTCACAGCACCTTTCTCTCCCGTCTTGCAGATGTAGAGGAGGCTGACTCCCATCCCCAAGCGTCAATTATTGGAATCATCCTAGGTTGTATGATTGGAATCGTGGCCATGGGAGGTCTGGGATTGTTCCTGTACCCCAGGTTTCGCTCAGCGTAAGTCTGCCGTCCTGGTCCCCTTGAATCAGGGTCCCCCTGAATTTGCCATCTCCCCCTGGTTCTCCGGGAAGTTCCTGCTCTGCTTAACTGCTTTGAGTGGTCTCTCTGCTCACGCTCAGGGTTTGAGGCTGTCTCACTGTGGTGAACCAGTGTGGTTAAGAGTGGTGGACTCGTAATCTGGTGAACCAGGTTCGCGTCTCCGCTCCTCCACATGCAGCTGCTGGGTGACCTTGGTCCAGTCACACTTCTCTGAAGTCTCTCAGCCCCACTCACCTCACAGAGTGTTTGTTGTGGGGGAGGAAGGGAAAGGAGAATGTTAGCCGCTTTGAGACTCCTTAGGGTAGTGATAAAGTGGGATATCAAATCCAAACTCTTCTTCTTTTCCTTCTTCACTGGTGTCCTGCCCCACACTTCTCTTAGAAGCATTCAGTGCCCCACTATTTGCGCCTCCAAGCCAAATGCACAAACGCCAACCAGGGTTGCCATATTGAAGAGGGGGCAGAGGAAGAAATATCTGCTTCAACTGTGACACTCAGGCAGGAGAAGTTGCAGAAGAAGAAGAGTTTGGATTTGATATCCCGCCTTTCACTCCCTTTAAGGAGTCTCAAAGCAGCTAACATTCTCCTTTCCCTTCCTCCCCCACAACAAACACTCTGTGAGGTGAGTGGGGCTGAGAGACTTCAAAGAAGTGTGACTGGCCTAAGGTCACCCAGCAGCTGCATGTGGAGGAGCGGAGACGCGAACCCGGTTCCCCAGATTATGAGTCTACCGCTCTTAACCACTACACCACACTGGCTCTCACTTGCAGCAGCTGAGGTTGCCTTTTCTTGATAATCCACCAAAGCCACCGTAGGCCTATCCTTTGTTAAACCTGATGATTCTGATACACAAACATTTGCAATGAGTAGATGACCACATCAAGCACCCCTCCAAAATTGGTTAGAAACTGTACACATTGGGTTGACTTTTCAATTCTAAAAGGTAAAGGTAAAGGACCCCTGGCAGTTAAGTCCAGTCGTGAATGACTCTGGGGTTGTGGCGCTCATCTCACTTTACTGGCCGAGGGAGCCGATGTTTGTCCACAGACAGTTTTTCCGGGTCATGTGGCCAGCATGACTAAGCCGCTTCTGGCAAAACCAGAGCAGCGTGGTACCTGTTTATCTACTTGCACTTTGATGTGCTTTCAAACTGCTAGGTTGGCAGGAGCAGGGGTCACAGGGATTCGAACTGCCAACCTTCCGATTGGCAAGCCCTAGGCTCATGAGGGGTAGCTAAGTTGTGACCTCCCAGATGCTGTCAGACTCAATAAATGTCTGGAGGACACCTGATTGAGGAAACCTTCCTTAAAGGTACCGGTATTTTTTTGCCATTTGGGGAGTTCCCAATATCTAGAGGAAATCCTAGCAAGGCATATTCTTTGCACCCCTAACCCATCTCAGGCCACTCGCCATGCCTGCTTCCGCTAATCTAGTAGGAGTTGTTCCTTCCGTGGTCTCAGCCTTTTGAGCAGAGGGTTCAAAAGGAGCAGAGGGTTGTGGGTTTTCAGTGCCTCCTGCTTGGCTGTGGTGGGCTTATTCTCCTGGATCTCTCTCTGTTTCCTAATGCTTTTCCTCTGTCCTGTTTCTGTCATTTCAGAGCAAGGCGTCGCTGACACGAAACCCATCATGGTAAGAATGATACACATATGATTCCTAATGTATTCAGACTCCAGAGTTCTGGTCCAATCTCTAGAACGGAGTAGGAAGGGGAGGGGAGGGGGTTTGAGCTAAAGCAGAGCAAAGTGAAGTTCTTCCTTCCTCAGAAGGAAGTAGGACATCGATGAGGAACTTTTTCAACCCAGCGAGCCAGATCCTTATTTCCATGAGTCCTGTGGGCCAACTTTGACATGTAGGCTGGATCACCCATCTACCAGTCACCTGACATCCACCCCTCTCAGTGTGTCCTGCTTGGTTCTGCTGGGCTTGGGTTCTGTCTGTTGTACGTTCCAGGTCCGTGACTTTCTCTCTTTGTGATTTCAGACCAGTGCTTCAGCGTATCGGTAGGAACAGAATACAAACCCACACTGGTAAGGATAGAACAAAGGCAGTACCTAATATATGCAGACTTCAGCATTCTGATTCAAAGTCTAGAAGCGGGAGAGGGGTTGAGTTGCAGCAGAGAATGTCTTTCTTCCTGCAAAGGAAGTAAGAGCAGGAGTGGAGAACCTCTTCAGCCCAACAGTCCAGATCTTTATCTCCATGAACCCCCTGGGCCAAGTTTGCCAGGTAGGCTAGGTCACCAACCTGTCAATCACATGACAACAATGACTATGAATTTCATTTGCAAGGAGGTTCCTTTGAAGTCACTTATAAACAAACTTCAAAGTGCGGGCCACCTTTGGAAAGCAATCTTCCAATCTATATCAGTTGATGCAACCCCAGGATAAGGACACCCATGTTATTTGGAATAAAACTTGCAGCATTTACTGAGGACAGACAAATACTCTATATAGAGAATAATCCCCAAGAAATACAAAATGTTATAAGAGCTCTTAAAACCAACAATTCACCAGGCTTTGATGGTTTACCTGCATAATTTTATAAAAACATTTTCAGGTAGCAGTACTGTTAAAATTAAGCTGTTTAACTATTGTAAGCTAACTAAGGTAATATAAGAATCTTGGAAAGATGAAAAAATAACCTTAATTCATAGGAAAGACAAATATCCGACATTACCCTAATCTTATAGACCAATATCACCATTAAACCAAGATTTCAGAATTCTTGCTCCAATGTACACAAAAAGGTTAAAGTTATTTTAATGTATAGACATCCAGACCCATGGATGTCATAGAAATAGCTTTGGTTTTCTTAGATGCTGAAAAAGCTTTTGATGGGATAGAAAGTAATTATTCATACTCCCTGTTGGATAAATTAAATACTGGTGTTCCTTTCTTGGAATATATCAAAGCTGTTTCTGAAGACCCATGCACAGTTTTATATATAAACAAACAAATATAAATATTTGAAATCATTTTTGAGGAAGCAGAGCCCCCCCCCTTCACCTTTGCATTTTTTGTGTGCTGAACCATTGACAAAATTGATAAAGAAGTACCGGGGGAAAATGTTAAATCAAATACCAATGCTGGTATTCATAATATTGATGTTGTGTGAAGTATATATGTATTTGATAATACTATGTACCTATGAATTTGTTGAGTTTATGTGTTTGTTGTGTTTTTTAAGTGAAATTTAAACATATATTTAAAAGGAAGGATCTAGAGCTTGGCTGTTATCCTGACACCTTTACACTCGCTGGCTGGATTACTGTAAGGTGGGATGAAGTTTGATGTTTCCTGGATAACAGATTGATTATTGATTGCATGCTTTCCCTTATAACCCTGCAAGTAGAAAGTTGTGAGCTCTGTTGTGTCATCGTGTTTGCTTTTGAAAAATTCAACGAAAGCTAGAAATCCAGGGAACGGCCTTGCAATAAACACTCAAAAGTGCTGCCCGATCACAGCCCCCGATACCACAATGCCTTTGAACTTCCCCTTGGTCCCACTGACTCCTTCTTATGATATCTTACAGGGTGAAGACATACAATATTCAACACTAGCCTTCAAGGCCAACCACCCTCCTCAGCCAGAGCCAGGGCCATCCGGCCTTTGGAAAGCAACATAATATGCTCAGAAATCAAGAAGAAATGATCAGGGATAATTCTCCCCCGGTGCTCTCCTCAGTGCAAACATCTCCTATGACTCACCTCCTTTGCCTGGATTGTTTTAGGGAAGTGTGATGAAAAAATTGGTTGCCTTGTCTGAAGAGAAGAATGTAGAATTCTCCCACATAGGCACACAGTTGCCTGGTGTAATAAAAAGTTTTAGCAGTGGGACAAGTGGTTCAAGTGGTTTTTGCCCCCATCGCCTCTTCTTCCAGCTCCACACACACACATCCCCCAGTGCCGCATCTCCGGCCTGCCACAAGGTCTGAGGGATAGTGGACCGGCCCGCAGCTAAACAAAATTGCCGAATCCTGACCTAGGATCATCGTGCATGAAGAGAGCATTGCACAAAGACAACAGTCTTGATCGGAGACAGTGGGATGTCAAGGGAAGGGACAGAAACCTGCTCATGACAGTCGATGATACAAGGTGGCCAAAAGCTTATTTGAGGGTGCAGGGCATATAAGTCTGCTATCCTAACCATGCCTACTCAGAAGCAAGTCCTACTGAATTCAGTGAGGCACACTCCCATGTAAAGTGGGGTTAGGATTGTGGTCCCAGTCATCTCCTTGATGGGGAGAGCCAGTGTGGTGTAGTGGTTAAGAGCGGTAGTCTCGTAATCTGGGGAACCGGGTTCGCTGGCTCCTCCACGTGCAGCTGCTGGGTGACCTTGGGCCAGTCACACTTCTCTGAAGTCTCTCAGCCCCACTCACCTCACAGAGTGTTTGTTGTGGGGGAGGAAGGGAAAGGAGGATGTTAGCCGCTTTGAGACTCCTTCGGGTAGTGATAAAGCGGGATATCAAATCCAAACTCCTTTTCTTCTTCTTCTTCTTCTTCTTCTTCTTCTTCTTCTCCTCCTCCTTCTCCTCCTCCTCCTCCTTGAGCTCTGCTGTGAGCTTTCGTGCAAAGAAGGAACTGAGAACAAATCCCTCCCTCCATCTTTTGATCTCCAAGTGGGGCCAAGGGAAGGAAGTTTGCCTCTTCTTCGTCCCTTCTGCGTAGTGCCGCCTCCTTCCTTCCTTCCCCTTTCTGCCGCAGCCAGAAGCCGGGCCTCGGCTCTGATCTCTGCCCCACAGCCTGTCACCTGGCTGGCTGGCTTCGGCACAGAGAGAGATGTGAGGTGTGGGCTCCTGGTGCCAAGTTCCCCACCCTACTCTGTGCCCGCCGGGGGCTCTTGCCCTGCACAGAAGCAGGAAACACAGAAGCACCAGAAAGAGGAGGAATCCAGGAGTCAGCTGAGGGGAGTATCCTCTGGATCAAAGTCTGAAATGATGCAGGAGAAGCCGCCGTGGTGTGCTAGGGCTTCGCTGGGGAAGAAGGGCTCATGGCAGGCCACACTCTTCAAAGGTGAGAAGGATAGGGACCCTAAATAGGAGGAAGGAGACACAAAGAGGGAGGGGAAATAGGTGCTGGGTTTCGATTTGTCCTTTGCCGGAGGGTGGCTAGTCTTTGGTGGCTGACTGTACAGCTCCAGCCACCTATTTCCCAACATTTTACTGCAATGCACTCTACGTGGGGCTACCTTTGAAGATGGCCCGGAAACTACAACTAATCCAGAATGCGGCAGCTAGACTGGTGACTGGGAGTGGCCGCCGAGACCACATAACACCGGTCTTGAAAGACCTACATTGGCTCCCACTACATTTCTGAGCTCAAAGTGTTGGTGTTGACCTTTAAAGCCCTAAACGGCCTCGGTCCAGTATACCTGAAGGAGCGTCTCCACCCCCATTGTTCTGCCCGGACACTGAGGTCCAGCGCCGAGGGCCTCCTGGCGGTTCCCTCCCTGCGAGAAGCAAAGCTACAGGGAACCAGGCAGAGGGCCTTCTCGGCAGTGGCGCCCGCCCTGTGGAACGCCCTCCCATCAGATGTCAAAGAGATAAACAACTACCTGACATTTAGAAGACATCTGAAGGCAGCCCTGTTCAGGGAAGTTTTTAATGTGTGACATTTTGATGTATTTTTAATCCTTGTTGGAAGCCGCCCAGAGTGGCTGGGGAAACCCAGCCAGATGGGCGGGGTACAAATAATAAATTATTATTATTATTATCTGCTATCTGATAGCACGGAAAGAGATTTCGACCTCTCTAAGGGTGATAGGCTACATTCACAACATACATTTAAGGCACTGTGATACCACTTTAAACCATCATGGCTTCTCCCAAAGGATTCTGGGAGGGTGGTTTGTTAAGGGTGCCGAGAGTGGTCAGGTGACTACTATTTCCCCTCTCAAAACTACAGTTCCCAGAGATGCCTGTGAAGAGGGATTGACTGTTTAAGCTACTCTGGGAAGTTCTTGAGCGCTGCAGTCCAGCAGTGAGCAGGACACACAATCACATTTTTTTTAAAAAAAATTGATTTATATACCGTTCCTCATCTGAAGAGCACAGAATTGTTTACATATAACTTTGAAAAACCGTAACATAACCTTTAGAGGAGGCCCTTTTCTCAGTCCTGTCCCCTTCACAGCCAATCTTGGTTGGGATGTAGGACAGGGCCTTCTCAGTGGCTGCTCCCAAATTTTGGAGCTCCTTTCCTAGAGAAGTTAGACCGGTTTCTTCCTTGTCCTTCCTTTCTTATTTCAACATGCTTTTAGGAACGGACTATTCTTAAGGAAAGGGCTGGTGCTGTGATGTTTTTATTGTTATTATCTCTATTTTTAATAGATCATAAATGTGTGTTTGTGTGTGTGTTTAATTATCTTTTAATGATTTTTTTCCCTATGTTTGTAGCTTTTGAGTCCCCGTCTGGGAAAAAGCTGGGCTATAAATAAATATTATAATAAATATAACAAAAACAACCACACACATGAACATAGGGAATTGTTTTATTATGTACTTGAATTGTGAATGTTGACATTTCAATATTTGTGCAATTTGTTTTTATAATCCACTCAGAAGCCTATTTTAGCATCAAGTGACATATAAACTATGAAATTATAATGGAAAGAGATGGAAAGAAGATAAAGTCCCTGCCAGAGAAGAATGGCAGATCAAGTTGATGCACTGTGCCGAAATGGCTAAAATGACCGGAAGAATCAGAAATCAGGAAGACCAAAATTTTAATAGGGAATGCGGAAAATTTATAACTTGTCTTAAAGACCATTGTAAACAGTTAAAATCGTTAGTAGGATTGGAATATCACTTGTAGTTTACTGGTGAATCTTGGACACAATGGAGGGATAGAAGATTTGGATTATTATTTGATATGTTAATTGGATGCCTTTTATTGGAAAATTAATAAACGATCTAACAAAAAAAGAAAGATTTGCATTATCATAAAAGATACAGGAGGAAATGATCAACAATAGGACCCACAAAGGGGAGGAGAAAACTCCAGGAGATTCTTTGGAATCTTGTTTTTATGCTGCATGTCAGATGTGTGACTGTAAAATTTTAATCTGAAAAACCAAATACCGTATTTTTTGCTCTATAAGACTCACTTTTTCCCTCCTAAAAAGTAAGGGGAAATGTGTGTGCGTCTTATGGAGCGAATGCAGGCTGCACAGCTATCCCAGAAGCCAGAACAGCAAGAGGGATTGCTGCTTTCACTGCACAGCGATCCCTCTTGCTGTTCTGGCTTCTGAGATTCAGAATATTTTTTTCCTTGTTTTCCTCCTCCACAAACTAGGTGCGTCTTATAGAGCGAAAAATACGGTAAATAAATTGTACAAAAGGAAAAGAAATTATAATATGAGGGCGTGTTTTTGCTCTTCTTTTCCCCGCTTCATGCTGCAGCCTCCATCCTGAGTTCCTGCTTCCTCTGGACTCAAGCCCAGGCCAAGACTGGAATACCTATCAAAGTTGAACCAGAAATACTGCAAGAAGGACAGAGTGTCACATTAACACCAGGAGATATTGATGTGACCACACTTCGTAGCTGCAAATGGTACCGAGGGTCAAGTGCTGACGGAAATCGAATCTTCACCTATTTCCTAGCTCCGGTGATTTCACAGAAAAACGGATCTGCCTTCACTGACAGGGAGACTGGGAGAAGAGACTGTTCCCTTCGTATCACAGATTTAACACCAAGCGACTCTGGAACCTATACACTGGAACCAGAAGGACCTCTGGAACACAGAATAGGGGCTATCAATATAACCGTCCCAGGTATGATGAGCTTGTTCTCCAGTCATTCTGACCTTTTATGCACCCAAATTTGCCTCCTCTGCTGAGCTTCGAGGGCCAAATGACTCTGGAACCTATACATTTAATGTTTTAATGTTGTATTTTAAGTTGTATTCATTCAACTTGTTTTTATTATTGGTTGTTAGCCGCCCTGAGCCCAGCCTTGGTTGGGGAGGGCAGGGTATACCGTATCTTTCGCTCCATAGGGCGCACCGGACCATAGCACGCACCTAGTTTTTAGAGGGGGAAATAAAGGGGGGAAATTGTTTCCCTTATCACCCTCAAAAAGCAAAGAAGCCAAGACAACGAGCGGGATCCATCCCGCTGGAAGTCTTGGCTTCCTCTTTAGCCACGCGCAACCTCTCCAGCCGGGAGAGGCTGCGCACGGCTTCGTTTTTAGCCGTGGGGCTGGGGCGGGGGAAGCTCGAGCTTCCCATGACCCCAGCCCCCAGAACAGGCTGCTATCCGCAAGCCTGTGGAGCCCAGTGGGAACTCCCACCTGGCTCCGAAGGCTTGCGGATAGCTGCCTGGAGAGCAAGAGGGGTCGGTGCGCACTGGGAAAACTTTAGAAATTCATATAGGCATGTGAGCTCAGCTACTGAGCAGCCCCTCTGCCTGAGTGATAATCCCTGGCATCCTGATACCTGAGTGCCAGACAGGTAGCCATTCCAGAAATAACAAACCCAGATGAAGACAAAAGGGTGTGATTATCTTGGCTGGAAACAGGGAAATGTAAATATCTCTTTTGTCACACTTGATGGGTGTTTGGTGGAGGGCAAGGGGAACCATGGGGCAGGGTCCAGGATGCTCAGATTACTGCCACCAGACCTCCCCTTTCATGATGTAACCATGATGTATTAGTGATGTAGTTTTGGGGGGTGTAACATGGGGATTAGCAGCTAATAAAAGTTTGGGTTCTCTTTTGTTTGGGGCTTCCATCTTGTTCCACCTTGTGGCAGGTGGGAGTCCTGTCACGACAGTCTTCAATAAAGACCAAGCCTACTGGCTGCTGTTTTGCTCTGGTATTCCTGGCTGGTGTCTTTGTTTTTTTGTCCAAGGGAGCCCTCAGATTTCTCCGTTAACAAGGGTCCGCCGATGGAAGGAAACTCAGCCGCTGCCTATTACCACCCTTCACTTAAGGAACAGATCCATGGTAGCGCCTGCTCTGGGTGGGAAATTGCAGGGCCTGAGTTGCCTGGCTTTTTAAAAGATTCTTTCATTTCTGTGTTTTGCATCATGACTATGTTATTCTTTCCTCCATTCACCTCAAAGGCCTTGATGTGTTTGAAAAGAGGCGGTCAGCCAGGTGAATGTTGGTCCTTATTGCTGCCATTGCTGCGTTCCTCAAAACCTTCTTTCTGGTTCCAGATTCTGCTCTGCTGGAAGCAGGAGTCGTTTCTCGGATTGTCGTTGGGTCTCTGGTTGCGCTGACGTTGTTTGGAACACTGCTTTGTGTCTTGTTCTGTGAGTAAGACGTTGGAAGTGCGGAGCCTCAGATTCCTGGGTCCTGTTGCCAACTACTGGAGCCCAGGGGTATTGCTGGACAGGGCAGGGGCAGAGGGTCTGCAGAAACAAATGTGCATAAAATGTGTTTGTGCTAACTTAGACATAAATGCCACATTATTATTATTATTATTATTATTATTATTACCCCGCCCATCTGACTGAGTTTCCCCAGCCACTCTGGGCGGCTCCCAACAGAAGACTAAAAACAGGATAAAACTTCAAACATTAGAAACTTCAGATGTCTTCTAAAAGTCAGATAGTTGTTTATTTCCTTGACATCTGAAGGGAGGGTGTTCCACAGGGCAGTCGCCACCACCAAGAAGGCTCTCTGCCTGGTTCCCTGTAACCTCACTTCTCACAGTGAGGGAACCGCCAGAAGGCCCTCGGCGCTGGATCTCAGTGTCCAGGCTGAACGATGGGGGTGGAGACGCTCCTTCAGGTATACTGGGCCGAGGCCGTTTGGGGCTTGAAAGGTCAGCACCAACACTTTGAATTGTGCTCGGAAACGTCCTGGGAGCCAATGTGGGTCTTTAAGGACCAGTATAATATGGCCTCGGTGGCCACTCCCAGTCACCAATCTGGCTGCCACATTCTGGATTAGTTGGTAGTTTCCAAGTCACCTTCAAAGATAGCCCCACATAGAGCACATTGCAGTAACCCAAGTATGAGATACCATACTTTTCCATGTATAAGACTAGGTTATTTTATTTAATAATTATGTTCAAAATTGTAGGATGTCGTATACATGGATACAATCAACCCCCCATTTTCTCAATTTGGAGTCCCCAAAAATAGGGGGCGTCTTATACATGGGGGCATATTATACACAGAAAAATACGGTAACTAGAGCATGCAAGCCATCCATGTCACACACCCCAAAAAAATTCTTCAGTTAAGTCCCTCTTCCATTCATTTATTCCCCTTTTAATTTTCTGACAGATCCTGCTCCAAATCAGTTCTGCTTCTATCATCTCAATTCTTTACCCCAATATCATCCCTTATTATAAAGAAAAAAGCATAAAAGCAAAGGTCTGTGTAGGGTGAATGTTCAGGTTTGATTCCCACTTTTCTTCCTCCTTTAGGGGCCTGTCGTTTGAGATTTAAGAATTCTGCCCAGATTGTATCTGCACCTCCTTTACCTGATGATGTTCCCTTTTCTGGACAGGTGAGACCTCAGTATAGCGAGGGAAGCCGTTTGCACTGCCAAATCCTATTTCAAGTCTATTTTCAGCATGCAGACTATGTGCAGTCCATTTATGAATGTGAGAGGATTGCAAGGGCCCTGCCCCAAGGAATATACAATCAGTAAGGCAGGAAAAGGATTAGCAGTTGACAACTCAGCAAAGAGGGTGGGGTTGGGACAAGAAAAATCAGCTTTCTAAAAGGGGAGCTGCCCTCCTCTGGGGCGTTAAAAAATGTTTTGCAAGCCTGCATCTCCCCAGAGTTCACCTAAGCCTGTTGATACCCGCCTTCATTTCTCAACGGATCCATTTTGGTTCAATTTCTGTTGCCACACAGCACTCAACCAGAGCCAGGGTCTTTTCAACACTGGCTGCAGCCTGGTGGAACGCTCTGCCTCATGAGGCCAGGGGCCTGCAGGATCTGATTTCTTTCTGCAGGGCCTGTAAGACAGAGTTGTTCTGCCTGGCCTTTGGCTTGGAATCGACTTGATTCCCTTCCCCTCTTTTCTTTTTCCTTTCTCCTTCTGTGATGGAACTCCTATTTGGGGACTTCCTTGGCTTTTTCTGGCCCATGTAGGACCAGTCTGGATACAGTGGTGCCTCACAAGACGAAATTAGTTCGTTCCGCGAGTCTTTTCGTCTTGCGATGTTTTTCGTCTTGCGAAGCACGGTCCGTCGCAACTGTGCCTCTTCAAGCGGCTTTAAGAAAAAAGCGAACAAACTCGCAAGACGAAATAGCAAGCCCATAGGGAAATTCGTCTTGCGAAGCAGCTCAAAAACCGCAAAACCCTTTCGTCTAGCGAGTTTTTCGTCTTGCGAGGCATTCATCTTGCGGGGCACCACTGTAGTTGGCCTTGGTGAAGATTTGATGTTTTCATCCCCAAAAAGTTTTTGATTTGAGTTTCTACTGAAATGAGGCTGCATTTTCATGTTGTATTTTAATCTTGTTTTTAAGTTGTATTTTAATCAATAGTTTTATACCTGGTGTTAGCTGCCTGCCGGGTCTTGGCTGGGGAGGGCAGGGTATAAATTATTATTATTATTATTATTATTATTAAGTTTGCTATTAGAACTAGCCATATTCAGAATTCAGCACTAACACACTGTCTGGGCTCAACAGTTCATCAGTCCCTGCTACTGGTGCTGTTGCTTAATAACCAATAACTGTTCTTTAGCATCATTACTATTACTGTTGTTTATATTAAATCCAGGTCAAGTCTGACAGCTCCTCTGATCCCAACCGCATGTACCAGGTAGGTGAAGGTCCGTCACATTTATCCTTCTCTCAGAAAAGACATGTGATCCCATGTGATCTCCTCTCCCAAAGGGACAGAGCCACTGGAAGGAAAGGCCCTACCAACCTTCTTAAGTCCTCAGATGACTTTGGTCTCTGGCTGAAACAACATCCACTTTAACTCAGCAACATGGTTGACTGGGAGCTGTCCATGGTCCTGATTTACCTGGCCTGACCAAGCCCCTGAGCCCTAGCAGAATCAGAGGCAGAAACTTTCAGACATGTACACAAACACCTCCTCCACATATGCTGACCTTGTAAAGGAACATCTTAACATCCAAGGTGATGGGGGATTTGTTCTGAATATGGATTCAGGTTTCCTCCTCCCTGCTTTCCATACTGATGCCTTCCTCTTCCTCTTCCTTTCTTGGTTAAAAGTTGTTTGTCTTAAGAACTTAGAAGAGTTCTTAAGAAAACTTGCAAAACGGACGGGAAGAGTTAGAGGAGTACTGAACCAGAAAATATTTGGAGAATAGAGAATATTTAAGGATTATATAAGATCATATTGTACCAATCACACCATATTAGCAGAACTTGAGTGATACTTGTAAACACAACAAATACCGTTTGTGGAGTAGATGGGAACAATATTAAAGAATATAAAACTGTGCAAAAAACCCGACAGTATAAACAGTACAATGAGAATGATTGGAAGACTCATTTTGTCAGAAGTATTTTTTATTTAAGTGTTTAATTTTGTATTAATTAGGAGGATTAAGGTGTTTTTTATGTATGTAAATTTGCTTTTTCTTCTTTCTTTTTTCTGTATTTTCTTTTCTTTTTTCTTAATTGTTTTTTCTTTAATTTTCTTTTTGTAGTATGAGATTGTAAATTCTTTGTATAAGTGGGTAATTTAAATTAATAAAGATTTTTTATATATATTAAAAAGAACTTAGAAGAGTCTTAAAATAAATAATTAAAGTACAGTATTAGTTTAAAAGATTCCCTTTTCCTGCTCAATTGTCAAAGACTCGGGACAATTTTATGGTAGGTAAGTCTATTAATGGCTATTAATATGGCTGGCTGTGTGGAACCTCCACGGTTAGAATCATAGGCTCACGGAACGGTAAAGTTGGAAGGGACCCAAACGGTCATCTAGTCCAACCCCCTGCAATACTAGAGATGGCCATTCAACCTCAGTGGCCAACTTCCCAAGATACCCAGGTTAAAAAAGAAGAAAAGAAAGTTTTGCTCTCGGTGCTTCTGTCTCATGCAACTCCATTTCATCCTCAGGCCCTCCAACAGAGAGACCAGCCAATGTACAACCAGCCGAAGTGGTAATGCATGAACCCACCAATGTCCATTTTACTTCTGAATTGGAGCTTCAATGGAAGGGCACACCCTGGAAGTCCGAAGTACAGCCCCCTGGTTCTCTGGTTAAAGGGATCTTGTGGAAGGGCAAAGGAGACCTTGGAGATCCAGTTGGAATAAAAGTTCTGAGCTAGCTCTGAATCTGCATGAAATAGTTTCCGATGCCCTACTCTGGGAAGCTCTCCCTGTAATGGCCATTAAATTCATCAAAATGTTACTTGTGTGGCCAGTGACTGAGTCTGCAAATATAGCTCATGGCATCCTTTGCCAACCAGGTGCCTGGCAGATGTTTTTGATTACAACCCCCATCAGATCCAGCCAACCTCTGGGGAGCACCTGTTTCTGGATTAAAGAAACAGAAAACCATATTCCATTTTTTGCTATGGACGGAGCTGGTCCAAAAGAATTGGTTGCCCGAGGCAACAAGAGTAGTTGAGCATTTCTTTTTGGCAAAGTTGTTGAGCTTGCAAAAGTTCTTCCTTCTTGGCAGCAATAAGTAATTAGCAATTTGTTATACTTTCAAATCAGCTGCCCGAGGCTGCTATCTCACTCTGCCCAATGGAAGGGCCAGCCCTGGCTAATGGGCCAACTGCCTCCTTTCTTGGTGGTGTAAGAACATGCCCCAGGGTCAAGGTAAAGGACCCCTGGATGGTTTGTCCAGTCAAAGGCAACTATGGGTTTGTTGCACTCATCTCGCTTCAGGCCAAGGGAGCCGGTGTTTGTCCACAGACAGCTTTGTGGGTCATGTGGCCAGCATGAATAAACCGCTTCTGGCACAACGGAACACCATGATGGAAACCTGAGCAGCACACGGAAACTCTGTTTACCTTCCCGCCGCAGTGGTACATATTTATCTACTCGCGTGTGCTTTTGAACATGGTATATCCAGTTGGTTAGGACTGAAAATCCAAGGAAGATGATCACTTAAGTTCGCAATGCTTTGCCCAGGCCTTCTCCAACCCATAACCCCAGAATCTCTGTTTCATTTGCTTTTATATATTTTATACAGTGGTACCTCAGGTTAAGTACTTAATTCATTCCGGAGGTCCGTTCTTAACCTGAAACTGTTCTTAACCTGAAGCACCACTTTAGCTAATGGGGCCTCCTGCTGCTGCCGCGCCACCGGAGCACGATCTCTGTTCTCATCCTGAAGCAAAGTTCTTAACCCGAGGTAATATTATTTCTGGGTTAGCGGAGTCTGTAACCTGAAGCGTATGTAACCCGAGGTACCCCTGTACTGTTTTATTTGTTTTGGGTAGTATTTCAGAGAGAGAGAGTACATAGTACACCACTTACAGATTTTAAGCACTTTGGAAATGCTTTTAAATAAATCAATGAAGCTGCTGGTAGATGCAATTAAAAAATAAAACAAATTTCCTGAATCACCACCAGGAGGCACATGATCGCATGTATTGAGAGAGTTCCTTGAAACTCAGCGGAATAAATTTCTGAGTAATGTCATCCTTCTAGGAGGGTTGAACTGAAGGTCCCTCCCCCCCCCCATCAGTCTTTGTCAAAGTGCTTTGGCAAATGTCATGGCAACTTGGTTCCCGGGTGAAATGGATTAACCCAAGTCCTTTTTCGTCTGGTTTCCAACCTAGTTTTATTTGTTAGTTTGCTTTTTACCTTTCTTTACCATCCATCAACTTAACTGTGCTCTCAGCAGAACACCTGCCCACGTGGTAAGACAAATTATCTCTAGAGAACTTAACCGCTGCTGACACTGGCCACAGATAAGGCATGAAGCGAAGGAAGGAAGACGAACTTACTCCATTCATAAGCAGAGGTTGGCTGGCCACCTGTCCTGGATGCTTTGATTCAGATTCCTGCATTGCAGAGGGTTGGACTAGATGACCCTCAGGGTCCCTTCCAACTCTACAATTCTATGATTCTGAGATTCTAGGACCCTAGAGTCTAGCAGTGACCAAAGTCAGACTCCTGTTCCACTGGCTAAGGCACTGGACCAAGTTCCTGCCTTTGAGGTTGGCAGTCAGGGCAAACTAAATGATATCCCATGCTGCAAGGCAAAAGTTCCTGTTAAAGGTTGTTGTTGTTGTTATTGTTTAGTCATTTAGTCGTGTCCGACTCTTCATGATGCCATGGACCAGAGCACGCCAGGCACTCCTGTCTTCCACTGCCTCGCGTAGTTTAGTCAAACTCATGCTGGTAGCTTCGAGAACACTGTCCAACCATCTCGTCCTCTGTCATCCCCTTCTCCTTGTGCCCTCCATCTTTCCCAACATCAGGGTCTTTTCCAGGGAGTCTTCTCTTCTCATGAGGTGGCCAAAGTATTGGAGCCTCAGCTTCAGGATCTGTTCTTCCAGTGAGCACTTGGCTGATTTCCTTCAGAATGGAGAGGTTGGATCTTCTTGCAGTCCATGGGACTCTCAAGAGTCTCCTCCAGTGCCATAATTCAAAAGCATCAATTCTTCGGCGATCAGCCTTCTTCATGGTCCAGCTCTCACTTCCATACATCGCTACTGGGAAAACCATAAAGGAGCTGAGCTTAATTTTCTCTATGAAAAGTTAAGTCTCCAAGGAGATGAGAGACTGTTGCTGCCCCACTGAGAGGGAAAGTCCTCTTGAAGAAGAGACTGCCATTTCCTGAACAGCCGCTAGAGGGACACAGAATCCCATATAAATAAAAAAACAGGGTGTTGGGGAGTTGATAGAAAACATCCAATCTCGGTTTTGAAAGTCAGTGGGTGGTCTCCAGCAAATATTCCTATCTCAGCCAAATTTATCACTCAGGGTTGTCGTAGGGATAAGATGGAGTAATTCCAGGCCCACCGTCCGAAGCTCCTTGGAGGAAGTGTGGGATGTGATATATAACACCACCACAGCCAGCAACAGGCTCAGCTTGTGGGCTGTTGATTTGCAAGGCTCTGTTTTGATGAAGTATATTGTGAGAATGCTTAATGGGCACTGGTGCTTCTCCATTAATACTGAACACACATTATGTGCTCAGGAAACCATTTTAACTGCTTTGCCTGAATCAAGAGGCGTTGTCATCACTAAGTACCTCCTCAAATGATGGGGCATTTAAATGCATTTCACGAGATGCAATTAGTACCTAATCGGTTCAGTTGTTTTCACAATGTGTGCAGAAAGGAATTTGGTATCCCAACAGTTCTGTTTTGTTTTTTTGCAATTTGGAGAGGGTTTTTTTTCCTGGTGCGTCTTTGGAGGCCCAAACCCTAATCTTGTCCCATCACCAACTTTGGTTGCCATCCCAGTCATCTTCAAGGAATGAGGTGGGGAGGAATGTTATCCTTTGTCTCAGGCAGCAAAATGTCTTGGGCCAGCTCTGCAGGCAGCCAACATCCAAAGGGATTTGTGCACGTGTTATAATTAGGATTTTCCATCTCAGGCACCAAAAATGTCTTCAGCCACTGCTCTGTCAGTGTTGCCAATGGCAGGGCACCGGCGGATGCCCCTGCAGAGCCCTGCCCTGGTGCCCACAGGGTCTCACTGCCCCCATTCCTCCACAGGCACAAATCTGGCTTGAAAGAAGCAAGAATCCTCTTCCCAGCAACAATCTCCAGAAGGATCACCACACAAAAGAAGTAAATAATTTTTTTACAAAAAATAGCTTGGACAAAAGTTACAACACTCTTTTTTCAAACCTCGGGGCAGCGTGGATCTACTATGAAACTAATAAAGCTTAAGTTTCAGGGCCCATAAGCAACTTTTGATTAAATTTTTTGTGTTGAGAAGACCCAATTTGAGTCACATAACTCTAACTGGTTAATCTTGTGTTGAATATATTTCAAGAATCCCAAAGTTTGAGAGTCAGTAGCACAGATGTTGTAAAGGTGTGGTGATCTGTAGGGGAACAACCCCCTTGAAGAATCATACAACTGTAGCGTTGGAAGAGATCACGAGGGTTAAGCCAGTCCAACTCCTTGCAATGCAGAGATCTTTTGCCCAACATGGGCTCGAACCCACGACCCAGAGATTAAGTGTCTCATGCTATACCGACTGAGCTACCCAGAGCTCGTTGCTGGCTGCCAAGGGCCTCCCATGACAGTTCAAGCTTCAGGGCCACAAAAATGTAGGTCCGCCACTGCTTTGGGTTTGGAAGTGTGGGTTTGTGAGTGCGGTTCTCGTGTGCGTAATTGCGCAACAAGCACCGAGCGGTGCAAGCGCGGTTCCGCCGTGTGGCCGGGAAAGTTTCCCAGGCTTGTAGATGCTCCCAGGGTTCCCCGAAGGTTAGCGACTCCCTTTTCCTCCCGTGCCACGTTTCTGCCCGAAATTCGCCCTGCCTTTCCGGGCGGGCGCCCTGGGCTCTCTCTATTGCGCTTCCCAGACGTGGCGGGACGGGCGCGCCCTGGCTCTTCCTCCTCCTCCTCCTGCTGCTCCCCTAACGGGAAGTGTCTGCTCGGCAAGGCGGGGCCGATCGAGGCTTGAGTGGCCGCTGGCTGGTTGTGGGCAGAGTCCTCTTCTCCCCGCCTCCGACGGCCGCGCCTTTCCTGCGAATCCCGCTACCTGGCCGAGGAGGCGGCGGGCTGGAGCGCGCAGACGGGGTACAAGCCCGGCCCCCGAAGGCGGGACGAGCGAGGCAGGGGAGGGCAGGGGAGGGTCGCCTCTAGGCTGCCGGATCTCCAGGCGGGCAGATCAGAACCCAGAGATCTGTGGCCGGGCGCTGGTGAGCAGCTGGAAGCGAAGGGGCCCCCTCCCACCGCGAAGCGAAGCCCCGCCATGGGCAGGCACGAGGCGTGGAGACCCCCCGGATGGAGATGCTCCTGGCACACGGCGTTCCTAGCAGGTGAGGCGGATCGGGACCCTAAAAGAGAGCCACAGATTTGTTTATTTTGGGGGTGGGGTCTTAAAGGAATGGGGTGGGGAGGAATGGGGCTTCTCTCTCTGGCCCCGCTTGCCTGCCCCAACAACTATGATTCTGCGTTGAGATCCCTGCATTTGCAGAGGGTTGGACTAGACGACCCTCGTGGTCCCAAAGTTGGAACGAATCCCGAGGGTCATCTAGTCCAAGCCTCTGTGTGGGGCTCAAACCCACAGCCCTGAGATTAAGAGTTTTGTGCTCTACCAACTGAGCTACCCAGGGGATGATTGCACGATTCTAGCTCATATGATTACTGTGTTTATTGCTTTTATTAAAGCAAGATCCATGGAGTGATCAGATGTTTTGTGACCATTCAATGCATCACTCTTGATTTTGGCTTCGGTGCCCCTTAGCGCCATAGGTCCACGCTCATGGCAAATTGCGCCTCTTCCTGAGAATCTCCTAGGCATCCACTTTTTAAAAACTTTTGAATACTTTTGCAGGGTTGAGGTAATTTCGTGGAACAGGAAGCTACCAATGGCTGCTAGGCAAGCAGGCTATAGATTACCTCCGGTGTCGAATACAGTTCCTGAATTCCAGTCCCTGGGGATCTGGAGCAGGAGGGGGTCTTTGTACTCAAGTCCAGTTTGTGGGCTTCACAGAGGCATCTGGTCGCCGCTGTGGGACCAGAATACTGGATTAGAAGAGTCCGGATCCAGAAGCCAGGCTGTCCTTATGTTCTTAGGTTTTACGGGTTCCCTAACCCAAATCAAAGGATCTTTCAGCACCTAGAACCTAGTCAATTCCTCTTCATAGGGTCAAGTTACATGGGAGATCGGTGATTAGGGTTGCAATCTTATGCCCACTTATCTGGGAGTAAGTCCTACTAAACTCAGTGGGGCTTACTTCTGCGTAGACATGCAAATGTTTGCATTGTAGATCTCCCAACAGCTTTAAAAAACTTTCATGAGGAGTGGAGGCAAAATGGACCAGGGTGGCAGCATTTGGTGGAGAAGAGCTTAATTCTCTTCACTCAAACACACCATGTGACCAAAATTGCCTGCCACTGCAGGTGTTAATGGGCATGATTTTGGGTCAGTGGTGTCTTTTCCCCCTCGAGGACTAATGGCTGCTTTTGGAGCGTAGTGCTCATTTAAGGAAATAGTCCCGCGAGGTGGGGGGGGGGGAGCAGGGTTTAAAAAAGAACCCCTTTCTCCTGAGCTGCAATCCTTGTCGAGCTCATCCTTCTTTGAGGTTGCTGTTGGGCAGGGGTCAGCAAACTTTTCAGTAGGGGGCCGACTCGCTGTCCTTCAGACCTTGTGGAGGGCCAGACTATATTTTTTTGGGGGGGATGAACAAATTCTATGCCCACAAATAACAGATGCATTTAAATAAAGCACACATTCTACTCATGTAAAAACACCAGGCAGGCCCCACAAATAACCCAGAGATGCATTTTAAATAAAAGGACACATTCTACTCATGTAAAAACACACTGATTCCCAGACTGTCCGTGGGCCGGATTTAGAAGGCAATTGAGCCTTAATTTGCCTACCCATTCTGTTGGGTGACATGACTTTCCTGCCCATAGATCCAAAACAATTCCAATGGAAATTCCCATCCCCATGGAAGGGATGAGATGGAAAGTGAGAGAGATAAAAGGAAGGCAAAGGTTATAGTTCTATGCACCGTTTGCTGATAATGCTGAGGTTTATAGAATACTTGTATGGCTAAGGAAAAGAGGCAGTGTTAGAAACTCAGATATATAAGTTAGGCGCCAAATGGCTCCTTAAAACAAGGTGCCAAAGCGGAAGACCTAGTTGCCATTTTGGGGCCAGACAGCTCAAAAGTCATATTTTTCAATACGACTTTTTGGTTCCTGAAGTTCATTCTGATTGTGCACCTAAAATATAATGGATAGAATTCTACAGGATGTGTTGCTAGTGCGTGAAAGCAGTCCATATCCAAGAATCCCCAGGCAGGCAATTCCAGATGGTGGAGACGTCAGATGGGATACCTGTTTCTTGATTATACCATTTCAGAATGCAGGTGGGGTGTGACAGTTGACTTAATGATCTCCATTTTTTCAAAAAGATAATTTTTGTTTATTTTCTTTTACTTTTGTTCATATGCTCATTAATGTGGGCATTGTAATTATATCAGCACTCGTTTGGGCTAAAGTCTCTTTGAAATGGTGTAAAAGCCCATAACAGCAAGACTTTGGGGGCATTTCTTAATCACCTGATGGCCTTTTGGAATATGATTACTACATGTGCTGATATCTGTTCTTTTTGCCTAGAACAGGTCTTTTGCTTGCAGTTAAGTTTCCTTCTTTCCTTCTCCACACTGCAGCCTCCGTCCTGAGTTCCTGCTTCCTGTTGACTCGAGCCCAGGAGACAACTGGAATAAGTATCAGAGTTGTTCCAGAAGTGCTGAAAGAAGGAGATAGTGTCACCTTAACACCAGAAGGTCTTGATCTGAAGAAAATTGCCAGCTGCAAATGGTACCGAGGGGCAGTTGAAGAGAGAAACGTTATTGTTACATATTACCTAGTTCCAGTTAGTGGTCAGGAAAAAGGACCTGCCCACACTGGCAGGGAGACTGGGAAGCCAGATTGCTCCCTTGACATCACAAATTTAAAGCCAGATGACTCTGGAACCTATTCATTGAAAACAGAAGGTCTTGGGGTTACCAACACAGGGGCTACAAACATCACCGTTTCAGGTATGATTAACATGCTCTCCAGTCATTCTTACTTCTTATGCACCCAAATCTATCTCCTCTGCTGTGGGGTGGAGAGGTCTTCCCCCTTGGTGGAGGGGCGGGGGGGCAGGTTGTTGCTTGTGAATTTGTCCTAAACACAGTTCCTCTGCCCGAAGAATGAGGCCCTGCAAAATTATCCATTTTTCCATCAGAAAACTACCGTATTTTTCGCCCTATAGGACGCACTTTTTCCCCTCCAAAAATGAAGGGGAAATGTGTGTGCGTCCTATGGGGCGAATGCAGGCTTTCGCTGAAGCCTGGAGAGCAAGAGGGTCGGTGCGCACCGACCCTCTCGCTCTCCAGGCTTCAGGAAGCTATCTGCAAGCCTGGGGAGCCCTGCGGGAACTCCCGCGGGCTCCCCAGGCTTGCAGATAACAGCCTGCATCCCGAAGCCTGGGGCACGCTGCACAGCGCGCCCCGGGCTTTAGTTCCCCGACCTGGTTTGGAGGCTGGCTTCTCCCTGCCGCCAGCCCCACAAGCTCGGGGGACAGCGGGGAGGCGGAGTGCCACCATCCCGCTGTTCCCCGACCTGGTTTGGAGGCTGGCAGTGGGGAGAAGCCGCCAGCCCCACAAGCTCGGGGGACAGATATCTGCAAGCCTGGGGAGACCGGTGCGACTTCCTGCCGGGCTCCCTAGGCTTGCGGATAGCAGCCTGTTCTGGGGGCTGGGGTCGGGGGAAGCTCGGGCTTCCCCCACCCCAGCCCCATGCCTGGGGGAGAAATTTTTTCCCCTTTATTACCCCCCCAAAAACCTAGGTGCACCCTATGGGGCCAAAAATACAGTATACCAGAATATGCAAGCCTTGCTACTGCCTTTTTAGCTGTTCAATGGGGAAATGTTTGATGTGATTTTTTTGGGGGGGGGGAGTTATATCCATTTAAAAGCATTTTTAAACCAATTAATATTTTAAAATCCCTAAACTCTGTTACTTGCAATAGTAGGAATGGCGGGGGGGGATCCAATACAGTTCACATTTAAAAGCAGACTTTCCTAAGTCACAGTTTCCAAAACAATATGAGAAGACAGCCACCCTTTGAAATTCACACTTACCTGAATTTTGCAGTTCTCCAGCCCAGTAATGTGTCCAAAAACACATACCCCAAGATAATATGTGCATAAGAATGCATATTTGTGATAATAACATGCAAAAATGCATTATAATGTGTGTGTTAGGCAAAATTGGCAAGCAAGTTATGTACATTGGGAGAAATCATACTAAAATCCTGTTGAATTTTTTGAATTTTCATGAGGATTTGTTTTGATGGGAAAATGTATAGAACCGAATAGTAGAGAAATGAGAAACTAAAGTTGACAGATTTGCCTATTCCTCTGCACTGGTCACCCTAACAGACTGTTGTATTAGTTAACTCCCATAATATGCTCTCAATCTGGATTACTAAAGAGACGTAGACCTGCACCATTTCCTCCTGTGCTATCAGTACATGCTCACAGGGGAAATCAAGTTCCTGATTGTTGTTAATGATTTATAGTGCAAAAATAGGAAATGGTAGTGACTCCAGATTAACCAAACTGGAGGGGAAAGAAGGGGTCTTCTGAATGTGGGATGTGAGCCAGTCTTCCTGGATCTGTGGTATTGAAAAGAAGTTGATTCAATTTGGCAAACTTTCTGGAGGAAAAAAAGTAGTTCTCCATTTTGAGTGAATGACACAGACAGGAGTGCCAAGAAAAACTATGAACAGCGGTGCCTGGGTTATCAATAGAATAAGGTTGGCTATATTTGTAGGGTGGTACTCTCTGCCATCTTTCTGCATCTGGTCTTGCACAAAAGTGATTGGAGGGCTACCCCAAAGCGGTAGAGCATCTGCTTTGTAAGCAGAATGTCTCAGGTTCAGTCCCCAACATTTCCAGGTAGGGCTCAGGGGAGAATCCTGTCTGAAATTGTGTAGAGCAACTGCCGGCTGCTGTAGACAATAGTGAGCTAGATAGACTAAGGCAGTGTAAGGCTGTGTTCCTATAAGGGACAGTTCTTCCCCATTCTTTTGGACTGGGGGCTATCCTGCCTTGTTACCTTGGTGAAACTTTCCCGGGGATGTCTTTATACAATGACGTTGGAGCAAATTAATCCACTGTTTTGCATGTGCTGTTCTAGTATGCAACAGGCTGCCGAGCTGCAGAAAGCGAGTGGAGCATCTGCACATTGAGTTAAGGCCACATGGAGGCTGATGTGCATGACCCAAGTGACATGATGAGAAGGGAGTTGGGTGAATATGTGTTGCATTGCTGGTTACATTGTTGTCATGGCGTGGGTTTGTTCCATGTACACCTCGCTTGAACCAGAGAGTTTTCCAAAGTGCCAAAACTGGTGTTACATCCGACTAAGGATGTGTTCACACTTCTTCTGTTTACAGTGCACTTGCACTGCATTTCCAGGGCTGGGTTTTTTAAATCCCTGTTCACATGACGTCGGCCAAAATGCCCATGTTATCTTGTATTTTGTTATAAGATGCTACTGTTTGATGTGTTGTTTCTCAAACCAGCTTCACCCCAGTTGGAATCCTTAAGGTCTGGACACCTTTGCATAGGGTAGAGACATCCCCACTTTGCCAATGCCCCCTGGTGTGTGTGCAAACAGAAACAAATCTGACATGAATGAAGATGCGCTTATGTGAACAGCTTGCAAGGGTGAGGAGCAGGGAAATGCTTTAAGACGGCAGTATCTACCCAAAGTTCTACTTGAAAATGACCCTCTGAAATGAAAGGACCAAATTTAGTCATGTCATTTCAGTGGGCCTACTCTGAGAATGACTAACATTGGGTGCAACCCATTGTCATTAAAATGAGTAGAAGAAGCAAGAGTGACCCATGAGCAGCACTGTAGGAAATGGACAGACCTGACTCATGGGGTGCAATATACATAGGACTTATTGCAATGAACAAGAGCTACATACTTAAAAGAGACAGGTGCAGACAAATCTATTGATGCATTGCACCTCATGTTAATTACCGTATTTTTCACTCTATAAGACGCACCAGACCACAAGACGCACCTAGTTTTTGGAGGAGGAAAACAAGAAAAAAATATTCTGAATCTCAGAAGCCAGAACAGCAAGAGGGATCACTGCGCAGTGAAAGCAGCAATCCCTCTTGCTGTTCTGGCTTCTGGGATAGCTGCGCAGCCTGCATTCGCTCCATAAGACGCACACACATTTCCCCTTACTTTTTAGGAGGGAAAAAGTGAGTCTTATAGAGCAAAAAATACGGTAGTTATACAGTGGGTTCCACTGGACTTTTCCTTGTTTTGCACCAAAATGCCTTTGCTTGCTCCTGAATGGCAGAGTTGGCGTATCAGTACCCCAGGATGATTTAAATACAGTCTGATTTGACTTAGCAGAGGTGATTCCCCAAACCTGGTTGCCTGCGTGGACTTTGGGTTTTAATATTCCAGGGGTGCCCTGTGCAACGCTCCCTGCGGCACCCTCTTGGCCCAGCGCCCAGTGCGGGCGAAGCAATCATGCTCTCCTAAATTCGCCTCTGCATGCATGTTCTCACATGTATGGATTCCTAGATTGTAGTCTGTATCACTGATGTTTGTGTGTTTGGGTCACATTTGTTCATATGCTACAGTATACCAGCTATATTCATCTGAGTGTTGCAACGCGTGCTATCATATTCTGTTAAAAGGGTATTAAACTTGAGTAGGTATGAATGGAATTCAGAATTCTAAAAAATCTGCATATTTGGCAGGGAGGTTTTCTGAAACACTGAATGAGATCATGGATTTGTGAAATCTTAACTATTTTCCAAAGTTGCTGGGCATCTATTTGTTTATTTATTTCTGCTAATATGCCAAAATGGTTGTCTGATCTAGCTTTCTGACAATAATCGGACTGTTGATATACATTATCCACAGGGTTGCTGGAAATGCACATGCGTGAACCAGCACTGAAATATTATCAGATCAAACACTTGTACAGCGCTTGAATACTTGTAGCCGAATGTGGGAACTGAAAAAACACCGAACGCTCAATTACTTGTCAATTATAGATGTGTTCTCCATCCATCAGACTCCGTGGAAGCATCTCTGTTCTTTTCTGTTTTTGTTAATACATTTCCAAAGTGCTTATTTGCTGGGTATTTGTTTCTATCAAGCGTCAGTAGGAGAAAGAAACTGTTGTTAATGGTTCTCTGTTGGCAACCCTCTGGTTTCAAACCAGTGATATGATAGTTCCAACCTGCAGCTGATGTGAGCTGATGCTGGATGAAGCAGCTCACTTTGGGCATCCAATTCCAGGGTGCTATTAAGAGTCAGAATGCAATTCATGATCTGGTGGTGGTGGTGGTGTTATATTTTACCGGCATTTGGATTGCCATTTGGATTTTCCTGCCTTGGGTACCACCCGGCTTCTAAAATGGGGACTGTCTTTGGTTCCCTTTCTCATGCTTTCGCATAGCTCAGCAATGATAACACTGTGTCTCTTCCATCTGTAGAACATCTCTCCAAGCCCAAGGTGCTTGTTTCCCCATCCCCTTTCCTAACTGAGTTCGAGACTGCCATTTTAACTTGCAACACCACGCCTAGAATTGTCAGTGTCGCCTGGTTCTGGGATGGATTGCCTCTCAGGGAGAGCTCTCAGATGCAGCTTTCTGATGCTAATCGGACTCTCACCATCCACGGCATAAACCGCAGCGATGCTGGGGAATATCGCTGTCAAGTGTCCAACCCAGCCTACACTGAAATGAGTGATGCCGTATACATTTCAGTGTTCTGTGAGTATCTGTCTCCAAGCGCCGTCCATTGGACCTGTCCCGGTCTCTGCTTCTTCTCTGTCCTGTGGTATCTTCTCCCGCCTCTACATCTCTTCAGGTGCTTTGGTTTCGAAAAAAGTCTTATTTTATTTCTGATTCTTCAGATCTCTCCGGGTTTCTTCTAGGGAACTTCTTCATGATGCTTGGATAGAGAGTCAAGATATGGTGATTGAACTGTGCCAATGCAATGTGCAAATTTTGTTGTGGTATCCATGAAAACCTAGTCCCAACGGTTCAGTTCAGAAATCCACCTCTGCTGCTGACTGACTCTAGCACCTTGGTCACCTTCCTTGTCTTCTCTGTTCCTCATTAGATTAAATTGTAGTTTACCCTCACCTTCTAACAGGAATGGTCCTGTTCAGTATCTTTGCCAGTCTGCCATGCCCTCCTCCAGAATATCCCATTTCATTCCCCGCCCTGTTTTCCATTTTTTCTTCTTTTCCAACAAACAACATTAGGTGGCTCAGTCCACATGGCTGTTTTTGCTGCCTTTGATTGCTTTTAAATAAAGATTTGGCATAGTTATACAAACCTCAGAATTCCTCCAAGCACTTCCTCTCATTTTCCCAGTGGCATATATAAAGTGTACAATAGGTGTGGTTGGGTTGTTTTTTTTTTACAACGAGCGAAACAACCATAAAATAAATGCAGGTTAAAGTCCGAATTGGATTTCCACATGAAATCAAAGTTGACTTGTCCTTCTGGGAACAACACGCGGAAGGATAATATTAATAATATGGCCCAACGAGTCTGGATTACATTTTTGAAGAGAGGAAGCAACAGATCATTCCAAATAAAAGCATGAAACAGGTAGTCCCAAGAAGAAGCATGATGTCGTGGAACATAAGTTTTGTAGTAACTGAAAACAGTTAAGTTTTTTAGTATTTAATTTAAATATATGTGTGTGTTTGCCATGTAGGGCAGGCAGCATTTGTTCTGTCTCAAGCACCATATTGAGGGCCTTACACAGGAAGGAGTGAAGCCATTGAGAACTAGGAAGAGAAATGGCCTGAGGATTTCCCTCAGATTCATCCTAGCTCTGCCTCAGTTTGAACATTTCGTGGGTCAAACTGGCATGTGGCTCTTCCAGGCAATTTATTCATGTTCCTCTTGCCTGAGGGAGATTATTTGTGGACATGGGAGGAGGCTGAGAAATCTCCAAAATCTCGCTTTGAGGCCCACTTATAAAATCCCAGACTCCCACCCTTTGAGCAGAGAACACTGACAGACATGTTCTCTTCATGAAGATTAAATGAACCAAGCTGCCAACATCTTTCTCTTTTTTTTATCTATTTCCTTCCCTTTTCTTGCCCACTTCAGATAATTCTGAAGCAACAAATAAATCAGGAGAGGGATGTGTGAGGGTTTGCCCCAGAGTCTAGTCAGGTGTGAGGGAGAACGGGCTTGGGCCCGGTCTTGGCTGCCACAGAAAGGCCTCTGCAGGATTTTCCCCCCTCACGCAGTTTTGTTTTTCTCTTCCTCCTCCTCCTCTGTTTCTCATTAACTTGACAACTGTTTTTATTTGCTGGCGTCAGGCGCAGGTTGCTGGCACCGCTCACTGTGGCTCCCTTGGGTAAAAGGGCACCCAGGCAAGCGAGGCGAGGCAGGACGGGGCGGCCTTTTGCAACCGAAAGGCATAAAGGCCTGCTCTGCTAGGGAGCTGAAAAAGGAGGTTTATTAACAAGGCTCTTCTTGCAAAAAAGGGAATATAGCCGCAGCTATGCCTTTTATCAAAGGAGGTGCGATTTTGAGGCTCCGAGTTAGCCCACCTTCACCACACAACTCTCCCTTCTCCAACCCAATAATATAGTTTGCGGTAGTTCAAGGAGTTTAAAAAGTGTTCTTGGGGATAGATTTAAATGCAGAACAAAGCATGCAACTTTTGGGGGCTGCACTGGCAAAACTGAGGCAGAATGAGCCAGACGTCAAAGAGTTCATTGTTGTGACTATAGTATATATCTGGTCCCATCTTGGTAATTATTTCAGTTATTAGAAAGGCAGAGCTGGGAAAACAGGCCCACAGTGCCTAACGGTCATTAAAGTTCCTTATTCTCCAAATAGCAAATTCAATTTCACCAACTATAGCATATAAAATGAGATTGCAAGGCATGATTATTATTGTTTCAGCAAAATGGCTTCCCCTATCAGTCTACTGGAAAGGCAGATTAGCTGCTGTTCTCTGCTGTCTTCAGAAGCCTTCGCCCTAATACACAGACACAACTTGCATTTTTTAAAAACTGAAGAAAAATTAATTTAAGTCTGCTCAGGTACGCAACTCGGCCTTCAGAAACGCCTGGATGAACTTTAGCCATAATTTCTTTAAATAATTTTGTAATTAAATTTTCAACAAAAAAAACCACTGACAAATACAATAACAACCACAAACAAAAGAAAAATATGCACAAAAACAACATCAAAACCATAAAACGGGATTCTCTGAACCCCGTGACTTCGCTCCCACCCACCCACCCCCGGTTCCTTAAGTTTTCTTTTCAGCTGCATATCATTTCTACTCCAAATTATTATTTTTTACCTCAGATTTCCTGTACTATTTCTAAAATTACAAGTGTTTTTAAAATCCTGCCAGTGTATTAACGAACTTTAGGCATAAATTCTAGTGTTTCTGTTTTAGTTATGGACAGAGCACGCAAACTATGAACGATCCACAAAAGTTTTGTATGGGTGGCAGGACAGAAGGCCGTGGGCTCCAGGCCATAGCTGTCAACTTTTCCCTTTTCTTGCTAGGAATCCTATTCGGAATAAGGGAATTTCCCTTAAAAAACGGGAAACGTTGACAGCTATGCTCCAGACCCATTGGGAAAATCCTCTATGAAAACAGCGCACAGCCATCTCTGATCTGTAGGGCTAAATGATCTGACTGCAGCCGCTTTTCCTCCATTCCGTATAAGTGAATAGAGCTGTGAATAGTCTGTTTCCTCCACTAGAAACCGGGTAAGGAGGATTCAATCAGGGAAACCCTTTGCGAAGGAAACACAATCTTTCTGTGCTGCATTTTTAATGCTTATTGTTTTGATCTTTTCACTTGCCGGCCTCCTTGGGAGAACTCGTTCATAAAGGCAGGATGATAAATAATTACAATGAAGGTATAAATAAGTAAAAAAAATGAAATGCCTCCACCACCCTGGTTGCATACAAGAAGGCTGAGGGCCAACTTTTTGCTGGGGGCAGCAAAATATTTTGAGCCATCCCTGTTAGGCGGACTTCCTCCTGTGCCACTTCCTGCGGCACATCCCAGAGAACATCTCTCAGAGGCTGCTAGTATGTGCAGCCATCGCTCCTGTGCTGTATTCTGTGTCCCTGCAGAATAGGAATCAGCCAGTTGAGCATTTTTATTGCGTCATCTAAATAAAGGTCATTCCAGTTCTCCCTAGAGACATGTAGAATAGGAACAGCAGTGTCTGGAAATGGTGCCAGCTAGTACTGACAGGTTGTCCTCCAAACAGGTGCTGTTTGTACAATTGATTTATTTCCTTCTTCCTAGTGCAGAGCCCTGACAATGAATAGAAAGTTTGATCCTGGTCTCAGCCGTGGCTCAAACTAAACCATGAGGGCACTTCTCTCAGTCCTGCTAATTTTCTCAGTCCTGCCCTCTCTGTCTACAGTTGAAAAGGAATTTTTATTATTTCTTTCCTGCCCTGTACCTGTCGGTACTATAAAGCTGCCTCTCATTTTCATTTCATTTCTGATTTGTATACCACCTTTTTATGTTACTCTGCGCAAGTATCTTACTATATAACAAAGATGGCACACCTTATGACAATCTGATCCTATACAAAAATGTCATGATGAAAGCCTAAAATAAACAACTTATATCAAATAAACTAATATTCAATCATCCATTAGGATATAATAATAGCACACAATGAAGTTAAATATCAGCAAATAATAATTAAACAGAAATTCACTCTTAACAGTTACGATAAATAATTTCCAAACTATAATCAACAAAAATAGCAGCAAGTCACAGTGCATAAAATAACACAATACAAATTGTGTTTGCCAGTAAGTTGCGTTGTGGGCCATTTCAATGACAGTCTATAGTTCAACAAGATAAAGTTGCATGCTTTGAATACGGAAGTTTCTGGATTCTGTGCCTCGCACCTCAAGTGAAAGGTTATGGAAAAGACCTTTGCCTGAGATCTTGGAGACCTATTACCAGTTGCATTCAATAGTATTGTGTTAGCTGGACAAATGGTCTCACTTAAATAGCTTCCCCTTGTATGTTACTGAGGCATTTCTCTTCCACAGCTAGCTGGAAATGGAATTAAAATAGATGGTGCTTAATACTATGCCATTTTGTATACAGCAATAGCTGTCCATATGGCCAGGATCCTTCTGTAGTGTCTACTCACAAAAGCATCCCATTCAAGAAAGGCCCCCTTGAAAGCCTCAGTAATATTTTATTCACACCAGACATCATGTTTAGGCTAGAATTACTTTTATAGCAAGCTCCTGCTCATACCAAGGGACGTGGGTGGCGCGGTGGGTTAAACCACAGAGCCTAGGACTTGCCAATCAGAAGGTCGGCGGTTCATGACGGGGTGAGCTCCCGTTGCTCGGTCCCTGCTCCTGCCAACCTAGCAGTTCAAAAGCACGTCAAAGTGCAAGTAGATAAATAGGTACCGCTCCGGCGGGAAGGTAAACGGCATTTCCGTGCGCTGCTCTGGTTCGCCAGAAGCGGCTTTGTCATGCTGGCCACATGACCCAGAAGCTGTACGCTGGCTACCTCGGCTAGTAAAGCGAAATGAGTGCTGCAACCTGAGAGTTGTCCACGACTGGACCTAACAGTCAGGGGTCCCTTTCCCTTTCCCTTTACTTGCTCATACCACCATATGTCAGGTTCGAAGGCAACACAGAAAACCCTGGGACACAACAATTTCCCATAAAAAGTGAAGGAGAAATGGATGGGAACTCCTAGGGAAGGGACTAGTGTGGATGCAACCTCAGTGTAATTCCAGAAGCTGCTGAGCAGGGCCCTATAGTAGCTGTGCAGAAATTGTCTGAAGTGGGGTTTTGGGATCTCATTTTGCAACCAGAAAGCAGAGGTGGAACAAAGGGGAAGGATGCGTACCAAGGTGACAATGACGAAAACCAGCAGCCTGCAGCTAAGACTCATCACTGTAGATCTGTATGGAGATACACCAAGCTTGTTGTCATAACATCTTCTAGGGGTGAGATGCACAGGTCTCTAGGATGCCTGTCAAGGAGCAGCAAATAGACCCATGTGAAGAGATAAGTCCTAGCAAGGTTCTCTCTTAGCACTGTTCTGTTTACTTGTGTCTGTCACCTTTCCCCGGAACATCAGGGGGCTAAAAATTCCCTGTCTTTCTGGCTCCATCTTGTTCTGGTGAAGGAATCTTTCATGTTGCGAAGGGATGGGAGGGAATCTCAGTCACCTGCTGGAATAACAACATGATAGCTTCATCTGTTTGCCTCAGTTGGACCCGAAACACCTGCGATCCAGCCAAATACAAGCGTTTACAATGAGCATTCTGACATCCAGCTCACCTGCACAGCTATTGGAGAGCCTGCTATTGTCTATACTTGGTTTATCAATGGGACAGTATATTCTGTCGGATCCCAACTGCTCATCCGAGACATTTCTGTGGAGCAGTCTGGGACGTATCTCTGCAAGGCGGTGAATAAAGTGACTCGTGACCAGAAAAACACCACCCTGGAAATTGAGGTGGTGGGTGAGTAGCTCGAGAATGGCTATCTGTTGCCACTATTGAAGGAACATGATCTGCTCCGACCTGTTTACTGATTACACCCTGCTGTCAATTTGGGTTGATGAAGCGTTCTCTTTATATCTGAATTTGGACCTCCAGCTCTTAGCTTGTTGTCTCTCATGCTGTGATCCCACTGTGCTTTCATCCAGTGGCTGATTCTTGTTTGTTTTATTTTCATGTCCTTTCTCCCTTAGGGTGTGTCCAATCCAGCATTCTTGATGCTTTAGATTTTTCATCTCAGCTATGACCATTTGATTTGTTTTTTTGGTTTGTGGGGTCAGGATGGAATATGGTGCTGATTGTTAGCCACAAAATCTCAGTTCTTTGTGAAGTGCTATCTTCTGTCTTAAATGTTGTCGAGGAAGCAAACTGTCAACTGGTAGTACAACACTCTCCCGGCGTTGATTTTTCCAATGGTCTCTTCCTTTGTCTGTCTGGGCCCGGTGCCTGTTTCTCTTAATATTGGTTCTTTTCCAAATTGATCAAAACCCAGGGCTGTTGCACTACAAGAAACATGGAGCCCTTTTGCAACTTTTCTTTCTCAACAGGAGAGGTACGTAATGTGACCATTTCCGGCCCCTCTAATGCCAAAGAAAACGATAGTGTCACTTTGAACTGCGATGCTCCTGGCACCAATGTTTCGTATTACTGGCTGAAGGGAAGCCAGCTGATTGAAGGAGGAGGTCATATCTCTCTAGACAACAACAACCAGAGGCTCATTCTCAACCCAGTCACCAGGAACGATGAGGCCAACTACACCTGCTTTGGGAACAACAGCTTCTCTGAAAGTTCCAGTGAGCCACATTGGCTGCAAATCTTCTGTAAGTCTAGACTATGTGGGCAATGGCAGGCAACTGGGGTCCCATAGTCCAAACCCAGCCGCAGTCAATCATAGATTGCCCCATCACATTCTACCTTCTGTAGCAGACAGAAGTGGCTTTTTTAGCTCTTATCACAGCTGGCTTCAGGAGAGAGGAGAAACTGCCAGAGTCTGTCCTGTGCACACGTTTGCTACAGCCTCCCTCTTTTTCTGAGAGCAGTGTGGCTCTCCATTGCAGCTAGCTATGAGTTTACTGGCTACATGAAGTCAAGAAAAGTAAGAGATTTGACCCACACCTGGCACTCAACTATGCATTGGTCCGCAGGTCAATCGTATTGCTAACCCCTAATTCTATTGTTACTGTTGGAGGGTTTTTTCTATTCTCCAATTCATCCAAGAAAGCCCTCCCCCCCCTCCCCGAAATGCTTCTAGTGCACAAATTTCAAATACAAAATACAACATCCTTACGGAGTTGAAAGTGTCATTTTAGGTAACCTTGTGTGTAGCATGCAGGGGACTTTGCCTGTTTGGGCTATCCCAACAAAAGACATAGAGAAAACTGAAATAATCATTGGTTTTCAATACATCTGTCTTTTGATCAATAGGCTGATTGAAATATCATCTGCACCCTGATCATGTTTCTGCTCCTTAATAGATCAATACCAAAGGAAAGGCTCAAGAGTGGGTAGTGAGTGATTTCCCCTGAAGTTCATACTCTTTGCATCTAAAAGAGTCATCTGTTACCTAGAGCCAATTATAATGATATACTGTATATCTTCCCAAATACCCTAGAGGTCATATATTCACTGAGCATCCATTCCCAGGGTGGGGCATCTATTTTTCTCCAGGTCAGTAAGATCGCACGGGGACAGCAGGTTGCAGCAGCAAAGGTTCCAAGGGCTCTGTGTTTTGGCATCAGTGTAGTAACAACTGAGTAGCGCCCTTCCTACTAGCACAGCCTGGCCCTTTCCAACTTGTGGTTTCCTGTATTTGCTTCAGACGGGCCCGACATCCCCACAATCGACCCTCAGGACCCAGTTTATAGAGACCAATCCACCCTTAACCTCTCGTGTTCTGCCAACTCCAACCCACCTGCCAATTATTCTTGGTATCATAATGAGAAACTTCTGGAAGCTCAGAACGAGTCCCAACTCCTGATCTCGCATCTTTCTCTAAATGATGCCGGCAAATATACTTGTAATGCCACCAATGATGTCACCGGCCTTTTCAGCCACACCAGCCTGGAGATCAGCGTCCTGGGTGAGTAGCTTGAAAGCCAGGCTGCATCCTAGGCTAACTTGCGCCTTCCTGTGGCTGATAAGACTGTCCTTGCAGTCACTGCTTCATCTGTACAACGGGGACTTGATTGCGCGAACTCTGTCTCCTGGCCATTTTGGCTAAAAGGATGCATTCCTCGTATTCTGTCACCTCACTGTCCCTTTACAGTATCCATGGCAATCACTCCAGTTCAGTTCTTGATGTACCATGAAGTTTCTCTTCTTCAGGTCAAATCCAGTTCCTGGTCTTGGAGTCTCTCTGTCTCTTACCATATTTCTGGACTCACACTACTTTTTTCCTGTCAATGAAAACTCCCAGATAACAAACAAAAATGTGCCTCTCTCATCTGCCTCTATCCTTTGTTGCCTCAGTCCTCACTTTTCCTCATGGTTTGTTGCTCATTCCAAGTCACAAACTCTCAGTAAATGGACCATTTCTGTTTCTTGTATGCAGTCAACCTTTCCAGGGTTCCAAAGTTTTGCTAGATGTCTTCCAACTTCCTCTGGTATCAACTGGAAGATTTAACCGGTCACTAAGTCTTTATATTTCCTTTATAATAACAAAGCTAATTTTCATTTCACTGTCTTTTCGAGCTAGTTTTCTTTTTTGAGAGGGGGTAGAATATGGCAGAAAATCTCAGTTCTTTGTGAAATGCTACCTTCTGTCTTAAATGTTGTCGAGGAAGCAAACTATCAACTGGTAGTACAACACTCTCCCGGCATTGATTTTTCCAATGGTCTCTTCCTTTGTCTGTCTGAGCCAAGTGCCGGTTTCTCTCAATATTGGTTCTTTTCCAAATTGATCAAAATCCAGGGCTGATGCACTACAAAAAACATGGAGCCCTTTTGCAACTTTTCTTTCTCAACAGGAGAGGTACGTAATGTGACCATTTCCGGCCCCTCTAATGCCAAAGAAAACGATAGTGTCACTTTGAACTGCAGTGCTGCTGGCACCAATGTTTCGTATTACTGGCTGAAGGGAAGCCAGCTGATTGAAGGAGGAGGTCATATCTCTTTAGACAACAACAACCAGAGGCTCATTCTCAACCCAGTCACCAGGAACGATGAGGCCAACTATACCTGCTTTGGGAACAACAGCTTCTCTGAAAGTTCCAGTGAGCCACATTGGCTGCAAATCTTCTGTAAGTCTAGTCTGACTATGTGGGCAATGGCAGGCAGCTGGGGTCCCATAGTCCAAACCGAGCCGCAGTCAGTCTTAGTTTTCACCATCACATTCTAATTTCTGTAGCAGACAAAAGTATATCTTTCAGCCCTTATCACAACTGGCTTCAGGAGGAAGTCGAAACTGCCAGAGTCTGCCCTGAGCACACGTTTGCTATAACCTCCCTCTATTTCTAAGAGCAGTGTGGCTCTCCATTGCAACTAGCTATGAGTGTACTGGCTGCATGAAGTCAAGAAGAGTAAGAGATTTGACCCACACCTGGGACTCAACTATGAATTGGTCCGCAGGTCAATCGTATTACTAACCCCTAATCCTAGTGTTATTATTAGACGTTTTTTTTCCTATGCTCAATTTCAGCCAAGACAGGCCCCTCCCTCACTCCCCCGGACACTCTCCAAGTACACAAATAGAAATTTCAAATAAAAAATACAACTACCTTATGGAATTGAAAGGCTTATTTTAGGTAACCTTGTGTGTAGCGTTCAGGGGACTTTGCTCATTTTCCAAAGGCCAGAAAGCTGTAACTGAAGCTTGAAAGTCTAGTGGCCAATAGGGAGGAATACTATAGAAGGGATCCGGTATTAGTTGCCTTGAGTCACCCAAATCTGCGAGCAACTCGGCTCACTGATACACCCAGTTTCAACAATCCCCAACAAAAGTTGTGGAGAAAACAGAAAGAACTGTTTGGTTTTACTGCATCTGTCCCTTTGATCAATGGGCTGATTGGAATATTATCTGCATCCTGATCAGCTTTCTGCTACATGAAAGGCTAAATAATGAGGATTTAGCATTACTACCCCCCAGCTCAAACCCTTGGGGCCTTATATTCTTCCAAACAACCCCGAGGTGATATATTCACTGAGCATCCATTCCCAGGGATATTTCTCCAGGTTGGAATTGTTGCATGGGGACAGCAGGTCCGGGAAAAAACACGGTTCCAGTGGCTCTATATTTTGGCATCAGTGTCGTAACAACAGAGTAGCACCTCTTCTACCAGCACAGCCTGGCCCTTTCCAACATGTGGTTTTCCTATATTTGCTTCAGACGGGCCCGACATCCCCACAATCAACCCTCAGGAGCCAGTTTACATTGAGCACTTCCCCCTTAACCTCTCGTGTTCTGCCAACTCCAACCCACCTGCCAATTATTCTTGGTATCATAATGAGAAACTTCTGGAAGCTCAGAACGAGTCCCAACTCCTGATCTCGCATCTTTCTCTAAATGATGCCGGCAATTATACTTGTAATGCCACCAATGATGCCACCGGCCTTTTCAGCCACACCAGCCTGGAGATCAGCGTCCTGGGTGAGTAGCTTGAAAGCCAGGCTGCATCCTAGGCTAACTTGCGCCTTCCTGTGGCTGATAAGACTGTCCTTGCAGTCACTGCTTCATCTGTACAACGGGGACTTGATTGCGCGAACTCTGTCTCGTGGCCATTCTGGCTTCCAGGATGCATTCCTCGTATTCTGTCACCTCACTGTCCCTTTACAGTATTCATGGCGATCACTCCAGTTCAGTTCCTGAAGTACCATGAAGTTTCTCTTCTTCAGGTCAAATCCAGTTCCTGGTCTTGGAGTCTCTCTGTCTCTTACCAGATTTCTGGACTCACACTACTTTTTCCCTGTCAATGAAAACTCCCAGATAACAAAGAAAAAATGCGCCTCTCTCATCTGCCTCTATCCATTGTTGCCTCAGTCCTCACTTTTCCTCATGGTGTGTTGCACATTCCAAGTCACAAACTCTCAGTCAATGGACCATTTCTGTTCCTTGTATGCAGTCAACCTTTTCAGGGTTCCAAAGTTTTGCTAGATGTCTTCCCACTTCCTCTGGTATCAACTGGAAGATTTAACCTGTCATTAAGTCTTTCTATTTCCTTTATACTAAGAAAAGCTAATTTTCATTTCACTGTCTTTTCAAGCTGGGTTTTTTTGGGTTGGGAGTAGAATATGGCAGAAAATCTCAGTTCTTTCTGAAGTGCTATCTTCTGTCTTAAATGTTGTCGAGGAAGCAAACTGTCAACTGGTAGTACAACACTCTCCCGGCATTGATTTTTGCAATGGTCTCTTCCTTGTCTGTCTGGGCCCAGTGCCAGTTTCTCTCCATATTGCTTCTTTTCCAAACTGATCAAAATCCAGGGCTGCTGCACTACAAGAAACATGGAGCCCTTTTGCAACTTTTCTTTCTCAACAGGAGAGGTACATAATGTGACCATTTCCGGCCCCTTTAATGCCAAAGAAAACGATAGTGTCACTTTGAACTGCAATGCTCCTGGCACCAATGTTTTGTATTACTGGCTGAAGGGAAGCCAGCTGATTGAAGGAGGAGGTCATATCTCTTTAGACAACAACAACCAGAGGCTCATTCTCAACCCAGTCACCAGGAACGATGAGGCCAACTATACCTGCTTTGGGAACAACAGCTTCTCTGAAAGTTCCAGTGAGCCACATTGGCTGCAAATCTTCTGTAAGTCTAGACTGACTATGTGGGCAATGGCAGGCAGCTGGGGTCCCATAGTCGAAACCGAGCCGCAGTCAGTCTTAGTTTTCACCATCACATTCTAATTTCTGTAGCAGACAAAAGTATATCTTTCAGCCCTTATCACAACTGGCTTCAGGAGGGAGGAGAAACTGCCAGAGTCTGCCCTGAGCACACGTTTGCTATAGCCTCCCTTTTTTTCTAAGAGCAGTGTGGCTCTCCATTGCAACTAGCTATGAGTGTACTGGCTGCATGAAGTCAAGAAGAGTAAGAGATTTGACCCACACCTTTGACTCAACTATGAATTGGTCTGCAGGTCAATCGTAGTGCTAACCCCTAATCCTATTGTTATTATTAGATATTTTTTTCCTCTGCGCCATTTCAGCCTTGACAGGCCCCTCCCTCACTCCCCCGGACCCTCTCCAAGTGCACAAATAGAAATTTCAAATAAAAAATACAACTACCTTATGGAGTTGAAAGGGTTATTTTAGGTAACCTTGTGTGTAGCATTCAGGGGACTTTGCTCATTTTCCAAAGGCCAGAAAGCTATAACTGAAGCTTGAAAGTCTAGTGGCCAATAGGGAGGAATACTATAGAAGGGATCCGGTATTAGTTGCCTTGAGTCACCCAAATCTGCAAGCAACTTGGCTCACTGCCACACCCAGTTTTGACAATCCCAACAAAGGTTGTGGAGAAAACAGAAAGAACTGTTTGGTTTTACTGCATCTGTCCCTTTGATCAATGGGCTGATTGGAATATTATCGGCATCCTGATCAGCTTTCTGCTACATGAAAGGCTAAATAATGAGGATTTAGCATTACTACCCCCCAGCTCAAACCCTTGGGGCCTTATATTCTTCCAAACAACCCCGAGGTGATATATTCACTGAGCATCCATTCCCAGGGATATTTCTCCAGGTTGGAATTGTTGCATGGGGACAGCAGGTCCGGGAAAAAACACGGTTCCAGTGGCTCTATATTTTGGCATCAGTGTCGTAACAACTGAGTAGCACCTCTTCTACCAGCACAGCCTGGCCCTTTCCAACATGTGGCTTTCCTATATTTGCTTCAGACGGGCCCGACATCCCCACAATCGACCCTCAGGAGCCAGTTTACATTGAGCACTTCCCCCTTAACCTCTCATGTTCTGCCAACTCCAACCCACCTGCCAATTATTCTTGGTATCATAATGAGAAACGTCTGGAAGCTCAGAACGAGTCCCAACTCCTGATCTCGCATCTTTCTCTAAATGATGCCGGCAATTATACTTGTAATGCCACCAATGATGCCACCGGCCTTTTCAGCCACACCAGCCTGGAGATCAGCGTCCTGGGTGAGTAGCTTGAAAGCCAGGCTGCATCCTAGGCTAACTTGCGCCTTCCTGTGGCTGATAAGACTGTCCTTGCAGTCACTGCTTCATCTGTACAACGGGGACTTGATTGCGCGAACTCTGTCTCGTGGCCATTCTGGCTTCCAGGATGCATTCCTTGTATTCTGTCACCTCACTGTCCCTTTACAGTATTCATGGCGATCACTCCAGTTCAGTTCCTGAAGTACCATGAAGTTTCTCTTCTTCAGGTCAAATCCATTTCCTGGTGAGTCTCTCTGTCTCTTACCATTATTTCTGGACTCACACTACTTTTTCCCTGTCAATGAAAACTCCCAGATAACAAACAAAAGATGCGCCTCTCTCATCTGCCTCTATCCATCGTTGCCTCAGTCCTCACTTTTCCTCATGGTGTGTTGCACATTCCAAGTCACAAACTCTCAGTCAATGGACCATTTCTGTTCCTTGTATGCAGTCAACCTTTTCAGGGTTCCAAAGTTTTGCTAGATGTCTTCCCACTTCCTCTGGTATCAACTGGAAGGTTTCACCTGTCACTAAGTCTTTATATTTCCTTTATACTAAGAAAGCTAATTTTCATTTCACTGTCTTTTCAAACTGGGTTTTTTTTGGGGTTGGGAGTAGAATATGGCAGAAAATCTCAGTTCTTTCTGAAGTGCTATCTTCTGTCTTAAATGTTGTCGAGGAAGCAAACTGTCAACTGGTAGTACAACACTCTCCCGGCATTGATTTTTGCAATGGTCTCTTCCTTGTCTGTCTGGGCCCAGTGCCAGTTTCTCTCCATATTGCTTCTTTTCCAAACTGATCAAAATCCAGGGCTGTTGCACTACAAGAAACATGGAGCCGTTTTGCAACTTTTCTTTCTCAACAGGAGAGGTACGTAATGTGACCATTTCCGGCCCCTTTAATGCCAAAGAAAACGATAGTGTCACTTTGAACTGCAATGCTGCTGGCACCAATGTTTCGTATTACTGGCTGAAGGGAAGCCAGCTGATTGAAGGAGGAGGTCATATCTCTTTAGACAACAACAACCAGAGGCTCATTCTCAACCCAGTCACCAGGAACGATGAGGCCAACTATACCTGCTTTGGGAACAACAGCTTCTCTGAAAGTTCCAGTGAGCCACACTGGCTGCAAATCTTCTGTAAGTCTAGACTATGTGGGCAATGGCAGGCAACTGGTGTCCCATAGTCCAAACCAAGCCGCAGTCAGTCTTAGTTTTCACCATCACATTCTACTTTCTGTAGCAGACAAAAGTGGCTTTTTTAGCTCTTATCACAGCTGGCTTCAGGAGAGAGGAGAAACTGCCAGAGTCTGTCCTGTGCACACGTTTGCTATAGCCTCCCTTTTTTTCTAAGAGCAGTGTGGCTCTCCATTGCAACTAGCTATGAGTGTACTGGCTGCATGAAGTCAAGAAGAGTAAGAGATTTGACCCACACCTGGGACTCAACTATGAATTGGTCCGCAGGTCAATCGTATTGCTAACCCCTAATCCTAGTGTTATTATTAGACGGTTTTTTTCCTATGTTCCGTTTCAGCCTTGACAGGCCCCTCCCTCACTCCCCCGGACCCTCTCCAAGTGCACAAATAGAAATTTCAAATAAAAAATACAACTTTCTTATGGAGTTTAAAGGTTTATTTTAGGTAACCTTGTGTGTAGCATCCAGGGGACTTCGCTCATTTTCCAAAGGCCAGAAAGCAGTAACTTAAGCTTGAAAGTCTAGTGGCCAATAGGGAGGAATACTGTTAGAAGGGATCCGGTAATAGTTCCCTTGAGTTACCCAAATCTGCAAGCAACTTGGCTCACTTGCTCACCCAGTTTCGACAATCCCAACAAAGGTTGTGAAGAAAACAGAAAGAACTGTTTGGTTTTACTGCATCTGTCCCTTTGATCAATGGGCTGATTGGAATATTATCTGCATCCTGATCAGCTTTCTGCTATGTGAAAGGCTAAATAATGAGGATTTAGCATTACTACCCCCCAGCTCAAACCCTTGGGGCCTTATATTCTTTCAAACAACCCTGAGGTGATATATTCACTGAGCATCCATTCCCAGGGATATTTCTCCAAGTTGAAATTGTTGCATGGGGAAAGCAGGTTGGGGGGGGAATGGTACCAGAGGCTCTGTGTTTTGGCATCAGTGTGGTAACATCTGAGTAACACCTCTTCTACCAGCACAGCCTGGCCCTTTCCAACATGTGGTTTTCCTATATTTGCTTCAGACGGGCCCGACATCCCCACAATCAATCCTCAGGAGCCAGTTTACAGAGAGCAATCCACCCTTAACCTCTCGTGTTCTGCCAACTCCAACCCACCTGCCAGTTATTCTTGGTATCATAATGAGAAACTTCTGGAAGCTCAGAACGAGTCCCAACTCCTGATCTCGCATCTTTCTCTAAATGATGCCGGCAATTATACTTGTAATGCCACCAATGATGCCACCGGCCTTTTCAGCCACACCAGCCTGGAGATCAGCGTCCTGGGTGAGTAGCTTGAAAGCCAGGCTGCATCCTAGGCTAACTTGCGCCTTCCTGTGGCTGATAAGACTGTCCTTGCAGTCACTGCTTCATCTGTACAACGGGGACTTGATTGCGCGAACTCTGTCTCGTGGCCATTCTGGCTTCCAGGATGCATTCCTCGTATTCTGTCACCTCACTGTCCCTTTACAGTATTCATGGCGATCACCCCAGTTCAGTTCCTGAAGTACCATGAAGTTTCTCTTCTTCAGGTCAAATCCAGTTCCTGGTCTTGGAGTCTCTCTGTCTCTTACCATATTTCTGGACTCACACTACTTTTTTCCTGTAAATGAAAAGTCCCAGATAACAATCAAAAAATGCGGCTCTCTCATCTGCCTCTATCCATTGTTGCCTCAGTCCTCACTTTTCCTCATGGTGTGTTGCACATTCCAAGTCACAAACTCTCAGTCAATGGACCATTTCTGTTCCTTGTATGCAGTCAACCTTTTCAGGGTTCCAAAGTTTTGCTAGATATCTTCCCACTTCCTCTGGTATCAACTGGAATGTTTCACCTGTCACTAAGTCTTTATATTTCGTTTATACTAAGAAAGCTAATCTTCATTTCACTGTCTTTTGAAGCTGGGTTTTTTTGGGTTGGGAGTAGAATATGGCAGAAAATCTCAGTTCTTTCTGAAGTGCTATCTTCTGTCTTAAATGTTGTCGAGGAAGCAAACTGTCAACTGGTAGTACAACACTCTCCCGGCATTGATTTTTCCAATGGCCTCTTTTTTGTCTGTCTGGGCCCAGTGCCAGTTTCTCTCCATATTGCTTCTTTTCCAAACTGATCAAAATCCAGGGCTGCTGCACTACAAGAAACATGGAGCCCTTTTGCAACTTTTCTTTCTCAACAGGAGAGGTACATAATGTGACCATTTCCGGCCCCTTTAATGCCAAAGAAAACGATAGTGTCACTTTGAACTGCAGTGCTGCTGGCACCAATGTTTCGTATTACTGGCTGAAGGGAAGCCAGCTGATTGAAGGAGGAGGTCATATCTCTTTAGACAACAACAACCAGAGGCTCATTCTCAACCCAGTCACCAGGAACGATGAGGCCAACTATACCTGCTTTGGGAACAACAGCTTCTCTGAAAGTTCCAGTGAGCCACATTGGCTGCAAATCTTCTGTAAGTCTAGACTGACTATGTGGGCAATGGCAGGCAGCTGGGGTCCCATAGTCCAAACCGAGCCGCAGTCAGTCTTAGTTTTCACCATCACATTCTAATTTCTGTAGCAGACAAAAGTATATCTTTCAGCCCTTATCACAACTGGCTTCAGGAGGGAGGAGAAACTGCCAGAGTCTGCCCTGAGCACACGTTTGCTATAGCCTCCCTTTTTTTCTAAGAGCAGTGTGGCTCTCCATTGCAACTAGCTATGAGTGTACTGGCTGCATGAAGTCAAGAAGAGTAAGAGATTTGACCCACACCTGGGACTCAACTATGAATTGGTCTGCAGGTCGATCGTAGTGCTAACCCCTAATCCTATTGTTATTATTAGATATTTTTTTCCTATGCTCCATTTCAGCCTTGACAAGCCCCCTCCCTCACTCCCCCAGACCCTCTCCAAGTGCACAAATAGAAATTTCAAATAAAAAATACAACTACCTTATGGAGTTGAAAGGGTTATTTTAGGTAACCTTGTGTGTAGCATTCAGGGGACTTTGCTCATTTTCCAAAGGCCAGAAAGCTATAACTGAAGCTTGAAAGTCTAGTGGCCAATAGGGAGGAATACTATAGAAAGGATCCGGTATTAGTTGCCTTGAGTCACCCAAATCTGCGAGCACCTTGGCTCACTGTCACACCCAGTTTCGACAATCCCAACAAAAGTTGTGGAGAAAACAGAAAGAACTGTTTGGTTTTACTGCATCTGTCCCTTTGATCAATGGGCTGATTGGAATATTATCTGCATCCTGATCAGCTTTCTGCTACATGAAAGGCTAAATAATGAGGATTTAGCATTTCTGCCGACAGCTCAAACCCTTGGGGCCTTATATTCTTCCAAACAACCCCGAGGTGATATATTCACTGAGCATCCATTCCCAGGGATATTTCTCCAGGTTGGAATTGTTGCATGGGGACAGCAGGTTCGGGGAAAAACACGGTTCCAGTGGCTCTATATTTTGGCATCAGTGTCGTAACATCTGAGTAGCACCTCTTCTACCAGCACAGCCTGGCCCTTTCCAACATGTGGTTTTCCTATATTTGCTTCAGACGGGCCCGACATCCCCACAATCAACCCTCAGGAGCCAGTTTACATAGAGCACTTCCCCCTTAACCTCTCGTGTTCTGCCAACTCCAACCCACCTGCCAATTATTCTTGGTATCATAATGAGAAACTTCTGGAAGCTCAGAACGAGTCCCAACTCCTGATCTCGCATCTTTCTCTAAATGATGCCGGCAAATATACTTGTAATGCCACCAATGATGCCACCGGCCTTTTCAGCCACACCAGCCTGGAGATCAGCGTCCTGGGTGAGTAGCTTGAAAGCCAGGCTGCATCCTAGGCTAACTTGCGCCTTCCTGTGGCTGATAAGACTGTCCTTGTAGTCACTGCTTCATCTGTACAACGGGGACTTGATTGCGCGAACTCTGTCTCGTGGCCATTCTGGCTTCCAGGATGCATTCCTCGTATTCTGTCACCTCACTGTCCCTTTAGAGTATTCATGGCGATCACTCCAGTTCAGTTCCTGAAGTACCATGAAGTTTCTCTTCTTCAGGCCAAATCCATTTCCTGGTCTTGGAGTCTCTCTGTCTCTTACCATTATTTCTGGACTCACACTACTTTTTCCCTGTCAATGAAAACTCCCAGATAACAAAGAAAAAATGCGCCTCTCTCATCTGCCTCTATCCATTGTTGCCTCAGTCCTCACTTTTCCTCATGGTGTGTTGCACATTCCAAGTCACAAACTCTCAGTCAATGGACCATTTCTGTTCCTTGTATGCAGTCAACAATTTCAGGGTTCCAAAGTTTTGCTAGATGTCTTCCCACTTCCTCTGATATGAACTGGAAGGTTTCAACTGTCACTAAGTCTTTATATTTCCTTTATAATAAGAAAAGCTAATTTTCATTTCTTGTCTTTTCAAACTGGGGTTTTTCTTTGGAGGGGATAGAATATGGCTCTGATGTTTGGCCACAAAATCTCAGTTCTTTCTGAAGTGCTATCTTCTATCTTAAATGTTGTCGAGGAAGCAAACTATCAACTGGTAGTACAACACTCTCCCGGCATTGATTTTTGAAATGGTCTCTTCCTTTGTCTGTCTGGGCCCAGTGCCAGTTTCTCTCCATATTGCTTCTTTTCCAAACTGATCAAAATCCAGGGCTTCTGCACTACAAGAAACATGGAGCCCTTTTGCAACTTTTCTTTCTCAACAGGAGAGGTACGTAATGTGACCATTTCCGGCCCCTTTAATGCCAAAGAAAACGATAGTGTCACTTTGAACTGCAATGCTGCTGGCACCAATGTTTCGTATTACTGGCTGAAGGGAAGCCAGCTGATTGAAGGAGGAGGTCATATCTCTTTAGACAACAACAACCAGAGGCTCATTCTCAACCCAGTCACCAGGAAGGATGAGGCCAACTACACCTGCTTTGGGAACAACAGCTTCTCTGAAAGTTCCAGTGAGCCACATTGGCTGCAAATCTTCTGTAAGTCTAGACTGACTATGTGGGCAATGGCAGGCAACTGGTGTCCCATAGTCCAAACCCAGCCGCAGTCAATCATAGGTTGCCCCATCATATCATACCTTCTGTAGCAGACAGAAGTGGCTTTTTTAGCTCTTATCACAGCTGGCTTCAGGAGGGAGGAGAAACTGCCAGAGTCTGCCCTGAGCACACGTTTGCTACAGCCTCCCTCTTTTTCTGAGAGCAGTGTGGCTCTCCATTGCAACTAGCTATGAGTATACTGGCTGCATGAAGTCAAGAAGAGTAAGAGATTTGACCCACACCTGGGACTCAACTATGAATTGGTCTGCAGGTCAATCGTATTGCTAACCCCTAATCCTAGTGTTATTATTAGAGGGGTTTTTCCCTATGCTCCATTTCATCCAAGACAGGCCCCTCCCTCACGCCCCCAGACACTGTCCAAGTACACAAATATAAATTTCAAATAAAAAACACAACTTCCTGATGGAGTTGAAAGGTTTATATTAGGTAACCTTGTGTGTAGCATCCAGGGGACTTTGCTCATTTTCCAAAGGCCAGAAAGCTGTAACTGAAGCTTGAAAGTCTAGTGGCCAATAGGGAGGAATACTATAGAAGGGATCCGGTATTACCGTAGTTGCCTTGAGTCACCCAAATCTGCGAGCAACTCGGCTCACTGATACACCCAGTTTCGACAATCCCAACAAAAGTTGTGGAGAAAACAGAAAGAACTGTTTGGTTTTACTGCATCTGTCCCTTTGATCAATGGGCTGATTGGAATATTATCTGCATCCTGATCAGCTTTCTGCTATGTGAAAGGCTGAATAATGGGAATTTAGCATTCCTATCGCACCCTTAGGGTCCTGATATTCTTCCAAATAACCCCGAGGTGATATATTCACTGAGCATCCATTCCCAGGGATATTTCTCCAGGTTGGAATTGTTGCATGGGGACAGCAGGTTGGGGAAAAAAAACACGGTTCCAGTGGCTCTATATTTTGGCATCAGTGTCGTAACAACAGAGTAGCACCTCTTCTACCAGCACAGCCTGGCCCTTTCCAACATGTGGTTTTCCTATATTTGCTTCAGACGGGCCCGACATCCCCACAATCAACCCTCAGGAGCCAGTTTACATAGAGCACTTCCCCCTTAACCTCTCGTGTTCTGCCAACTCCAACCCACCTGCCAATTATTCTTGGTATCATAATGAGAAACTTCTGGAAGCTCAGAACGAGTCCCAACTCCTGATCTCGCATCTTTCTCTAAATGATGCCGGCAATTATACTTGTAATGCCACCAATGATGCCACCGGCCTTTTCAGCCACACCAGCCTGGAGATCAGCGTCCTGGGTGAGTAGCTTGAAAGCCAGGCTGCATCCTAGGCTAACCTGCGCCTTCCTGTGGCTGATAAGACTGTCCTTGCAGTCACTGCTTCATCTGTACAATGGGGACTTGATTGCGCGAACTCTGTCTCGTGGCCATTCTGGCTTCCAGGATGCATTCCTTGTATTCTGTCACCTCACTGTCCCTTTACAGTATTCATGGCGATCACTCCAGTTCAGTTCCTGAAGTACCATGAAGTTTCTCTTCTTCAGGTCAAATCCAGTTCCTGGTCTTGGAGTCTCTCTGTCTCTTACCAGATTTCTGGACTCACACTACTTTTTCCCTGTCAATGAAAACTCCCAGATAACAAAGAAAAAATGCGCCTCTCTCATCTGCCTCTATCCATTGTTGCCTCAGTCCTCACTTTTCCTCATGGTGTGTTGCACATTCCAAGTCACAAACTCTCAGTCAATGGACCATTTCTGTTCCTTGTATGCAGTCAATCTTTTCAGGGTTCCAAAGTTTTGCTAGATGTCTTCCCACTTCCTCTGGTATCAACTGGAAGGTTTCACCTGTCACTTAAGTCTTTATATTTCCTTTATACTAAGAAAGCTAATTTTCATTTCACTTTCTTTTCAAACTGGGATTTTTTTGGGGGGGGGATAGAATATGGCTCTGATGTTTGGCCACAAAATCTCAGTTCTTTGTGAAGTGCTATCTTCTGTCTTACATGATGTCGAGGAAGTAAACTGTCAACTGGTAGTACAACACTCTCCCGGCATTGATTTTTCCCATGGTCTCTTCTTTGTCTGTCTGGGCCCAGTGCCGGTTTCTCTCAATATTGCTCCTTTTCCAAATTGATCAAAACCCAGGGCTGTTGCACTACAAGAAACATGGAGCCCTTTTGCAACTTTTCTTTCTCAACAGGAGAGGTACGTAATGTGACCATTTCCGGCCCCTCTAATGCCAAAGAAAACGATAGTGTCACTTTGAACTGCAATGCTGCTGGCACCAATGTTTCATATTACTGGCTGAAGGGAAGCCAGCTGATTGAAGGAGGAGGTCATATCTCTTTAGACAACAACAACCAGAGGCTCATTCTCAACCCAGTCACCAGGAAGGATGAGGCCAACTACACCTGCTTTGGGAACAACAGCTTCTCTGAAAGTTCCAGTGAGCCACATTGGCTGCAAATCTTCTGTAAGTCTAGACTGACTATGTGGGCAATGGCAGGCAGCTGGGGTCCCATAGTCCAAACCCAGCCGCAGTCAGTCTTAGTTTTCACCATCACATTCTAATTTCTGTAGCAGACAAAAGTATATCTTTCAGCCCTTATCACAACTGGCTTCAGGAGGAAGTCGAAACTGCCAGAATCGATCCTGTGCACACATTTGCTACAGCCTCCCTCTTTTTCTGAGAGCAGTGTGGCTCTCCATTGCAACTAGCTATGAGTATACTGGCTGCATGAAGTCAAGAAGAGTAAGAGATTTGACCCACACCTTTGACTCAACTATGAATTGGTCTGCAGGTCGATCGTATTGCTAACCCCTAATCCTATTGTTATTATTAAATATTGTTTCCTATGATCCAGGCAAGACAGGCCCCTCCCTCACTCCCCCGGACACCCTCCAAGCGCACAAATAGAAATTTCAAATAAAAAGTACAACTTCCTTATGGAGTTGAAAGGGTTATTTTAGGTAACGTTATGTGTAGCATTCAGGGGACTTTGCTCATTTTCCAAAGGCCAGAAAGCTATAACTGAAGCATGAAAGTCTTAGTGGCCAGTAGGGAGGAATACTATAGAAAGGATCCGGTATTAGTTGCCTTGAGTCACCCAAATCTGCAAGCAACTTGGCTCACTGCCACACCCAGTTTCAACAATCCCAACAAAGGTTGTGGAGAAAACAGAAAGAACTGTTTGGTTTTACTGCATCTGTCCCTTTGATCAATGGGCTGATTGGAATATTATCTGCATCCTGATCAGCTTTCTGCTATGTGAAAGGCTATATAATGGGGATTTAGCATTCCTACCCCCCAAGCTCAAACCCTTAGGGTCCTGATATTCTTTCAAACAACCCTGAGGTGATATATTCACTGAGCATCCATTCCCAGGGATATTTCTCCAAGTTGAAATTGTTGCATGGGGAAAGCAGGTTGGGGAAAAAAAACACGGTTCCAGTGGCTCTATATTTTGGCATCAGTGTCGTAACAACAGAGTAGCACCTCTTCTACCAGCACAGCCTGGCCCTTTCCAACATGTGACTTTCCTATATTTGCTTCAGACGGGCCCGACATCCCCACAATCAACCCTCAGGAGCCAGTTTACATAGAGCACTTCCCCCTTAACCTCTCGTGTTCTGCCAACTCCAACCCACCTGCCAATTATTCTTGGTATCATAATGAGAAACTTCTGGAAGCTCAGAACGAGTCCCAACTCCTGATCTCGCATCTTTCTCTAAATGATGCCGGCAATTATACTTGTAATGCCACCAATGATGCCACCGGCCTTTTCAGCCACACCAGCCTGGAGATCAGCGTCCTGGGTGAGTAGCTTGAAAGCCAGGCTGCATCCTAGGCTAACCTGCGCCTTCCTGTGGCTGATAAGACTGTCCTTGCAGTCACTGCTTCATCTGTACAACGGGGACTTGATTGCGCGAACTCTGTCTCGTGGCCATTTTGGCTTCCAGGATGCATTCCTCGTATTCTGTCATCTCACTGTCCCTTTACAGTATCCATGGCAATCACTCCAGTTCAGTTCCTGAAGTACCATGAAGTTTCTCTTCTTCAGGTCAAATCCAGTTCCTGGTCTTGGAGCCTCTCTGTCTCTGACCATATTTCTGGACTCACACTACTTTTTTCCTGTCAATGAAAACTCCCAGATCACAAACAAAAAATGCGCCTCTCTCATCTGCCTCTATCCATCGTTTGCTCAGTCCTCCCTTTTCCTCATGGTGTGTTGCACATTCCAAGTCACAAACTCTCAGTCAATGGACCAATTCTGTTCCTTGTATACAGTCAATCTTTTCAGGGTTCCAAAGTTTTGCTAGATGTCTTCCCACTTCCTCTGGTATCAACTGGAAGGTTTCACCTGTCACTAAGTCTTTATATTTATTTTATAATAACAAAGCTAATTTTCATTTCACTGTCTTTTCAAGCTGGTTTTTTTTGGGGGGAGGGGTGGAATATGGCTCTGATGTTTGGCCACAAAATCTCAGTTCTTTCTGAAATGCTACCTTCTGTCTTAAATGTTGTCAAAAAGCAAACCGTCAACTGGTAGTACAACACACTCCCGGCATTGATTTTTCCAATGGTCTCTTCTTTGTCTGCCTGGGCCCAGTGCCGGTTTCTCTTAATATTGGTTCTTTTCCAAATTGATCAAAACCCAGGGCTGTTGCACTACAAGAAACATGGAGCCCTTTTGCAACTTTTCTTTCTCAACAGGAGAGGTACGTAATGTGACCATTTCCGGCCCCTCTAATGCCAAAGAAAACGATAGTGTCACTTTGAACTGCAATGCTGCTGGCACCAATGTTTCATATTACTGGCTGAAGGGAAGCCAGCTGATTGAAGGAGGAGGTCATATCTCTTTAGACAACAACAACCAGAGGCTCATTCTCAACCCAGTCACCAGGAAGGATGAGGCCAACTACACCTGCTTTGGGAACAACAGCTTCTCTGAAAGTTCCAGTGAGCCACATTGGCTGGAAATCTTCTGTAAGTCTAGTCTGACTATGTGGGCAATGGCAGGCAACTGGGGTCCCATAGTCCAAACCCAGCCGCAGTCAGTCATAGATTGCCCCATCACATTCTACTCTCTGTAGCAGACAGAAGTGGCTCTTTCAGCCCTTATCACAGCTGGCTTCAGGAGGGAGGAGAAACTGCCAGAGTCTGTCCTGTGCACACGTTTGCTATAGCCACCCGCTTTTTCTGAGAGCAGTGTGGCTCTCCATTGCAGCTAGCTGTGAGTATGCTGGCTGCATGAAGTCAAGAAGAGTAAGAGATCTGACCCACACCTGGGACTCAACTATGAATTGGTCTGCAGGTCAGTCGTATTGCTAACCCCTAATCCTATTGTTAAGGGATGCGGGTGGCGCTGTGGGTTAAAGCCTCAGCACCTAGGGACTTGCCGATCGAAAGGTCGGCGGTTCGAATCCCCACGGCAGGATGCGCTCCCGTCGGTCCCAGCGCCTGCCAACCTAGCAGTTCGAAAGCACCCTCGGGTGCAAGTAGATAAATAGGGACCGCTTACCAGCGGGAAGGTAAACGGCGTTCTGTGTGCTGCGCTGGCTCGCCAGATGCAGCTTGTCACGCTGGCCACGTGACCCGGAAGTGTCTTCGGACAGCGCTGGCTCCCGGCCTTTAGAGTGAGATGAGCGCACAACCCTAGAGTCTGGCAAGACTGGCCCGTACGGGCAGGGGTACCTTTACCTTTAATCCTATTGTTATTGTTGGAGGGTTTTTTCTATTCTCCAATTCATCCAAGAAAGCCCTCCCCCCCCCCGAAACGCTTCTAGTACACAAATTTCAAATACAAAATACAACTTTCTTACGGAGTTGAAAGTGTCATTTTAGGTAACCTTGTGTGTAGAATTCAGGGGACTTTGCCTGTTTGGGCTATGCCAACAAAAGACATAGAGAAAACTGAAATAATCATTGGTTTTCAACACATCTGTCTTTTGATCAATAGACTGATTGAAATATCATCTGCACCCTGATCATGTTTCTGCTCCTTACTAGATCAATACCAAAGGAAAGACTCAAGAGTGGGTAGTGAGTGATTTCCCCTGAAGTTCATACTCTTTGCATCTAAAAGAGTCGTCTAACCTAGAGCCAATTTTAATGATATACTGTATATCTTCCCAAATACCCTAGAGGTCATATATTCACTGAGCATCCATTCCCAGGGTGGGGCATCTATTTTTCTCCAGGTCAGTAAGATCGCACGGGGACAGCAGGTTGCAGCAGCAAAGGTTCCAAGGGCTCTGTGTTTTGGCATCAGTGTAGTAACAACTGAGTAGCGCCCTTCCTACTAGCACAGCCTGGCCCTTTCCAACATGCGGTTTCCTGTATTTGCTTCAGACGGGCCCGACATCCCCACAATCGACCCTCAGGACCCAGTTTATAGAGACCAATCCACCCTTAACCTCTCGTGTTCTGCCAACTCCAACCCACCTGCCAATTATTCTTGGTATCATAATGAGAAACTTCTGGAAGCTCAGAACGAGTCCCAACTCCTGATCTCGCATCTTTCTCTAAATGATGCCGGCAAATATACTTGTAATGCCACCAATGATGTCACCGGCCTTTTCAGCCACACCAGCCTGGAGATCAGCGTCCTGGGTGAGTAGCTTGAAAGCCAGGCTGCATCCTAGGCTAACTTGCGCCTTCCTGTGGCTGATAAGACTGTCCTTGCAGTCACTGCTTCATCTGTACAATGGGGACTTGATTGCGCGAACTCTGTCCCGTGGCCATTTTGGCTTCCAGGATGCATTCCTCGTATTCTGTCACCTCACTGTCCCTTTACAGTATCCATGGCAATCACTCCAGTTCAGTTCTTGATGTACCATGAAGTTTATCTTCTTCAGGTCAAATCCAGTTCCTGGTCTTGGAGTCTCTCTGTCTTTTACCATATTTCTGGACTCACACTACTTTTTTCCTGTCAATGAAAACTCCCAGAAAACAAAGAAAAAATGCACCTCTCTCATCTGCCTCTAGCCATTGTTGCCTCAGGCCTCACTATTCCTCATGGTGTTTTGCACATTCCAAGTCACAAACTCTCAGTCAATGGACCATTTCTGTTCCTTGTATGCACTCAACCTTTTCAGGGTTCCAAAGTTTTGCTAGAAGTCTTCCCACTTCCTCTGGTATCAACTGGAAGGTTTCACCTGTCACTAGGTCTTTATATTTCCTTTATAATAACAAAGCTATTTTCATTTCACTGTCTTTTCAAACTGGGGGTTTTTGGGGGGTGTAGAATATGGCTCTGATGTTTGGCCACAAAATCTCAATTCTCTGTGAAGTGCTATCTTCTGTCTTAAATGTTGTCGAGGAAGCAAACTATCAACTGGTAGTACAACACTCTCCCGGCATTGATTTTTCCAATGGTCTCTTCCTTTGTCTGTCTGAGCCCAGTGCCGGTTTCTCTCAGTATTGGTTCTTTTCCAAATTGATCAAAATCCAGGGCTGATGCACTACAAGAAACATGGAGCCCTTTTGCAACTTTTCTTTCTCAACAGGAGAGGTACGTAATGTGACCATTTCCGGCCCCTCTAATGCCAAAGAAAACGATAGTGTCACTTTGAACTGCAATGCTGCTGGCACCAATGTTTCATATTACTGGCTGAAGGGAAGCCAGCTGATTGAAGGAGGAGGTCATATCTCTTTAGACAACAACAACCAGAGGCTCATTCTCAACCCAGTCACCAGGAACGATGAGGCCAACTACACCTGCTTTGGGAACAACAGCTTCTCTGAAAGTTCCAGTGAGCCACATTGGCTGCAAATCTTCTGTAAGTCTAGACTGACTATGTGGGCAGTGGCAGGCAACTGGGGTCCCATAGTCCAAACCCAGCCGCAGTCAGTCTTAGTTTTCACCATCACATTCTAATTTCTGTAGCAGACAAAAGTATATCTTTCAGCCCTTATCACAACTGGCTTCAGGAGGAAGTCGAAACTGCCAGAGTCTGCCCTGAGCACACGTTTGCTATAGCCTCCCTCTTTTTCTAAGAGCAGTGTGGCTCTCCATTGCAACTAGCTATGAGTATACTGGCTGCATGAAGTCAAGAAGAGTAAGAGATTTGACCCACACCTGGGACTCAACTATGAATTGGTCTGCAGGTCAATCGTATTGCTAACCCCTAATCCTATTGTTATTATTAGATATTTTTTTCCTATGCTCCATTTCAGCCAAGACAGGCCCCTCCCTCACTCCCCCGGACACTCTCCAAGTACACAAATAGAAATTTCAAATAAAAAACACAACTTCCTGATGGAGTTGAAAGGGTTATTTTAGCTAACCCTGTGTGTAGCATCCAGGGGACTTCGCTCTTTTTCCAAAGGCCAGAAAGCTGTAACTGAAGCTTGAAAGTCTAGTGGCCAATAGGGAGGAATACTATAGAAAGGATGCGGTATTAGTTGCCTTGAGTCACCCAAATCTGCGAGCAACTTGGCTCACTGTCACACCCAGTTTCGACAATCCCCAACAAAAGTTGTGGAGAAAACAGAAAGAACTGTTTGGTTTTACTGCATCTGTCCCTTTGATCAATGGGCTGATTGGAATATTATCGGCATCCTGATCAGCTTTCTGCTACATGAAAGGCTAAATAATGAGGATTTAGCATTACTACCCCCCAGCTCAAACCCTTAGGGTCCTTATATTCTTCCAAACAACCCCGAGGTGATATATTCACTGAGCATCCATTCCCAGGGATATTTCTCCAGGTTGGAATTGTTGCATGGGGACAGCAGGTCCGGGAAAAAACACGGTTCCAGTGGCTCTATATTTTGGCATCAGTGTCGTAACAACAGAGTAGCACCTCTTCTACCAGCACAGCCTGGCCCTTTCCAACATGTGACTTTCCTATATTTGCTTCAGACGGGCCCGACATCCCCACAATCAACCCTCAGGAGCCAGTTTACATTGAGCACTTCCCCCTTAACCTCTCATGTTCTGCCAACTCCAACCCACCTGCCAATTATTCTTGGTATCATAATGAGAAACTTCTGGAAGCTCAGAACGAGTCCCAACTCCTGATCTCGCATCTTTCCCTAAATGATGCCGGCAAATATACTTGTAATGCCACCAATGATGCCACCGGCCTTTTCAGCCACACCAGCCTGGAGATCAGCGTCCTGGGTGAGTAGCTTGAAAGCCAGGCTGCATCCTAGGCTAACTTGCGCCTTCCTGTGGCTGATAAGACTGTCCTTGCAGTCACTGCTTCATCTGTACAACGGGGACTTGATTGCGCGAACTCTGTCTCGTGGCCATTCTGGCTTCCAGGATGCATTCCTCGTATTCTGTCATCTCACTGTCCCTTTACAGTATTCATGGCGATCACTCCAGTTCAGTTCCTGAAGTACCATGAAGTTTCTCTTCTTCAGGCCAAATCCATTTCCTGGTCTTGGAGTCTCTCTGTCTCTTACCATTATTTCTGGACTCACACTACTTTTTCCCTGTCAATGAAAACTCCCAGATAACAAACAAAAATGTGCCTCTCTCATCTGCCTCTATCCATTGTTGCCTCAGGCCTCACTTTTCCTCATGGTGTGTTGCACATTCCAAGTCACAAACTCTCAGTCAATGGACCATTTCTGTTCTTGTATGCAGTCAACAATTTCAGGGTTCCAAAGTTTTGCTAGATGTCTTCCCACTTCCTCTGATATGAACTGGAAGGTTTCAACTGTCACTAAGTCTTTATATTTCCTTTATAATAAGAAAAGCTAATTTTCATTTCACTGTCTTTTCAAACTGGGGTTTTTTTTTGGGGGGGGGATAGAATATGGCTCTGATGTTTGGCCACAAAATCTCAGTTCTTTGTGAAGTGCTATCTTCTGTCTTAAATGTTGTCGAGGAAGCAAACTATCAACTGGTAGTACAGCACTCTCCCAGCGTTGATTTTTCCAATGGTCTCTTCCTTTGTCTGTCTGGGCCCGGTGCCGGTTTCTCTCAATATTGCTCATTTTCCAAATTGATTGAAATCCAGGGCTGTTGCACTACAAGAAACATGGAGCCCTTTTGCAACTTTTCTTTCTCAACAGGAGAGGTACATAATGTGACCATTTCCGGCCCCTCTAAAGCCAAAGAAAACGATAGTGTCACTTTGAACTGCAGTGCTGCTGGCACCAATGTTTCGTATTACTGGCTGAAGGGAAGCCAGCTGATTGAAGGAGGAGGTCATATCTCTTTAGACAACAACAACCAGAGGCTCATTCTCAACCCAGTCACCAGGAACGATGAGGCCAACTACACCTGCTTTGGGAACAACAGCTTCTCTGAAAGTTCCAGTGAGCCACATTGGCTGCAAATCTTCTGTAAGTCTAGACTGACTATGTGGGCAATGGCAGGCAACTGGGGTCCCATAGTCCAAACCGAGCCGCAGTCAGTCTTAGTTTTCACCATCACATTCTAATTTCTGTAGCAGACAAAAGTATATCTTTCAGCCCTTATCACAACTGGCTTCAGGAGGGACGAGAAACTGCCAGAGTCTGTCCTGTGCACACGTTTGCTATAGCCACCCGCTTTTTCTGAGAGCAGTGTGGCTCTCCATTGCAACTAGCTATGAGTGTACTGGCTGCATGAAGTCAAGAAGAGTAAGAGATCTGACCCACACCTGGGACTCAACTATGAATTGGTCCGCAGGTCAATCGTATTGCTAACCCCTAATCCTATTGTTATTATTAGAGATTTTTTTCCTATGCTCCATTTCATCCAAAACAGGCCCCTCCCTCACACCCCCGGACCCTCTCCAAGTGCACAAGTAGAAATTTCAAATAAAAAACACAACTTCCTGATGGAGTTGAAAGGGTTATTTTAGCTAACCTTGTGTGTAGCATCCAGGGGACTTTGCTCATTTTCCAAAGGCCAGAAAGCTGTAACTGAAGCTTGAAAGTCTTAGTGGCCAGTAGGGAGGAATACTATAAAAAGGATCCAGTATTAGTTGCCTTGAGTCACCCAAATCTGCAAGCAACTTGGCTCACTGCCACACCCAGTTTCGACAATCCCAACAAAAGTTGTGGAGAAAACAGAAAGAACTGTTTGGTTTTACTGCATCTGTCCCTTTGATCAATGGGCTGATTGGAATATTATCTGCATCCTGATCAGCTTTCTGCTACATGAAAGGCTAAAACATGGGGATTTAGCATTCCTACCCCCCCCCATCTCAAACCCTTAGGGTCCTGATATTCTTCCAAACAACCCTGAGATGATATATTCTCTCTCTCTCTCTCTCTCTCTCTCACACACACACACACACACACACACACACACACATATATATATATATATATATATATATATATTCACTGATGATATATCCATTCCCAGGGAGATTTCTCCAGGTTGGAATTGTTGCATGGGGGCAGCAGGTTGGGGTGGAAAAACAATTCCAGAGGCTCTATGTTTTGGCATCAGTGTATTAACAACAGAGTAGCACCTCTTCTACCAGCACAGCCTGGCCCTTTCCAACATGTGACTTTCCTATATTTGCTTCAGACGGGCCCGACATCCCCACAATCAACCCTCAGGAGCCAGTTTACATTGAGCACTTCCCCCTTAACCTCTCGTGTTCTGCCAACTCCAACCCACCTGCCAATTACTCTTGGTATCATAATGAGAAACTTCTGGAAGCTCAGAACGAGTCCCAACTCCTGATTTCGCATCTTTCTCTAAATGATGCCGGCAATTATACTTGTAATGCCACCAATGATGCCACCGGCCTTTTCAGCCACACCAGCCTGGAGATCAGCGTCCTGGGTGAGTAGCTTGAAAGCCAGGCTGCATCCTAGGCTAACCTGCGCCTTCCTGTGGCTGATAAGACTGTCCTTGCAGTCACTGCTTCATCTGTACAACGGGGACTTGATTGCGCGAACTCTGTCCCGTGGCCATTCTGGCTTCCAGGATGCATTCCTCGTATTCTGTCACCTCACTGTCCCTTTACAGTATCCATGGCGATCACTCCACTTCAGTTCCTGAAGTACCATGAAGTTTCTCTTCTTCAGGTCAAATCCAGTTCCTGGTCTTGGAGTCTCTCTGTCTCTGACCATATTTCTGGACTCACACTACTTTTTTCCTGTCAATGAAAACTCCCAGATCACAAACAAAAAATGCACCTCTCTCATCTGCCTCTAGCCATCGTTTCCTCAGTCCTCACTTTTCCTCATGGTGTGTTGCACATTCCAAGTCACAAACTCTCAGTCAATGGACCATTTCTGCTCCTTGTATGCAGTCAACCTTTCCAGGGTTCCAAAGTTTTGCTAGATGTCTTCCCACTTCCTCTGGTATCAACTGGAAGGTTTCACCTGTCACTAAGTCTTTCTATTTCCTTTATAATAACAAAGCTAATTTTCATTTCACTGTCTTTTCAAGCTGGTTTTTTTTGGGAGGGAGGTAGAATATGGCTCTGATGTTTGGCCACAAAATCTCAGTTCTTTCTGAAATGCTACCTTCTGTCTTAAATGTTGTCAAAAAGCAAACCGTCAACTGGTAGTACAACACACTCCCAGTGTTGATTTTTCCAATGGTCTCTTCTTTGTCTGCCTGGGCCCAGTGCCGGTTTCTCTTAATATTGGTTCTTTTCCAAATTGATCAAAATCCAGGGCTGTTGCACTACAAGAAACATGGAGCCCTTTTGCTCCATGTTTCACACTACTTTTTCCCTGTCAATGAAAAACACCGAAATAACGAAGCAAAATGTGCAGACTTTCCTGCCATTTCTTCTCCTTTGTGTGCCTTGTCTTCAAGAACCTTCCTTCTAGAAATTTGATTCATGTGGGGGTTCAAGTTGGCAAGGGTTCCTGAATGGACCCTTTCCCTCTAGTTGCTTGCCTTCATTAACTTTGTTCTACTTTGGATTTATCTTGGTCCTCTGTCGATGATCATCTTTATTCCAAAACCTGGATCAGAAGATTTTCCACTGATTTGCGCTGAAATCCCAAATAACTCATTCCCAAAGAAGCAAACTCTGTTCTTTTATTCCCTGTTGCCGAACCTTCAGATTTCATCACACCAGTTCCTTCACTGCTGTGGATTCCGTCTTCCTTGTGAAATGCATCAGAGATGGGATTGTAATTAATGTTCGCTGCAGTTCTTCTGTTTTTAGGTTATTTACTGTATCAACTATTTTCTTGTCCACTTCTTTTGCCTTGTTCCATGTTGACATTCATCCCAGACTGGACATTCATTTCACACTGACAACCTTTTGCATCCGATAATGTTGAAGTGTTCCTATGTGTGCCCTCCTGTTCTTTGCATCTGCCAACTTGTTCCTTTATGCTGCAGAATTTAGTTTATCGAAGCTTCCTAATTGAAAATAAAGAAGAGTTTCACCTCTCTGCGGCAAACGGATCACACTGCAGGACCTTTCCTTAAATGACAGCTGGATATATTCAACTTCCAAGACGCAGAACGAAGAAACGACTCTGAGGAGGCCTACTTACTTCTCCACTTTTACCTTGGATAACACCATCATTCCCTCTACTTCTCTCTCTTTTCTCTCTCTCCCTCTACAGGATATGTCACTAATATCACCATCAGTGACTCTGGCAAGGCCATCGAGAATAGCACCACAGTTCTGCACTGCACCTCCGCAGGCACTAACGTTTCCTACTCTTGGTTAAGAGGGAACGAGAGCCTGGTGGTTGGAGAGCGCATTTCTCTGAGCAACAACAACCAGGTCCTCACATTCAATCCAACGAGCCGGAATGACTCGGACAGCTACAGCTGCTATGGATATAACAGCTTCTCTAATGACAGCACCTCATACTTGCTGAATGTTTTGTGTAAGTCTGGTTCTACCATTGAGGGAGGGTTGGAGCAGTTCTGGGAGCGGAGCATGTGGGGGCTTGACTTAGGCCCTGAGAGTGCAAGACTATAACTTTTAAAGACAAGGATATCTGGCAAGCAGATTCAATAAGACTGAAACACACAAAAGTAGAGAGACCCACCATGTGAGTTAACTGACTTCATGCAAAGTTAGCACGCACAACTTCTAAAAACATTACTTCATGCCCCCAATCTACCTTCTTTTGGAACCGGATTGCCAGAACTCTGTTGTTTTTAAAACTCTCCCCCTACTTATTGCAGTATAATAATAATAATAATAATAATAATAATAATAATAATAATAATAATAATAATAATAATATATTTATACCCCACCCATCTGTCTGGGTTTCCCCAGCCACTCCGGGCAGTTCCCAACAGAATATTATTAATAATAATAATAAAAGCGATAAAAGATCAAACATTAAAGACTTCCCTAAACAGGGCTGCCTTCAGATGTTTTCTAAAAGGCTGATAGTTGTTTATTTCCTTGACATCTGATGAGAGGGAATTCCACAGGGCGGGTGCCACTACTGAGAAGGCCCTCTGCTTGGTTCCTTGTAACTTCGCTTCTCGCAGTGAGGGAACCGCCAGAAGGCCCACTGAGCTGGACCTCAGTGTTGAACGATAGGGGTGGGGACGCTCCTTCAGTATATCATAAAATATTTTGAAAGTACCATCAAAATCTCTAGGAGACATAGAAGATCATTATAGCGGCCCTTATTTGATCTAACCGTACACTTGATTTCACACAGCACTGTCAGCTCTTAAGAACTGCATCAGCCCCAAAGATAGTAAGTTGAAGTTCAGGGGTCTGCATCATATTGAGCGAGATCTGTGGCCCCTGTAATCCAGAGCCAGTGTAACGTAATGATTAGAGTGTTAGGCTAGGACCTGGCAACCCAAGGTTCAAATTCCCGCTCAGCCATGAAGCTCACTGGGTGACCTTGAACCAGCCACTGTCTCTCATCCTAACCTCCCTCACCAGCTTGGTGTAGAATAAAATACAGAGGGGAGAACCAAGCAGACCCCCTTGAGCTCCCTGGAGGAAAAGGTGAGATATAAATGAGAAATCAGAATAAATGAATGAATAAATAGAACTGCCTGGCCTAATTGGCGGCAAAGTAGCTGTCTAGCATCGGAGGCAGATGTCATTTCTGGACCGCTGGAATCCTTCGCTGCAGATGGCAAGGACTAGATTTGTGGCCTAGTAGAGGCATACCATGTGCTTTAGCACATAGCTCCTTCCCAGTACGTATTGTGCAACTTCCTGTATGGTGATTGGCTGGCCATGGTGTGATGTAAAAGTCTAGCCTTGCTGCTCAGAAGTTAGCTGAGTCAATACTCCTTCCTTGTCTCAGATTTCACACAGAGACACGTGTTTTACTGGCAAAAGCTAAGAAACCAGAAGGAGCTATTTCCCCTTTCGAATGCTCAAACTGTAACTGCTGCATATCTGGCCACATTGGGCTTCACGATGTTAGTTTGCTCCTCCTTGAGTTTTGATGAGGGAGAGTTAAATAATGTCGCTGCCTCTTGTGTTACCCCGGAGCTATTAAAGCGACAGGCGCCATCTCCCAAGTCAAGACCTGCCACTCGTAAGCTTGCAATTCCTTCTTGTCCTTAAGCAAAGCCAGCCACCCAGCAAACTTCAGAAATCTTAGCTAATTGCATTTTAAAAAAAGAGGCCAGGCTCACTTTATAGTGTATTGTTCTTGACACACAGCTTTTCCATTTAATTGAGCTTATACGTTCCTCTTTTCATAAATTGCTCACGAATAAGCCGTAACAAGTTCCCAAAGATACCTTAAAAGCAGTGAACAAAATTATTGCCTGCGTCCTGCCCAGCTTGCTCAACTTCCCATTTTAGGTCCACTGCTTCCTGCTTTCCTCTCTCTGATAACAGAGTCTGTAATATTGATTCCCAGATCACAAACCAGTAATTGGAAGTCATGACTTCTACCAAGGATTTTCCCACAGTTTGGGGAAATCCTGAGAATTCTTTTGTCAGGATTCCCAGAGAAATGTAAGCATGGTCTAAGTAAGTAAACTTATCCCGGATATGGAAGGGGCAGTCTAAACCTCCCAAGGCAGCTATTCTGCTGTCTCTGAACAAGCGCTTCTATCTGCAATTCAGCTTTCTTCCAGCTAAGGAAACAACATCACACTTCACATGCCAAACATTTTGCCAAAGGTGGCACCTGAGCCATCCAGAATCTCACTGGCTTCCCCCAACTTCTGACTCTCCTGTATTTACTCCAGATGGGCCTGATGTCCCTGTAATTGGCCCCAGTGAGCACTATTACGCAGAGGGCTCCAACCTCACTCTCTCCTGCACTGCTGACTCCAACCCAGCTGCGCAATACACCTGGAGTTTCAATGAGACATCAGACATAGGGTCCGCCTCCCAGCTTTCTATCCACAATCTGCAGTTCCACCACAGTGGGAATTACACCTGCAAGGCTTTCAACAATGAAACCAATGCTAACTCCACCTCCGCAAGCCGGGAGATCTGGGTACTAGGTAAGTATCCACAGGGTTACACGCATCCAAACGTGACTTCTAACTCGCTGGCATTTCTTTTGCCACGCTGGTCGTTTATACTCCTGTCCCACTTCCTGCTTCCATGGGACTCTTCCTGGAGCCAAACCCAATGCTATCTTTTTGCCTCCTGTTTCTTTTTTATAATGAATGCTTGGGTATTCTGTCATTTTCTGCCTACCCAGCAGGCTCAGGTGCCCTTCTGTTATTGATTTGTCTCCCACGGGATATTGCATGGCTCACAGTGTCTCTTCGAATCTAATCAGTCACCTGTCAATGAAGACCTTCAAATCAAGATCACCAATGGAATGCACCTTCGGTGGTGTTTCGCTGCCTTGGCAAACTTCTTGTATGTTTTCTGTTCATCTTATTCCCAGGACTCTGTCCTCTCTAGGATGCATCTCCTGAAACTGGATAAGAATCTTGATGCAACAGCTTACTGCTTCCCTTCGAAGCAATGGTGCTCACAGCCACTTGCTTCACTGTCTCTCCCTCTGGTGCCTTTTTGCAGCGACTGTAACTTCTATTTAGGACTGTCCACAAATAATACAAAAATATCTCTTGCCCGTGGAAATTGGCCATCTGTCCCCAGTCAGGGCCTTGTTCATCACCTGTCACTCAGCACTTCTTTGGTATCTTTGAGGTCCTTCTTGTTCTTCTGTTGGTGAAAGCAGTTGCATGGCTTTTAAACTACGTTTCTGTCTTCCTTGGAATATTTCAAGGGAAGAGCGAGTCCTTGCAGGCAGACCTGCAACACCCTTCCCTGCATCTGTTTACCATTTGTTCCTTGATAACCCTCTGCCTCCTCGTTATTCTTTCCTTACAGCGGAGGTTTCTGACGTTACCATTATGGGTCTGTCGGAAGCCATTGAGAACGAGTCGCTGATTCTGACTTGCACCTCCGTTGGCAGCGAGGTCTCTTACTATTGGTTCAGAGGGAATCAGAGCCTGGAGGATGGAGGGCATATATCTCTGAGTCATGATAACCAAAACCTCACAATAAACCCGGTCAGCCGGTCTGATGCAGGTTCCTACACCTGCCTTGGAGTCAACAGAATCAGCAATAACACCAGTACCCCCTTCGAACTGACAGTGTTCTGTAAGTGTGGCGCCAATTCTCAGTTCATCCCTTCTATCACCTCCTCCCAGCTTCCCTCTCCCCTGTATGTACCTCCTAAAAACTGAATGAGGAATATATCATTCTTCAGTCCCTTGAGCCACCTCTTTAGCCCTTCACCATGATGCCCAACTTGTGATTCTCCTCTGTTTGCTCCAGATGGGCCTGATGATCCTGTAATCAGCCCCAAAATCAATACTTACCGTACGGGATCCAGCCTCAACCTCAGCTGCAGTGCCGACTCCCACCCGCCGCCTCAATACACTTGGATTTTTAAAGAGGGAATAATTGGGAACACCTCTGAGCTGTTGATCTCGAATCTGTCTCTCAACGACACTGGGGATTATACCTGCAGTGCTTTCAATGTTGAGACTAATCTCAGCAAAAGTGCAAGCCTCCTTGTTGAGGTGTATGGTAAGTATCTCTTCAGGGAACCCAGCTTGGTGTTTTCCGCTGTGGCATCAAACGCCACCAGTTTGTCTGCATTCTCTTTGGGGCAGCTCCCCGTGCTGCCCACTGTCTCCTCATCTGTCCTTTCCAACGTCCATATTCATCAAGACTTCCGTGAGTCTCTCAAGGAGAGATCATGCTGGCCTGTAGCTTGCAACTTCCTATGCTGGGTGCAGCTGTTAGCCTGGATTATATTTGGTTTACAGGAACTTCCTTTATTTTCTACTCATTTTGCCTGATGCCTGCAGGAATTAAGGGGTGATATGATAGCCATGTTCAAATATATAAAAGGATGTCACATAGAGGAGGGAGAAAGGTTGTTTTCTGCTGCTCCAGAGAAGCGGACACGGAGCAATGGATCCAAACTACAAGAAAGAAGATTCCACCTAAACATTAGGAAGAACTTCCTGACAGTAAGAGCTGTTTGACAGTGGAATTTGCTGCCAAGGAGTGTGGTGGAGTCTCCTTCTTTGGAGGTCTTTAAGCAGAGGCTTGACAACCATATGTCAGGAGTGCTCTGATGGTGTTTCCTGCTTGGCAGGGGGTTGGACTCGATGGCCCTTGTGGTCTCTTCCAACTCTAGGATTCTATGATTCTATGAATGGTCAGACAGTACCAAAAAATGGAGCGTTAAATAATGACAAGAATCATGACTGGTGGTAGGGTGTTGCCGCCGCCGTTTTAATAACATATACACAGCTAACTTGATAGTTGAAACATGCCATGTAGTCCTAACTTGATAACCCAGAGTACTAACTTGGGTATATTATATTCTGTCTACATCTGGGAACGGGGGGTGGGGGAGAGAATCCCATATAATGTTCCTTTGTGTACCATGCTTATTTAGATTAGGAGGTGAGGAACCTTTCTTCTGTGGCGGCTGAGTTGCTTTTCCTTAGGAGTAATCTGTTGGGACATGGGTGGGTTAAACCACAGAGCCTAGGGCTTGCCAATCAGAAGGTTGGCGGTTCGAATCCCCGCGACGGGGTGAGCTCCTGTTGCTCGGTCCCTGCTCCTGCCAACCTAGCAGTTCGAAAGCACATCAAAGTGCGGGAAGGTAAACGGCGTTTCCGTGTGCTGCTCTGGTTCGCCAGAAGCGGCTTAGTCATGCTGGCCACATGACCCGAAAGCTGTCTGTGGACAAACGCCAGCTCCCTCGGCCAGTAAAGCAAGATGAGCGCCCCAACCCCAGAGTCGTCTGCGACTGGACCTAATGGTCAGGGGTCCCTTTACCTTTAATCTGTTTGTAGCTGGGGCTGTTCTTTTCTTCCTCCCCACCCATCGGGCTGCAGGGGGAGGGACAGCTTGAGCTCAGAGGTCTGAAATGAGAGCTTTCAAAGCCCCCCTTCCCTCCACACTTCTTCCATTAGCATGATCTCTATTGGCTCACCACCCACCCCTGTCCTGCCTCCTGCTCTTTCTCTAGGCACACATCCACAAAATTTGGCTGAGGGCCACTTGTCTCCCACCCCAGATCTTTAGCATGTAAGTTTCTTATGCAACATAGACCTTTAGCATGTAAGTTTCTTATGCAACATAGACCGCGCTGGAATGTTAATGAGATTCTGTTAGCATAGCTTAGTGATGGGACTCTCACTTTGCATTGTGTATTGGAATGATCTGCGTGATCCAAACTTCTAGGCCAGGGGTTCCCAAACTGGTCTGTGGACCACCCGTGGTTTGCAAGCTTCATTCAGGTGTTCTGCAGAGTGTTTATGGAAAAACACCATTTGAATTCTATGTTAGTAGCCCCCTCCAACGACCACTTTGAAAATTGCTGAGGGTCTTAGTGTGGACTCCAAAGCTTTCTCCACTTCTGTGATGAACTGGGAAAGAGTCACTCTGCAGCATGTGGAGTGGTTGCCATCAGCCGCAGCTTAGCCTGGTCTCTGTGCAGATCTTGGACTCCAAATACGAATGAGATGCTGGGATTCTGGCAGTTTCGGGTTGGGAGGGAAGACGCACTTTAGAGCATAGTAGCATGGAGTACCAGAATAGTAACAGGAAGCAAACGGATCTGAAAAAGATCCAAGCCCTTGAGAAGACCGGCTCAGTGACTAAGCTAGATTTAATTCTTTGTTTGTTTGCTGGCAGATCATATGCAACTGTTGCCTTGCCCTTTGGGCTGTGCCAACTTGACAGTTTTAAACCAGTGTGACTGGGATTCTTTATCCCCTGCTCTGTGCCTTCCAAGCATGCATTCAGTGCATAGGAGTTACAAATTCACAAATTTTTCAGGGTTTTGCATGAACCGTACACAAATACACAACCATTGTATTTGAGATTTCACCTTCTTGGAAATGGCAACCATGATTATCCCCAGTTGGGGGTTCTCCTGTAAAGAGAAACCGTTATCCCTGCAAGTGCCAGATTGCAAAGCTTTTAAAACAGTTTCTGCCCCTTACTACTGCAACAATATGTCTGGGAGTGTTTGGTAGATAGTTGCTGAAATTTCAGAAGCCAGGGAGGTCACTAAAAGAATGGTTGCCAATGCCTGGGGTTTGTCCTTACACAGGAAAACATGAACCAAGAGATTATGCAGACCAATACAAATGAAAGGCTAAATTGTGCAAATCAGCGAAATAAGTTGAACCTGCATAATTTCTTTTATGTCACAGAATTCAGGTTTTTTTGGGAGCAGAATTGGGATTCCCTAGGTAGATGTAGATTTTTTTGTTTGTTTGTTTTTAAAACATGGAGTACACACAGCCCTGATTCTCAGGTAACTAATTGATGCAAAATGATTGTGCGAATGCCTCCTGTTAAGTTTCGGTTGGTTACTAGGTTAATGTGTCACAGCTCTGCTCAGGTTCAGAGAGTCCTGTATCTAGGTCTGCTTCCAACCCCCACCAGCCATTGGGCGTTGAAGTTGTTGCTGGCTGTTTCTCTTGGTCGCATTGTCACATGCCACCCAGAACTGTGAACTGTCATCAGCTCCATTGCTGCTTCCTGGCAAATGAGTTAGGCAAAAGCCTGCTCTTTCACATCTGTTTGCTCTGTAGAATTTGCAAATCACTTCTTTGTGCTGTCTCAGTCCACTCTTTCACTTGTACCGGTAATTTACCCCCATCTATCCAGCATCCATTGTCTATGAAAATGTGACATTCCAGGTGTGTTTGTGTCCTCCAGGTTCTTTCCGCACGATGCATCTCAAACGCCTTTCTTTAATCTTAGTTTCAGCATTTCCTTATTATGCCAATAAAGCTCAACCCTTGAACTGAGATACAGCTTAGTGCTTTGTTTGTCACCCTGGGGGATATCCTGGCTGACTGAGTCACCTCTCTCAGTGATAACAACTCTGTGTAGTGCATCTGAGGTCTGTTCCTCATCTCTCTTATTCTCCCACCACCACCACCCCACCTCTGACTTATGCGCTGCCCTCATCAGTATAAAATCAGTATATCAGCCTTTCAAACCAATTTACTACTTGTGGTTCCCAGGGACTGTATCCTTGGAATTCTCTGAAAGGGTTCCTAATGAATTCTTTTCGTTTTCCTCCTAAAATTCAGTTCCCATTGCTCCTTGCTGGCGTCGCTTTGCTTTCTTTTAATTAATTGAATGCATTCCCAAATCCAAGAAAACCAATTAAACAAGAGCACCCACACGTGTGATTTAATACAAAAATCAAAAGCATGTCTCTGAATCTGATAAATCCTGCTGCACCACCGGAGGCGTCCCAGGGGACCTTGAGCCATGGGGTATTTTACATCTGTTCGTTTCCTCCTCCACTCCTTTTTTTTAAAAAAAAACCTGTTTTAACTATTTATTTTACTTTGCTTATAGGACGGCTGAGTGCATTATGAAGTGCAGTCGTGGTGAGGAAACCCCAGCCTCTCAACATCTTAATTTCCCAGAGGCATCTCTACATATAAATGAACATATGCAGATTGCATGGAAATACGTGTCAGGGACCTGCACCCCTGTCCATTCAGTTCCCTAGCAGTGACCCCCCCACACACACACTATCCAATAAACGTCTTGACCTTCCTCCTAGTGGTTAGGAGGACTCCTCAGTAGGTGCCTCTGCAGCTTCTTTGCTGACTCGCCTCCTGCTCTCTTCAAGCAATGAGAGGAGCAGGTTCACCCTGTCACCATCTTCCCCAATGCAGGTGACCTCCAGATGTTCTGAATTACAGTCCCCATCAGCTCCTGCTAACACATCAGTGCTGGCTGGAGCTGATGGTACTTGTAATCTCAAACATCTGGAAGGGCACCAGGTTGGGTTAGACTGCCTTGTCTTCTCTCTCTCTTTCTCTCTCTGAGAGGTGGTGCCGATTTGGCCCAGGAGAAGAGACAAGCTAATGGTCAATGGGCAGGTTAAATGGTGCCTGTTCAGGAAGAGGGCCCAACTAAGAGCATCTTGCCCCAGGACCCTCGGGAACCTCGAAGCATCACTGCATGCAGTGCAATTGCCCAGGATGTTCTGCACAGCCTCGTGGAAGAACCCTGGGAAAGCTTTCCTGCTCGCTCCTGCAAATTGCATAAACTTCCCCGACACTTCATTAAATCACTTAGCAGCACACTCCCCATATTAACATTCCCTTTACAAAAACCCCACAACAGCCTATTATGTGACGCCATCAGCAACTGGTGTCCAACTACTTTTAAATGGGCAAGGGACGGACACCCGAGATTGAGCACTAATAGGGCTTAAAACTGACCACGGCAACATAGAGGTTGTAAAAAAAAAAATTCAAATCACCTTGTTTTTGTAAAATGTCTCTGGGTTATAGCAGTCGCTGGCGCCACTTAATTGCTAATTTCAAAGCATGAGGTCAGTCGCTGTCTCAACTACTCTCATTTCAAAATTTCATTAAATCGCAGTTTGCAAATTCCATGTAAATTGCTGCTAAGAAGAGGCCTTTGGAGAGCAGCTGCAGGAAGCTTCTAGCTCACTTGCTTCCTCCTCGAGATTGTCTTGCCTGGAAATGCTGCCAAAATGTATCTCCTCCAACACACACACACACACACACCCTTTCCGTGTGTTCTCTATAATGCAACAGAGACAACGGTGCCCAAAACAACCCACGGCCCTAGCAATTCAGTACGTAACTCCTTGAACACTTTCGTATAGCAATCTTGAGCTATGCTTTCACAAGAAGCAGGATTCTGCTTTAAAAGGGACAGGATTTCCGACACACTCCAGAGGCAAAGTGCTGCACTTTCCCTAATAACCACACTTGAAGAGACCCTGCCCAGGTTTAGGACCCATGAGGACCCACAAAACATGACCCTCTTTCTGTTTTGTGTGCAGAAACCCTCTCCAGTCCAGTCCTGTTGCCTGCAGAAGCCATAGTGGCAGAGAATGCAAACGTCTCCTTGCAGTGTAACACCTCCAACAGCCCCGATGTCAACGTCACCTGGTTCAAGGACAGTAACCCTGTCCCAGATAAGGCTGTGCTTTTCAACAGGAACCGAACCCTCACTCTAACTGCCGTCTCCAAAGATGAGGAAGGGATGTATACATGTAAAGCTACCAACCCTGTCAGCAATGCCACAAGCAACCCCAGTAAGATTAGCTTGGCATGTAAGTAACCCTGGTTTGAAAATGCTTGGTGGCTCCTTTCTCCTTGCCATTGCTGCATGCATTTGGCAGGGAGGGCATCTGTGAGTCCTAATGGGGATTTCCTCTCTCCCTTGATCTCCCCACCCCTGGTCTTTCTGAAATAAGAGGTGCTGGCGCTCGAAGCATACTTGGAGGCTAGGAGCCCCCTATTCCCTAACCCTGATGTGTGGAGGTAGCTCGTGGGGAGGCGGGAAAAGTACTCTGCAAATGCTGGCAGATGCTGTCTCCTTTATTAATAAAGGCCTGCCTTCTAAATAATAATTTATAAATAATAAATTTATTATTTATACCCCGCCCATCTGGCTGGGCTTCCCCTGGGCGGCTTCCAAAAAAAGATATTAAAACACTGCAATACATCAAACATTAAAAGCTTCCCTAAACAGGGCTGCCTTCAGATGTCTTCTAAAAGTCTGCTAGTTGTTGTTCTCTTTGACATCTGGTGGGAGGGCATTCCACAGGGCGGGCGCCACTACCGAGAAGGCCCTCTGCCTGGTTCCCTGTAACTTGGCTTCTCGCAGTGAGGGAACTGCCAGAAGGCCCTCGGTGCTGGACCTCAGTGTCCGGGTAGAACGATGGGGGTGGAGACGCTCCTTCAGATATACTGGACCGAGGCCGTTTAGGGCTTTCAAGGTCAGCACCAACACTTTGAATTGTGCTTGGAAACGTACTGGGAGCCAATGTAGGTCTTTCAAGACCGGTGTTATATGGTCTCGGTGGCCGCTCCCAGTCACCAGTCTAGCTGCCGCATTCTGGATTAGTTGTGGCTTCTGGGTCACCTTCAAAGGTAGCCCTACATAGAGCACATTGCAGTCCAAGCGAGAGATAGCCAGAGCATGCACCACTCTGGCAAGACGGTCCGCGGGCAGGTAGGGTCTCAGCCTGCGTACCAGATGGAGCTGGTAGACAACTGCCCTGGACACAGAATTAACCTGTACCTCCATGGACAGCTGTGAGTCCAAAATGACTCCCAGGCTGCGCACCTGGTCCTTCAGGGGCACAGTTACCCCATTCAGGACCAGGGAATCCTAAAGCTAAGCCCCAGGATTGAAAATGGCTTCGGAGAGCTGAGCCCCAGCGAACACTTTCTCAGATTAAGCCCTAAATCTGGTTGGCCAGCTCTCTTCCTGCGTTTGGGGTGGTGTACAGACACAGGGGGGCAGGACGACACAAACGCACCTCTCCCCTGTTTCCACCCCTTGGTCCTGATTCTACTTGCTTTCCTTTCTAGATGGGCCAAATAACGTTAAGCTGAACCAAACAGGAACCGTAACTCTAAAACTAGGTTCCCGTTTGGCTCTGCTGTGTACTGCAGAGTCCCTACCCGAAGCCCAGTTTCGGTGGTTTTTCAATCATACTAATATGAATGTGACGGCGAACACCTTCAGCACAGACTTAACAGCCTGGGAAGATGGAGGCAATTACACCTGCCAGGCTTACAACAGCGTCGTTAAGAAGCTGGCCTCAGCATCTGTCAGTGTGAAATTGACAACGCAGGGTGAGTCCCTTGACAAGCCCACATTTGTCTCTTGTCCCACCAGCATTTTGAATGTCCCACAGTCTCCCCCTGGACCTGGTTATTTGGAAATGTGGCCAATCTGAGTGGAATTAACAGAGGAGGACGCAACTGACTCTTTTTGCGGGCAGAAAAGGGTGGTATCTAAAGTCAGCTGCACCAAGATCTCATTGAAACCAGTTGAGTGAGTTCATCCTGACAACTCCCCGTGATCTCAGTGGAACTAGGTGGAACTGGATCCAACCCAAAGGTCTTGTTTAGGCTTTCCCTTGCTCCTGCGCCTTTCATTATTTAAAAAAACATATACCCTGCCTTTCTAGGCGAGATGGCCATGCAGGACTATTAACAGTGTCACAAAATAAAGCACGACAAGCAAGATAAGATATAATCAAACAATAAACTGCGTTAAAAAAATTAAACTTTAACTACAGCCTGAAAACGTAATAGCTTCGGTTTTCCCCACCCTGCATTGTTGCAGCTCTTTACTAGCAAAATCTTCACCTGCTGGGTTTCTGGGTGTCCGACTGCAGTTTAAAGGCACAGATTACGCAGGGCCAGGTTTAAAAAACAGAAGAGGCAGACCTTGTTATCTATTCTTGCACCTGAATGCTAGGGAAAAACTTTGTGGCAAATTTCTGTAGTCTTTAGTATTAAGGGTTTTATGCAGCGAGATGTTTTCTTTTGGAGTAGGAATGATGATCCGGAGATGTGTGGACATTGGTTTAGAAGCTGCTCAGAAGTACAAAAATGATACAGGTTGCCTAGGCATTGTAGAAGAGGTGCAGCAAGTGCAAGCCATGGGTTTTTTTATTCTTCTTGTGGGGCTACCCATGTTACTTTATACACCTGGTCTTCCCACATTCTAAATCCCTTAGGGAGCCCACATGGGTAGAAAGGGCTGCCTGCTCCAGAAGTTGTCCCTCCACACAGGACGAGCCACAGGTCATCCGGGATGGAGCCTCCACACACCCTTTGTATCTGTGTTGCCCCTGTGCATGTGATGTGTGAAGAGACCTACTGGTTTGCAAGGTACAGAGCTACTCTCTGTTCTGCAGCCTGAGAACCCTATTTCTTGTGGTGGTTCTGGTTTGCCGATTTGTTTGCTTAGCATCATCCATAGGCATGGCGTGAATTTGTTAATATTGACTCACTACCAACCCCCTGGTTACAGGAACAAATTTAGATGTTTGTTAATTTTCATCTTCGTTCTCGGCGTTTGAAAAGTCCAACAGCTTCCTCTTACATGCATCAGACCAAAATGCGACACAACCTCTCAGCTTAGAGCTGCAAATTTGAAGCAAATAAGAAACGGCCTTTAAGATGCAGAAAGATTGGAAACCTAAGTGTAATATAAGCAGCTGTATATTGCTTTTTATTAGATATTGTTATTTTTATTAAATCGGGTTTTTTTGTGATTGTGCTTTTAGCAATTGTAAGTTTTTAAACTGTATCTAATGTTGTATTTTAAATTGTTGTCATCCACCCTGGGACTGTAGGGTGAAGGACGGATTATTATTAATAATAATAATAATAATAGTCATAGAATAATATGAACCAGAAACAGATTCCCTTCTTCTCCTGTGCATCAGAGGGCTCCAAAATCATTTGACCGTAGTGTGTTTCACACGGAACGCTAAGCCAAAGTATGACTAAGTATTAATGAGCAAGCGTGTGGGTTGCTCAACACTAGGGTTGCCATATTTCAAGAGCTGTTGAGCTTTTTTTGGCAATGTCCAGGAAATTCCAAACATATGGCAACCCTACTCAACACTATCTAGAGCTAAGCCATGGTTTGTCGTAGCTCATGTTCCAAACCCAGGCTCATGACTTGTCTTCCTCAAGCAAACCACAAGCTGTAAGCCAAGAGCAAACCTTGGCTACATCCCCTGGGTTTGTTTGGAGTGAGAGAAACCACCAGCCCAGGTACACACAAAACGCTAAGTCAAACCATGACTTAGCTCCTGGTAGGAGAGCAGCAGCCAGGCTAGGGAGGAGGTAGCCATCACCAACTTGAATAACCTCTGAGTAGATATGTATAATGAGTATGGGTTGCTCGTGCGTAAGTTGCTGCCTCTCCAGGCTTTGTTGCCTTGCTAAACCTTTCAGTCTGGGCAGCCCTTCACTTCGTGGCTGCCTCAGTCGCTAGCAGAATCCGTCAGTGGGCGTTTCTTAAATCTTTTCCAACATAAAAGTTGTTTGACACCCAGTCTCCTCCTACTCTCTCTGCGCGGAAGTCTTCTGCGCAGGGTGGGCGTGGGTAGCGGGGAACCAGTGCTCTCCCCGCTGGTGTCCGGTGAAGAGTCCTGGAGCCCTCTCGCCGATTCCCCCATCAGCCCCTCCTTATCCCTGGTGCAGCGCTGATTTGCTTCCCCATCTGCGGAGCTGCCTCTCTCCCTGCTGGGCCCTTCTCCAGCATCATTTGAGAGCCTTCCCTCCGCCTCTAGCTCCGATGTCAGTTCCCTGACAATATGGTTAGGGACTGCACTGTTAGTTTCAATTTACAAAGCCCTATAGAGCTTGGGATGAGGATATTTGCAGGACTTCCTCCTCCCGAATAGGCTGCCCATGTCACTATGGCCTAAAGATGGGAACCCCCTAACCATATCAGACCTTTATGAAGGTTACATTCATAAGAGTCGACAGGACCTTTTCTGTTGTGGCTCCTACCGTGTGGACTGCTCACTCTCCCTATTAGGCCAGCCTGGCTGCTTTTGCCAGCCGTTAAAGATCTGTCTCTTTGCCCTGGCCTTGCCTGACCTCTAGTACTTGGCTGATTTTTCTGGTTTTGTTGAATCCCATAAGGTTTCTGGGTTGTGAACCGTTTTGCTATTACAGCAAATGAAAAGTGTTGTAGAATTTATTTTAGAATTAATCCTAAGGCCAGCGCTTGTGGGGAAAGGGGATATGAAGTGAAAGCTTGAGAAGCCTCGCTGCACCCACACCACATATAAACCTGGGGTAAAGTTGCCTCCTCTTTTTTCACTCCTGCCCCTTTGCTTTGTTAACAGTAGTCAGACCATGCAGAAAACAAGCTGGTGAAGTTTTCCCCACCATCACCACTTACCTCCATGCCATTAAAAAGTTCACTGTCTGAATTTCTGTTTGTCAGAGTGACGTTGAAGGCACAGGAGCTAGGGACGCTAAAATAAATCAACAGGTGACAACCTTGGATAGAGGTTCCAAAAGAATGATTTAGTAAAGGGAAAGGGGCATTACAGTCATAGAGTTGGTTTTCTTTGCGGGGGGGGGGGGGGGACTTCTGCATATCAACCTAAGCATGTTGTGCTTCCTTTTTCTGGTTATAACTTTTGATAGAATACAGATAATTGAACAAACTTGGTTGCATTACACTCTTCATTAAATTATCTTTCCATTGATATATAATTTTATGGTCTTACTCCCCCCTCCCCCCAAAAAATGGTGTTATGAGACATCTCATCTCGGAAATACACTTTTCCCAAAAGGTTTCCATAATTTTGGCCACTAGTGTATACTGTACTTTCCAAAGTTCACGATTCCTCTTGTTCCCCTCTTCCAGAATCAACTCCATCAGGTTCGGGTCTCAGTCCAGGACAAATTGCTGGAATTGTCATAGGTTGTGTGCTTGGAGTAGCACTCATTGGAGGTCTGGGATATTTCCTGTTCACCAAGACTGCCTTGGGGTAAGTTTGCCATCCCGTTCATCTTGGATTGGGGTTCCCTATTTGCCATCTGAATTTACCATCTCCCCAGCTTCTCTAGGACCTTCCTGCTCTATTTACCTGGTTTGATTGGTCTCTCTGCTCACGCTCGGGGTTTGAGGCTGTCTCAGGGGTGCGGGTTTCTTTACTGTCTCTCCAGCCTGGGTCGGAGCCCTGTCTTACACATCTCTTGGAAGAACCAAGTGTGTCCTGCTGTTCATGCCTCCCAGCCAAAGCACAGACACTAACCCGGATTGCCAGATTCAAGATGGGGCAGGGGAAGAAACTTCTGCTTCCACTGTGACACTTGGAAAGAACTTGAATAAGTTGCAGCGGCTGAAATTCCCCGCTTCTGTATAGCCTGTCAAAAGACACAGAAGGCCTGCCCTCTGTTGAATCTGGTGACTCCAAAAGCACACACATTTTATTTCTTGATTTATAAATAAATTTATTTATTATAACAAATAAGTGCATACTGCTGTAATATAACAAATTCATCAAAGCAGTGTACAGCAATAAAAGCATAAAATCATACAGTGAAACCACTAAAAGCATTCAAAAAGTTTAAAACACACATATGGAGCGAATGGATAATTATGATTGGATAGACCCTTTTTTAAAAGTGTTAAGTCTTAAGCATTGTTGATGATATGTTTAGGCAACAATATTAAGTATGGACCTGCCAAACTTTCAGCTATCTGGGACCCTGAAAAGTCAAATACATATGTAAGTGGGGAGATCGTAAGGGGTGAGGTAGGATGATGATAGTGGCAAAATTTCAAAGACTGACGGTGTTCACGGGAGGAGAAAATTCGTCTCCTGAACTCGGAACAGACGTATAAAGGTCGGGGGGGCGTGTCTGAAAGACAGAGAGACTGGGGGGAGGTCTTCAGATCATCTCCAATACTTGCCATAGGCAAGACAAAACAAGGCTGGCCCATGGCTACTGGTTTTTGCTCGTAACCACATAGGGGTGTGCCCTAGGCCTATTCTCAGTTCACACAGGGAAACACTGAGGCCCCCCAAGGCCTTGCCAGTGCCCTTTTATGACCAGTTGAGGACCCTTCAACTCTGTAGATGTTGTTGGACTACAACTTACACCATCCCTGACTAGTTGCCCTGTTAGCTGGGAATCATGGGAGATGTAGTCCGGCAGCATCTGAAGGGCCGGAGGTTGCCTGTGAACTGAGTGCGCTCTTTAGAACGTGTCCCAGAATTCCCTGCAATTTACCGGGGTTTCCTTTGCTGGCACATGAGGGTTCCCTTTGCAAACCGGTCAATACAGGGAAGGTTCTGTCAGTGTAGAAAGTTTGGAAACCACCACTGGTGTGGCCAAGGGCAAGATAAAAATTGGATGGATGACTATGTGGCAGAAAGAAAGCGAATGAGATTTATTATTTCACGTGACTGGTCACTAGTATAGGACGAGGGATAATGTACTGGTTCTGTTGTTGGGGGAGAGACCCCCTGCTTGCTATAGGATCAAACAGTGTCTGCTGTTTACCTAGGAGGACGGAACAACACTCATCTAATGGAAACATACCCTCAGCTCCCGGCCGCAGTAAGTATCAGCCCAACGGGCTGGGCCGGGGTCTGTGTGACGCATGTTGTGTGCTCTATGTTACTCTCCCCGGCCACCATCACTCCGTTTAAGCTGAGCCTTTATACTTCACGAAGAAGGTAGATGGCCTTCCCATGCACTTCTGTGCCAAAGCATGGGCAAGTAGGACCGCTCCATCCCCAACCCAGATGCATCATGGGAAACTCCTGCTTAATCCGTTTCATGGGAACGGGGAGAAAGGACTCTACACCTGCTCCAGCTCCCATTTCCAAGAGACTGGCTGGGGGAATCTCTTCCCTAACCCCTCCTGGGGAGGGGAAAGGAAGCTGCTGTTTTCTGTGGAGTGTGGGTATCTTCCTGTCCCCTGTCGCCCTCTCCGCCCACCCCACAAAAACCCTTCATCGTCTTTTTGGGATTCCTGCTGTGGCTCTGTAGCCAGCCTGGTGGTGGAAAAGCTCACGAGAGGGGACTTGCAGGAGGTGATGGGGCTCGCCAGACTGGTCTCTCCAGAGAACGTCTATCTCTGCCCTCTGCACCGCCACCGTAATTTTCCTGGAATCAAGTCTATCCAAGACCATTCTTTGCCTGCTTCTTTAATCATGCTTGGGGTTTGGTGCGAAGCAAGGAACGGAAGTGAAGAATTGAGGGGTGAGGGTGGAAGCAGGTGGCTCCCTTCCTCTACTCCCTACATTGGCCTTGGAGTGCTCAGGTGGACTCAGCACAGGTAGGAAGATGCAGCAGGTGGGGCTGGAGCAAGGGGGAAGGGTGTGAGATGGGGAAAAGACTGGGGTGAGGAGGGGACGGTCTACATGCACACACACATCCCCACTCCTGTCCCACCTGTCCAGCTGATGGACTGTTACCTTGCTCACCTTTGGTCCCCACCCTGCATTCAGCTCTCACCTGGGGCTCCTAGAAGGTGTCAGCAGGTGACAGCAACCACACCCTGGATACAGCTTCAACTGGCTGGCTAAACCAGGTGAGGGTAGCCAATGGATCTCACACCCTCAGTGAGCTAGGGACTTTCCCCTGCATGCGAAGACAGACTCTGGCACATGGAGCAGACGATATCAAAAGTGGGTCCAACGGTCAAGAAGGCAGTTCCTGCACGTGCTGTTGAGGGAAGTGAGGGGCAGGTGGGGCTCATCCATCTGGGACAGAAGCCCATTTAGGAGAAGGAAAACTCTGATCCTAAACCTCTGCTGCCTTGTGGGATATCTTCTGGAGAAGAACAGACTCGGGAGTAAACCCTACACAAATCCAGAGTGGAGTCCCTAAAACGGTTGGCGTTGTACAACTCCTGCAGCATCGCTGGCGCCAAATGTCTTGCTCTGCTTTCCTTTGGACCACATCAGCGAGGCCAAGAGGGCGGTCTGGTCATGTGGGCAGTGCAGAACCTCTAGGCACACTTGGATGCTGCTCACGCAGCGCTTTGACATCACTCCCGGAGGCGCACTGTCTCTCAAGACAGACAGATGCCTAAACACACATTGCCATGTGTAGGATTGCCAGTCTGGGCTTAGTGTAGGCTTCTGAGGTTTTAAGAGTTGCCCGAAGAGAGAATGTTTACCTGCTAGGCCTCCCCCCTCCCCTTTCACTAAACTGTGGTTTAGTGAAAGTAGCAGCTGTGCATACCCGGTGGACCTCTCCTTTCTATGCAGCCCTCAAAGTGGGGGTAGCTAAGCTGTGCCACCCCACCCCCCAGATCCTGTTGGACTCTCCCATTGGGAGCCCAGCAATGTCTGGATGGCACATGGTCAGAGAGGTCAGCCCTAAAGGAATACGGCCCTTTAGGAGATTCCTGATACCAAGGGGGAAATCCCGGCCAGGCACCTTCATTGCTTACCACGTTACTAATCCAGCTCACGCCATTTGTCCTGTCTGCTTCCGCTAATCCAGTGGGAGTCCCCGCCCCACTGTGGTCCAAGGGCAGAGGGTTGTGGGTTTTCAGTGTCTCCTGCTTGGCTCCCGTGGGCTTGTGTTCAGGCTCTGTCTGTTGTACCTGCCAGTTCCCTGATACTCTCTCTCTGTCCTGTCTCTGTCATTTCAGACCAGGGCGTCACTGACACCAAACCCACACCGGTAAGGACGGAATCATGATATTGAAGTCCGTATCATGATATTGGTTTCGTAATTTTTGACCTGGCAATATCTTGCAAATCATGATGTGTGTGTGTGTGTTTGTGTGTGCTATCCAAAAATCACAATGTGGGAGAAACCGTGAAGCCAGCCAATGCCTCAACATAGCTCCATCCTTATTTCAGACATTGTGATATATCGGTACATTGCAATGTTTAGCTGGTGATATATCACAGTGCTGAAAACCAGATATCGCCCAGCCCTAGAGAGGTCTGGGGGCTTCCTGAGCCCATTCCCAATCCTGGAACAAGGAAGCAGCCCCAACTCTTTGACATGCCAACAGCAGCTTCATCTGCAGAACATAGCAATGTGACAACGACTCAAGTTCTTGATGGGGACAAGAAGTTTGGATTGCCTTGATGGTGGCAAACTGTCCTTCATTAGAGATCTCCAGGCAGAAGCTGCACAGGTCCACCTAGCATAGATGCTGTAGTAGTGGATTTCTTGCATCAGCAGGTCGTGGGATGGGTGACCCCCGAGGTCCCTTCCAAATTTTCAGAAGCATTATCATGGTTAACAAACAATCTGCCTCTCCCCACCCATGTGTTCTGGTCACTTGGTATCCTAGCCCTAATGATCCAGGATTCTGGCCTGAGAGGTGAGTGGACTTTGGTGCCCGTACAGCCAAACTACCCTGGGGATGTCTTGCTTGCTCCAGGGTAAGTGAGGTAAGTCTGTACAGTCTGCTGGTCAACGTAGAGTTTAATTTTACACGCTTCTAGCACCTCTGAGGGAATTAGATGTGTGTCTCTCTGAGTAGGAGGAGAGGGCTCCCTAAAGGGGAACTAGGAGCTAGTTGCTAGGAGATTCATAAGCTTCTCTTTGGCCTCCACCTCACCTGTTTGGAACGGCCTCCCCTGGGAGGTGATGGACTCTCCTTCCCTGGAGGTTTTTGAGCAGAGGTTGGATGGTCATCTGTCAAGGATGCTTTAGCTGACATTCCTGTATTGCAGGACCCTTGAGATCCCTTCCAACTCTACGATTCTGTGATTCCCTCATCGCATTCAAGTAGAATCGCCACCTTTTAAACTGGACCTGCTCATGTGCAGTGGGTAGGGGGCTTGGGGCTCAGGTGGTGCTGGCTAATGGCTTAGCCACCCTTACTTTTTGCCCTTCTCTTTCCAGGCACAGGTCCACGCTTTAAAACTTGAGCTCCTTTCTTTTGCCCCGGAGCTTTCCCCGCAAAATCTAACTATTTGAAGCTGAAGCGCAGCAAATGGCCATTCAAGTTTTCTGTGGGTTGCCATTTGCTCCAATTCAGCTTTAAAGAGCAGGTTCTTGTGCAGAAAGCTATGGATAAAAAAATTAAAAAAAAGGATGCTCGGACACAGAGCTTTAAAGTGTGGACCGTTCCTGGAAAGCATGGAGGAAAAGTTAAGTGTGGATAAGCTGTAAGTGTTGGCCAGCAGAGGAGGAAGACCAGAGCAAAAACAGCCAGAAGCAAAAACTAGACAACCTAGTAAGCTTAAAAGTAATCTTAATTGGGCAGATTGTTAAATTCCAATGAAATGTTTCAAAATATCAAAATAAGAATTTAGTTCTTGGCTGTTACCCTGGTACTTTTACACTCGCTGGCTGGATCACTGGAAGTTTGATGTTTCCTGAGTAACAGATTGATTATCGATTGCATGCTTTTCCTTATAACCTTGTGTGCTGCTGTTTGCTTTTCTTAATTCCTATGAAAACTGGAGATTCGGGGAAGGGCCTTTCAAGATCCCAGGAGGGGCTGCTCCGCCCACAGGCCCACCTGTGGCAAGGGCCCTGCCTTCGAACCTTCCTTTGCTCCCTCTGACTCCTTCTGATGTTCTCTTGCAGGGTGAAGAGGACATACAATATTCAACACTAGCCTTCAAGGCCAACCACCCTCCTCAGCCACAGCCAGCGGCCGCCCGGCCTTTGGAAAGCAACATAATATACTCAGAAATTAAGAAGAAATGATCAGAGATGAATCTCCCCTAATGGGCTCACCAGTGCAAACATCCCCTATGACTCACCTCTGCTTCATTTGCCTGGATTTTATTTTGGTTGGGGTTTTTTTAAAAAAACTGTTGCCTCTTCTGAAGATAAGACTATCGGTCCCTCCCTTACACACACACACACACACACACACACACACACACACACCACTCAAATGGTTCTCCTCTACCAACCTGAGCTGAAAACAAAAAAAGCAGAAGTTTGTCTCCACGCCCTGCCACCTTCTGTAATTGAGGGTAGGGTTTGGAATGGAACCAAACCGTTTGAAAGCAGGCCTTTCTTCCACCCACCCTGCCGTGGCTGGCATGCATGACAAGAAGGAGGCCGTTTCATCCTCGGATCTGTGTGGGGACAAACTAGAAACATTTTAGATACCTCTTTTCCCTTTCACTCTCTCTCTCTTCCCATCCTGCTATCGTTTCACTTCCTGGCTGTGCCAAACCTCCCTTCTTTCTCCTGTCCCTCGGGTTGTGGTGTCGCTAGGCAGCCGTGTGGCTGCTGCTCCCTCAGGCCTACCCCAGACACCACAAGCCCTCCCTGAGGGAGCTGGATTCCAGGCACCGGCGAAGAAAGCGCTCGATATCCGGGAAAGTGTGCACTGGGAAACAGGCTGGTGTGGCAGCTGTGTCCAGGACCAGTCTGGACTGGAGAGAACCTTTGCTTCTGATGCCTCCATCTGACTCCAGATGCTTCTGAGCTTATTCTTTTTTGAGGAGGCATAAAAACTTGCTTGGGGGTCAGGCCAGACCCGTGGACCCCTCTTACTGTCCAGAATGAACTGGCAACATCTCAACAAGACAGCAACACCCCTCGCCCTGCAGTCTGGCTATTGGCTTCAGCTATTCTTTTGCTCATGTGAATTTGAAAGTGCCCTATGTGTGGATATGGAACTCGAGGTGACGTGTGGGTGGGAGGGAGGATTTGTGGTGGCAAAGCCATAATTATTTCCCCTCTGCCTAGTAAGGCCACCGGTCATCCCCTCTTCACCACCCATCTCATGATTAACCACCAAATTCAGTCTATAACAGAAGGAGCAAGATGCTTTTGCAGAGCAGATATGTTAAGCACATCAGGCTGCTATAGAACATGGGGTGAGTTGAGGCATCTTGAATAGATTCCCTTCCATGTTTCTCCAGCTACGTGGTGTCTAGAAATGGAAGAGAACTGTGCCAAATGTCTGGAGGCTTAGAGCACTGGATAGGGGTTAGGAAGCCACCACTCGTGGAAGAGGAAGAGATCCAATGTCTCCCCGTGTCCCCTGGGCGACCACAGAGCCAGTGGGCAAAGCACTGGGGTTGGTTGCAAGAACTATGATGCTCACTGAGCAGCCTTGAGCAAGTTAACTACCCCTCAGACTAACCTCCTTTGCAGAATCATTGTGGGGCTACAGTGAGATAAGGCTATAACAATAATAATGCCTGGAACCAGCAGGAAAGGACAGGGGGAACGGGTCTCAGGAGATTAATTTATTTTAATTGCAGGTGTAGAATCAGGGACTGCGGGGTCTGCATTCTAGATTAGCTCAACTCCCACGCTGCAAAGAAACGTCTCAGAATGGGCAGGCGAACTGCAAAATTCAACGAAGTGTGGCAAGGAAGGAAGGAGGAGGGCGCTTAACAGCGAGCAGTTGTCCGTTTTGCTTCAAACATCAGCACTGGTTTCACAACTAGCCAGCTTCTAGCTAATGAGGCAGACATGCCGGGCACTGTTGATGTTAGCCTGAGCCAAAGGCAGACCTTGTAAAATCTCTGATGGGAACGAGAGGGGAATCCCATGCCTTCTGCTCCCTCGTCGTGTTGTTTGGGTGTGCGTTTTCCTCCACCACCACTCCATGCCATAAGTTTGTCATCTTTGACAGAGAGTGCCCCTTTGCTGCGATAGCATCTCGTACACTCTGGGCCTCACTAATCGTTGGGTGTGGCTGGAAGACGGCATGTATTCACGTTAAGCTTCAGGACGGAAGGACAATGGAACAGTGTTTGGAACAAGCGCCGGGCTCATCATGCCCCAGTTAACCCATGCGTCGTTCTCCCATCTTGAGGAGGCCTGGCACAGTCGTCTGCAATGAAGGAACCCCCACAAAAGAAAGCTTGTCTCCCTCTTGCATCCGGTTGGCACCAGGCCTTTCATATGATTACTTGGTGTCCTGCGGGACAGGAGAAGCAGAGAAGGCCGCTCAGATCTGAGCAAGAGGAGAGTGAACATTGGAACGCAACGCTGATTGTGGAAATTTGGGCTGTTATTCTGGTTGTAAAATGATGAATAATTTTGTTTTTAATAATAACGATAATAATAAATTGAGAATGGAAAAGACTTTTGTGTACATTGTGGAGGGGGAGGCAGGACCGGCCTGCCCGTGAGGCAAGGATACCCAGGGGCATCAGATCCAGCCTCCAAGGAATGTATCATTCGCTGTTACTGCTCCAGCTGCAGCACACCCCAAATTCAGTGGCCTCTTAGAGAACAGGAGGTGCTACTAGTCTCCTCCTCCTATTCTTGTTTCTGATGAAGGTCTTTATTCCCACCTTGAAAAAATAAGGGATCGGCAGCCAAAATAAGGGATTTTAGCCAGCCAGCTCCTTTCCTTTCCCCCATAACAGTGCATGCCTGCCCTAGATCTTGCGCCCAGCAAGACCCTGCATATCTAGCTGTGCATGCTAAAGTCGTAAGGGATGCCTCGGGCAGCTGAAGCAGCGATAGTTCTCTCCTCGCTGGCCCTTTAAAGAAGGGGGTGAGCCCTGCCGCCCAACAGGATGGACCGGACGCGGTTACCTCCGCCTGCTTAGAGCTCCCAAAGTCTCGCTGGAGTCCAGGGAAGGGGGGGCTAGCTGGCCACTTTTCGTTCGGGGAAGGGAGCCCCCAGATGGTGCTATAGTCACGCCCCGTAGGCGGATCGCCCCCACCCCCCAGTGCACATCATCTTTGCAGCTCCTGGTGCGCCCTGGGAGTTACGGGCTCTTGGGTGTGTTGGGTGGCGGGCGCTGCGACTCTCCAACAAGCTGACATTCTCCCCCGAAGGCGCACACCTCCCTTATCTCCTGAGACAGACGGATGCTCACCCAGGCCCTTCCGCGATGTAAGCAGACCCTTGTGGGGATGGGTCTTATCCGTGGGGGTGGCTGGGAGGTGGGGGTAGTAGCCCTTTTCTCCCAGGCAGCATTGAAACCCAGGAAATCTACGGGATATCATCAGTCCGGGACAGCAGCGGGATACGGCGCTGGGATAAGGGAGTTTCCCGCCAAATAAGGGACGGTTGACAGCTATAGGGGAAGCATTAGGATCCCGTAACTTGACAGGGGACAAAAATAAGACTTTTCTTGTTCCTGGGCCTTTAGCAACAGTTTGATCTGCTGAAACTGGGCAGTGAAGCTTTTCAGTCACATGATGACATGCAAATGAATCTCTGCAAATCAGGCTGCTGCTAAGAGTAACGGGAGCAGCAGCAATGCAGCAGGAAGGTCTGGTGAGAATGTGTCAGGCAGGCTGGCCTGCACAACTCGTGACCCATTAAGAATGGCGGCCTGCCTGGAAGCTAGTTAACCTGCTTTTACTGCCTGCCTGAGACTGCAGACATGAGGGAGCAGTGAGATAGCATCTCGCGCTCTTGCAGGACACAATGCATGGGTGTTAGATTGCATAAGCCTTTGTAGCTCGGACGTTTTATGGGTCGGGTGTGCGGTGGTATTCTGCTTGACCAATCAACCAGGCAAGCGTTTCCCCCCACTTCCTGACTGTCCTGCAGCCCATAAATGCAGCTTGTCTTGCAAGGCCCCTGGTCTCTAGAATGTGATGCCATCTCAACTCACCTTTTCCCGCTCCTCTTCATGCCCTCCCACCCATCAGAGGTGCTCCTCTGCGCCTTCCCTTTGACCCTTGCAGTTGCATCACAGTTTTCTGTCGCTTTGCATCTTTGGGAGTTTGCATGAGCAAACTGAAAGTCAGCAGGGCAGCTTTTCTTGCTGCCGCACCTGCATGTCAGTAAAGATTTTGCATGTCAAATATCTTCCAGTGTTAGGTCTGTGAAGAGCAATTGCTGGAAATCACAAATGCGGGCTGGGGGGTGAGAATGTGGTTAAATTAATGTCCTGGTGGATTGGTGGGCTTCCCATAGGCATCTTCCTATTTTCTTTAAAAAACCCTTAGGTGTTTTTTTAGGGAGGTGCCGCAAGCCTTATACAGGGGTAGGCAACCTAAGGCCCGGATCCGGCCGAATCACCTTCTAAATCCGACCCACAGTCGGTCCAGGAATCAGCATGTTTTTACCTGAGTAGAATGTGTCCTTTTATTTAAAATGCATCTCTGGGTTATTTGTGGAGGATAGGAATTCGTTCATTTTTTCCCCTTCAAAATATGGTCCAGCCCACCACATGGCCTGAGGGATGGTGAACCAGCCCATGGCTTAAAAAGGTTGCTGACCCCTGCCTTATAATAAATCCCATGCCACCCCTAGCATGCAGAGCCTCAATTCCCAGTTTTCTAATTTTTTTAGGCACATAATCACCTTGCTGCTTCTGTTTGGTGATGCTGGCTATGTTGTTGTTGTTGTTTAGTCATTTAGTCATGCCCGACTCTTTGTGACCCCCTGGACCAGATCACGCCAGGCACTCCTGTCTTCCACTGCCTCCCGCAGTTTGGTCAAACTCATGCTAGTAGCTTCGAGAACACTGTCCCACTGTCAGGGAACTGACATCGGAGCTAGAGGCGGAGGCAAGGCTTCCAAGCGATGCTGGAGAAGGGCCCAGCAGGGAAAGAGGCAGCTCATCAGCTGGGGAAGGAAATCAGCGTAACACCAGGGAGATGGGGGAATCGGCGAGGGGGCTCCAGGACTCCTCGCCGGAGACCAGCGGGGAGAGCACGGGTCCTCCGCTACCCACACCCTCCCTGCGCAGAAGACTTCTGCGCAGGGAGAGTAGGAGGAGACTTGGCGTCAAACAGCTTTTATGCTGGAAAAGGTTTAAGAAACGCCCACTGACGGATTCTGCTAGCGACTGAAACAGCCACGAAGTGAAGGGCTGTCCAGACAGAAAAGGTTTAACAAGGCAACCTAGCCAGGAGTGGCGGCAACATACGCACGAGCAACCCCTATATTTATTACACCCACCATCTCGTCCTCTGTCGTCCCCTTCTCCTTGTGCCCTCCATCTTTCCCAAAATCAGGGTCTTTTCCAGGGAGTCTTCTCTTCTCATGAGGTGGCCAAAGTATTGGAGCCTCAGCTTCACGATCTGTCCTTCCAGTGAGCACTCAGGGCTGATTTCCTTCAGAATGGAGAGGTTTGATCTTCTTGCAGTCCATGGGACTCTCAAGAGTCTCCTCCAGCACCAGAATTCAAAAGCATCAATTCTTCGGCGATCAGCCTTCTTTATGCTGGCTATACTATGCCTTTAAAAAGCAGCTGGCTGCTTACCTCAAAAATGCCTAGAAAAACTTCCCTTGCATAATTTCTCTGTTTCTTTTAAAAAAATGAAATAAAAGAGAGGGGTGGCGATTGCGCTGTGAGGGTTAACCCAGGTTAAAATCACTTGAGGTTTACAGTGTAAACACATGCCCTGAAACATTTCCCAGATGAAAATAGCCATGCTTGGGACAACAGTATTGACTCATGCCAAAGTTCTCTTCTGGAATCCTGTTACCCTCCCCCCCTGTGTTTTGCAAGCGTTCAAGAAAACCCTTCACACCCCTCTGGATGCAGCTTTTCTTTATTGCGAAACAGCCTGTTCTGTGCTCATTTCAAAGCCAGGATGATAATTGCTATTTTGGTAAAAGATACACTTTTTTAAAAAAAGAATTCCGGTGTGTCACCAACAGTTCAAAACAGAGCACAGGAGTTTGTAAAATGGCAGACTGTCCACTGAGCTGCCTTATTCTGCATCGGACCTTTGGTCATTTTGCTCAGTGTTGTGTACCCTGGCTGGCAGAAGTTTCTCCAGGGTTTCAGAAAGAGTTCTCCACTAGCCCTAACTAAAGGTGCGGTGCTGGGATTGAACCTGACACCTTCTGCTTGGCATGGTGTCATGTAACCTTCACAAACAAACGAATGAGCAATAAACGGTCACATAGGCTTCCTGAAAATTTGATGCAAAGAGGTCAGGATTTATGCTCGGTTTTGCATGGACATCTGGAAGTGAAGAATTTACACAGTCCAGAACCCAAGGGTGCAATTTACAGTACAGTGGTACCTCGGGTTACATACGCTTCAGGTTACATACACTTCAGGTTACAGACTCCGCTAACCCAGAAATAGTGCTTCTGGTTAAGAAATTTGCTTCAGGATGAGAACAGAAATCGTGTTCCGGTGGCAGCTGAAGGCCCCATTAGCTAAAGTGGTGCTTCAGGTTAAGAACAGTTTCAGTTTAAGAACAGACCTCCGGAACGAATTAAGTACTTAACCCAAGGTACCGCTGTACTTTACTGAGGAATTTCTTATTGAAGGACAGGCGGGCGTCTTCTTCTCACTTTCCTTTCCGTTCCAGTGTGGTGTAGTGGTTAAGAGCGGTAGTCTCGTAATCTGGGGAACCGGGTTCGCTTCCCCGCTCCTCCACATGCAGCTGCTGGGTGACCTTGGGCTAGTCACACTTTTCTGAAGTCTCTCAGCTCACTCACCGCACAGAGTGTTTGTTGTGGGGGAGGAAGGGAAAGGAGAATGTTAGCCGCTTTGAGACTCCTTAAAGGGAGTGAAAGGCGGGGATATCAAATCCAAACTCTTCTTCTCTTCTTCTTCCTTTTCCACTGCAGTGGCGCTGAGACTCCTCCACGCTGCCTTGGAGCAGCTGCCAGTATGATGGAGACTTAAACGCTTACGAGATTAGATTTAGAAACTCCAAAATGTTCCAACACATCCCCCACGCGACCCGAAACCCAGCAGGGGTGATACAGATGGTCGGAATGCTGCTATTTTAAAAACGTGGTTTATTTTTAAACCAGATTTGTTTGAAATGTCTAGAGGAAGCTTGCTGGGTTGGTGTCTTTTGGCCATGGCCTTCAACGTGGGAGTGAAAACAAGGCCAGGGGAACATTGGGTGGAAGCTTATGCTGAGCCCAGACTGTGGGTCCATCTAGCTAAGGTGGCCTGCACTGGCTGGCAGCAGCTGGTCAGGGTGTCAGGCAGGTAGCAGACCCAGCCCGACCTGTACTGAACTGTACATGGCACCTTCTGCATGCAAAGCAGATGTTCTAACCCACTGATGGGACAGGCCAAAGATGGATCTCTGGGGCTACATTGTGCCTCCATTAGGAGCAAGGGGCCTGTGCTTGGCCTAAGCATAGATAGACAGTGTGGACATTGGAGATGCAGCCTGGAAGGCTGGTCTGGTCTG